TGCGTAAACCACAGAAATCACGTAAACAAGCAAGCGACAACAGCACAAGCAAGCCAAGCACGTTTTGTGCAAGGAAGCGTTTTGATGCACTTCTTTACCCATTTTTAGTTTCTTTCCACAGATCACATTTGCAGGTAAACCAGAAAAACTTTGAATCGAATCTATACTACGTTATTTTAAATAGAAAATAGTTATACTGATTTATTTAAAATAGAAAATGATTTTATCTACAGTATTTAAAATACAAAATATAAAATGGCATTTTCTATTTTAAATACGTATTTCAAAGAAATTCATTCGAAATAGGTACCCACCTCTGACATGCACATCACGGAGCATATCGACTAACTTCGGGAATCGATGCCCTATAAATATTATTGTCGATACGAAGCACCCTATACATCATGTTAGTTACACAAGCTGCCAACCGAAATCTGGTGGGATTACAGAAAAGGGAAAGAGAGCGATGATGAGACGGATGGAATTTCTTGGAAGACCACATATGTTTACCATTTCAAACACCTGCAGTCCAGTTTTTTCCTAGAAATGCGCGAAATGCAGGGAATGGGCGATTTTTGGGTGGTTTTTAGGGGTATTAGCAGATCCAATTACCGCGTGGCTTGGGTTGGTCAAATAAATAGGATTTAACATGTGTGTTCATGGTTTTTTCTTGTAACCGGCTGAAGTGTAAAGTACGGCTTGTCTTGAAATATTTTTATACCATAATCATTACTGTGTGCTTTTGCTTTGTTATATCAGGTGAGGTATTTGCTTTTTTCAATTAATCTATAAATGTGTGTAACTTGAATGTAGATTGTAACCCTTTACTTATGTACTTACTGCATTCAATCACTTGTACCTTTAATGTGTAACCTTTGTTGGTATTGGCAATCATGTTTCATTGTCGGTAGGGCTGTATCTGTGCTGTACATACTTGCATGTGTACATATTTAATTTGTGTATTGTGCTTTTTAGTCACTCTCGATTATGTCATTGCATTTCATTATATTTGGTTATTTGGGATTGTGAGTAATCAAGAGGGAAGTGTGCTTGTCTAGAGGGGATCGAGTTATTCAAGATTATACGGCCTTGGTGAACCTAACACTAACATTTTCACTCGTTCCGAAACCCAACAACTTTAGCCCACGTCTACAGGCACCCCACTGGGCCTGGGTAATCCTCCCGCCCGGCGAGGTATATTTGACATCTCTTAGTGTCTGATGTATGTGTTGTAATACCTGGGGAATGGCTCGATTCCATTTTGGTTACTCATAGCGTGTTTGTAGTAGTTACCCCGGTTTCAAGAGGGCTCATAAGTGCTGGTACATTGGATGTTGTTCATTATAGGACTACTCCGAATTAGGTTTTCCTGCAGTTTTCTTAATTCGTAAGGTAAATGCCGGAGTAGTATAGAACCACTTAAGACCCTCTGCAGGGGCGCCGCTTAAACCATTATGCGGGTCACTCTGTAATCGTATTGGTATTAGTTTCAATATAAACTTAATCAGCTATTGCTTTTGGTGTTCCTTACCCATAAAACGCCCTCAGTGCCTGCTGAGAACCCGCAGTTATTACACAACGTAGGTGTCCTACATGACGATCACGATCTTAGTGCACTCGGAGTGGCCCCCGAGTGATAGATTTTCGCGGGAAACGTAAGCGAGAATATTCAAATAGGCAGCCATGTTAGTTTGGCATTCCCGCTACTACAGAATATGGTCATATCTTCCGGTGTGACTTGAAGTTGGCGTTAGCGTAGGAGGCTAAGATCATTACAATGTTATGAAATTTTCTTTAATTGCGGCTAGAAGGTAACTCTAACGGCTAACATCTAATGTACAGCACTTTTGAGCCCTCTCGAAACCGGGGTAAATACTACAAACACGCTATGAGTAACCAAAATGGAATCGAGCCATTCCCCAGCTATTACAACACATAATCAGATAAAACTAAGAGGTGTTAAATATACTTCGCCGGGCGGGACGATTACCGAGGCCCCGTGGGGTGCCTGTAGACATGGGCTAAAAGTTGTTGGGTTCGGAACGAGTGAAAATGTTAGTGTTAGGCTCGGTGTTAGGTTCACCAAGGCCCGTATAAAATTGAATAACTCGATCCCCTCTAAACAAGCACACTTCCCTCTTGATTACTCACAGTCCCAAATAAGCAAATATAATGAAATGCAATGAAATAATCGAGAGCGACTAAAAAGCACAATACACAAATTAAATATGTACACATGCAAGTATGTACAGCACAGATACAGCCCTACCCACAATGAAACATGATTGCCAATACTAACAAAGGTTACACATTAAAGGTACAAGTGATTGAATACAGTAAGTACATAAGTATAACGGGTTACAATCTGCATTCAAGTTACACACATTTATAGATTAATTGAATAAAGCAAATAGGTACCTCACCTGACATAAAAAACAAAAACACACGCAGTAATGATTAAGGTATAACAAAATATTTCAAGACAAGCAGTACTTTACACTTTAGCCGGTTACAAGACAAAGACCATGAACACACACATGTTAAATCATATTTATTGACCAACCCAAGCCACTCGGTAATTTGATATGCTAATACCCCTAAAAACCACCCGAAAATCGCCCATTCCCTGCATTTCCCTCATTTCTAGGAAAAAAACTGGACTGCAGGTGTTTGAAATGGTAAACACATGTGCTCTTCCAAGAATTCCATCCGTCTCATCTTCGCTCTCTTTCCCTTTTCTGTAATCCCACCAGATTTCGGTTGGCAGCTTGTGTAACTAACATGATGTATAGGGTGCTTCGTATCGACAATCATATACACAGGACGTTGTTAAGGTTGGCGCATCTCAACTTCTTGTCCCTCGTCGATGTGTTTTTCCTTCCGGGATAAAAAGTATATACTTTAGTCCATTAAATGGAAAACACAACACGTTGATTTAGTCCACGGAGTGACAAACATGCCATATTCGCTGTGCTTCAATAATCATCAATGTTCAACTTTGAACCAATTCAAGCGTATTTATGATCACAATAGCTCTGCTCACTCCTCAAAACAAGGAACAAAATATACGTCCTTACCTCAAACGGATAACCAAACGAACTAGTTAGTTAGTCAATATTTGGCGCGTTCTTTCGTAAATCGTGATCCTACGAATCACGATCTTGAAATCATGATTGCGAAGTAGCCGAAAGAAAGCGCCTCTTTTTGGGACGTGGGGCCGTCTGGTGGCGAATTTAACATAAGATGTGGTGAAACAAGTTCATCGACCGTTTATTACTGTATTAATATTTACAAGCTTACTCCAAATAAAACAACAATTATGACTTCGAAAAAGACTTTTCGTTCGTCCAGAGTTTCTTGTTGTGTTGTTGGATGCAGTAATTCGTACATAAATACGGACTCTTCTGTAAAATTATACAGCTTTCCCAACAGACCATATGAGTTGCAAAGAAGAGAAAATTGGATAAAGAAAGTGAGAAGAGTGTAAATACACATCTGTTTTGCTATTGTTTTACATACTTTCGTCTCCAGAACGGCCGTTTTTTTGTAATTTTTTTGTGTGTGCAATAATCCAATTTGAGGTTATGATCAAGCTATTAAAAGGGATCCCCGCGTTAAATGACTTGTAAAACGGCCCCTTGTTCCCGACTTGTTGTCTAGATGGTTTCCTGATATTTTCCACTTTTCACCCACCAAAGAATATATTAAAAATTGTGTTTCTGGAGACAATTCTTGTCAGAAATCGTGTTTACGAACTAATTTACACGTTTGATTATTTTTACTGTTTCATATAATATTTACGTAAGTCTCTATTTAGAAACGAAATTTAATATAATTAAACAATAATGCAACAAGAAAAGAAGCCTGAATTTTAAAATTCCTGCAAGACAGCTGGCTGTAACTACACTGTAATGTAACACGCAACTGACCCAGCCTTAATTTCTACGAGTAAATCAGATGCCAATCAAACGTGAAAAACTATATACTCTAATCTCTTAAACCGTACGGACTGCTATAAACCACTCATTAAGGCCGAATTTTTATTTAACGTGCATGGTAAACAATGCGATCAAAGATTTGTTTCACCTCACGAAATGTCAGAGTCGTTGTGTGGAGGCGCTGGAGTGCAATATTCGCTAAAGTCACTAGATATAGAAAGTACCGCAATCATCCGCCATTTTTGGGCAAAATTTGCTGCCAACTTAAAAAATCGACAAATAAAATCTGAATAGCTATAATTTTTTATAACCTAACTTCATAGTACTGTCATACCAGGAAGGAGAATATCAACCATATACGTGCGACCGCGATGGCTTTTGCAAATGGCGGACAGTAGTTTCCTGTTCCAGTGGCGTACCTACCTTACAGTTGTAGAAGGATACAATTATAAAGAATTTTACACGAAAACAATCTAAACCCCCATGTGTCTACTCCGCCTATGACTTTTGTTTAACTAACCTCAAACTACATTGCGATAAAAAATTTGTAAATTTACATGTACTATATAAAAATAATATTGGTATCAATACTTAGACATGAAATGTAATTCCCAAACTTTTATTTTTTTCCGTTTTGGAGCAACCACAAGCACAACAACTAACCATTATTTTATGTCACTGCAAAAACCACAACAATAATGAGTCATAAGTGGCTTTTGCAAATGGCCGACTTCCGTCACACTCTCTCTTGTATACAACCTGAGTAATGCTCCTTCCTGGTATTCTTTATTCATTGAAAAATATATACAGATATCTCCAAACAGGTGGAACAATCCCTAACATTAAAGTTACTAGAATCTGGTAACTTCCGCCATTTTTGGGAAAAAATCATGCGTTCTCTCTCTAACACACGAGCCCAATGGATTGCGGTACTTTCTATATTTAGTGACTTTAATATTCGCTACTCGCCTATACGTATTCAATTTTGTATGATTTTCTTTGTGTAAATGCGTGTTAAGCGTCCCGTATCGTGTAAGCGCGTCTTTACGTTGGTAACACGCTTGAAGTTTCATAATTTTAGGTTAGGTCTGTTATTTTTCAAAAACGTGATATACGTATAATTGTGCAACATTTCGTGTTAAAACGAAGCATTAATTGCGATGGCTTTTCGTGTACAATTCGAAAATAATAATGAAATAGGCGTCTTTTCCAAGCTAACGAATTCGTACTGCCTGGTAGGCATCGGCGGATCTGAAAATTTCTACAGGTAAGCGGAACGTCTCGGAAACGTCCGAGTTTAATTGCCGTCGATTTTTAGCGTCTTCCAGGGCGAACTGGCCGAAACCATACCGGTAATACACGCCTCGTTGGCGGGCTGTCGGATAATCGGCCGAATGAGTGTCGGTAACAAACACGGACTGCTCGTACCGAGCAGCACGTTCGACACAGAACTGCAGCATCTTCGCAATTCGCTACCTGATAAAGTCAAACTGCAAAGGATCGAGGAACGTCTGTCCGCCTTAGGCAACGTTATCGCATGTAATGATTACGTAGCGCTTGTACATCCGGACATTGACCGGGTACTGACGACCTTTGTGTCGTGATGTGTTTAATGTGGAATTTTCAGGAAACCGAGGAAATCATCGCGGACACACTACAAGTGGAGGTTTTCCGGCAGACTATCGCCAACAACGTTCTCGTGGGCTCTTACAGCGTTTTAAGTAATCGAGGGGCATTAGTACATCCGAACACGTCTCTAAGTGACCAGCAGGAGCTGTCCACTCTTCTACAGCTTCCTTTAGCGGTACGATTGACCAAATATAGATTTTTTGTGTGCGAAGACATGAGCATTTTAGGCCGTTTTCAGAGCCTTCTTTGTTTTTTAGCTTTTATGAGAATCAGAATACTTTATGGATCTAAGTGTGCTGGGGCCCTTTTTGTTTAAATTTTGGTTTATTCCCTACGGGGGTACAAAATTGAATCTACATTATGGTCCTGGTACACCTTCGTAGATTTGTCAAAATTTAATTACTAAAACACTTTCTAGGCAGGGACCGTCAATCGTGGCAGTACAGCAGTCGCTGCTGGCATGGTAGTAAACGACTGGTGCGCCTTCACCGGCATGGATACCACTTCGACCGAGCTGACGGTGATCGAGTCGATATTTCGTCTCAACGACGCTAATCCGAGTGCTATTGCTTCGACCATGCGCGCGACATTAATCGAGAGTATGACCTAATGAGGGGGATAATTTAAGTTAATTGTAAATAAGACGCTTTTTATATCGTACGCCTAATTAATAAATCTTATCTTTTTCCTCTCTTTGCGTCTATGAAAAATCAATATTTCTGAGCATGTGCGGTGCTCAGTTTACACCATATGCTTTTCAGTGCAAAGTAAATAAATAGCTTTCTATTTTTTTAAATTGAAATAATCTTAGGTGAGTGCTGGTCACGATTTGTGCTTCTCAACTTCGGTTATGGCGACGTATCCAGGTATGAATTTGCGTGGTGAGGTTCGAGAGAGTGTTTCTTTAGATGAAGACGATCTTAGTGATGTGGAGGATGAGGTTTTTATTCGTGATGGTAAAAGCGGCTACAAAGTACGATTTCTCAAGTAGGTGTCATAAACAAAATCTGATCGGTTTCGTTTCAGTTCGAGGATATGAGCGTTAAAAAACCCCTAATGGCGCCGCGACGCAAAACGGGCAGATCAGATTTGGGGGCTCGGATTAAGAATCGACCGCACTGCAAGTCAATTTGTAAAATATGCTGTTACGCGTTCATCGCTTTAAGTGTTCTCGTAGGTATGAATTTTGCATGAGCGTGGTATAGAGCTATGTGCAACAGTAACCTCTTAAGAGAATTTTACAAAACAACTTCAGATCTCAGCACCGAGACCTTACAAAGTGTTCATTTCCACTATAAATATCAGTCACGGTACAGTCATAACCTTTTCAATAGTTTTATATGTATACAACTGAAATACTGAATTGCATCCGAATCGTACCGTCAATGGAACATATTACATAGTGAAAGTCTAAACATACTAATCTCCTAGGCTTAATAAAAAAAAAATAATATACAAGTCATTGGATTGACCTGGCAGGTATGCAATCCACATTACACAAATTTGATAGCAATGAAGAAACTTACTTGGATTTTTGATACGTGTTCGGCCGATTTGTTTAGCACATTCGACTGGTGACTGTGCGACTGCGAAACTGTGTCTAAAGTGGTTCCTCAGTTACAGAAATTTTATTCATTTGCTTATGGATTTAAAAAATAAGGTTACAACATATTAACATATTGCAAATAAAATTGTTTAAAAACATTTAAAAAAAAAAAAAATTTTTTTTAATTTACCGTATACTTAAAATATAAAAAAATTGGAAAATGGCGCTAGATTTACTTTTATTCCAAGTGGCTATGTATCAAATTTCATTTGAACGCCTCCATACGTAAGAAAGTTGGCACTGCGCATGCGCAAAACCAAATTTTGAAACTGGTGTTAAATTTTCTTTTATTCCAAGTGGCTATGTATCAAATTTCATTTAAATACCTTCATAAATAAGAAAGTTTGCAATCCGGTTGGTAAATGGTCGAGATGCGAAAAGGGCACTGTGAATGTTGATCGATTAGGCTCAATTTTTGGAATTGCGTTTTATATGGCTAAAGCTATACGCATATTGAATTTCATGCAATTCTGTTCATAACTCACGGAGATGTCAAAAGGGCTTTCCTTATTTTTTGGGCTACATTGCCAATTCACGAACTCCGATCTACAAATTTGATAAAGAATCCACCTACAAAATTTCATCCTAATCGGTCCATTCGTTTATGAGTGATCGTGCTAACGGACGGACAGACATCACAAAATTATAAACTCGCTAGGAGCGCGTTAATAAACCAGTTCGTAGTTGACTATTAAAGAGAAATGACAATGTTCATTAACAATTAAACAAATCGATATGAAATTATGCCAATTAAATTTCTTATCGGGATATTCAGCAGCAAATAAATGCTGTGATTATTGAAATACATCTGTAACATTTCCAGGTTTTCTTCTTTGGTACGTTTGATTATAAGAATATAATTAATAACCCTAATTTAATCAATAATTTAGATAGGTAATAACGTTTGAGAAACATGATGAAAATAGATAAGATTGGTTGCATAAGTACATATCTTAAGGAATTGAACACAGGAGAGTTGAATGTTCAGAGTTAAAATTGAGCACCGTATACCAATACCATAATATAACACAAATGCCAATAGGTATGTAATCGAACGTTAAATCAGGGAATCGACGAAAATAACAAAATTTAACTTTGCACTTCGGGTCGCAAACTTTTGAGCTCAACAGGGTACATTCTGCAAATCTGTAACAGACTAAACTAGTTGTCAGGTAAATTCCTGACTTGACTTTCCGACTACTTTTAATAGAGCCATTGCCGAGGTCATTGCAATTATCTTTTAGAGAAAAATGCAAATTTAGAAATATAAAACTAAATAGTTTAACTTTTCAATTCAACACTTCTCAAAAACCAAGTTTGTCTGTATCGAAATAAAGTGTGTAGATGTCTAAGATTCTCTTAGAAGTTCCTACCGCCCGAACAGCCACCGAACATTTGTCATTTTATTCATCAAGCCAGTTTTGTTTGGTCATCTAATTCTGAAGTGAAGTTCCTGAAGCTCTGCGAGCGATTTTGTGTCAGTTTTAATGCGCCTAGTATCGCAAACCTTTTACAACTAGATTATATGGATTATTAAACAAGTATAAATTGTGCACAATTTCTGTGCAGATAAAGCGCATTTTTTTTAACCGAAATAGCTTTTGTTTTGACATCACCAATGGATATATTTCTTGCAGACGTCGCAATCGCCCTTTGTGAGTACTCTCCTCCAGGGACCCGGACCGGACCGAAAAAGAACCGAAACCGGTATTTTTTTCAGGACCGAAATCCGAACCGAAACCGTTATTCCTTCAGAAATGGAAACTTATTGAGAACCGGAACTCTTATTATTGTTTTCGGTTCCTTTCGGTTTTTTACGGTTCTTAACAGGTTATTGGAAGCTTAACACCGCGCCGGCAAACACGTCCTGAAAATTGAAAAAATATTACTCTATGATTGGCATCGGTGGATTATAAATTTAAATAATTTTAAAATAAGATGTCGAAATTGAAGGCAGTACGGGTAGCGGTGGCGGTAATTTAATCACTACTGTAAATGTAAATAACAAAAGAAGGGGCGAGGTTTTAGAAACCAAAAATAAAAACCTATACGCCATACATAATTTATTCTTGGGGTATTTTTTCTGATTTTTATTATTAAATGAAGTTTAACTACATATTCCCCTCTTCCTACTTTATTCCCATTATGTTTGTAAATTAGCTACACTGACGATATGTCACGTTTTGGTACTCATGACTTTTTACTTCTTTTTCACACCTATTAATTAACAAATCACGTTGTTATAATGAATTTTTTGAATGTCATGTCATGTTTCTAAACGAATAGAACCGAAAAGAATCGTTATGAACCAAAAAAATACGCTGAACCGAACCGTTATTTTTTTTAGAACCGAAACCGGACCGGAGCCGTTATAAATATTTTCGCTTAAATATAAACAGAACTGAAACCGATATTTCATTTGAGTCCGGGTCCCTGCTCTCTTCCGACAATTCTTTGTTGGGGTATAAGGGAATATACCTGATCACAATAAGAGGTCGAGGAGGAGGGCTATGGTTGGTAGAAACTAATTCCTTTCGTTGAGACGTTGATTAGAGTACCATGAAGGATAAAAGTAGTTCCACTCCCCCCCCCCCCTCCTGTGAGAAGAAGACAGAAAGATGGGCAGTAGTTGATAGAAAACGGTTTCTTCCGTTGAGACCTTTAATTAGAATATAATGAGAGATAAAATGAATGTATAACCCCCCCCCCCCCTTGAAAAACTTATTTACAAAGCATCGGTAGCTAACATCTCAAATAACACAACACAAAATAGCACAGCTAATATGAAGGATACATGAATATCTTAGTAACAACATCGGTATCGGTAAAATCAAATCTTCGGTAACGACAAAAACAAAGTGCGTAGGGTCAGGTATATAAAATATCGAAGTCTCCAAGTACAAATCTCGAAGTAGGTCAATGTTGGTAGAATAAAGTAGGTTCACATTGCCAATGTCGTTAGAATTTCACAAGCCGGTAATGTAGAAACATCATCTATCTCATGACGGTCGCCGCGGTCAAGCTTCATAAATAGCGGGTCCAAATAAAACTGCTAAATCATCCATTTATTGTTTCTATGGGGTCACCAAGACATCAAAGAGAAAGAAAGAACCACTCCAAAGATAAATATGGTGAAACCAAAACACTAATCCCTTAAGCAGGTAGACACGTAATCGGAAATTAATGCTCACTTTCGGTTCTGCCGTTGAAATTTTGCCGTAAACACCAATTTACTTTAATGCACATAGCTCTTTCCAATTAACAAGACTCTTTTGACGATTATTGTTTCAGGCCTTATTATATTAGTAATCATACTAGTCTCACTATTCCCGATACCTTTGGACAAACTAAAGCTGTGGATAGTTTCGAACACTAGTAGCGATTCGATACAGCTAGTACCGTGTAGCGACTTCCGGGTGACGGACGTCTGGAGCGCCACGTTTCCAAATTTCATGTCCGAATCATCGGTTCAGATTCTCGACGTCAATCAGGACGAGGTCGACGATGTTATCTTCGGTTTTAGAACCGGTACGAATTGCTCCGATATTTCGTTTAATTTACAGTGACAGTATAAAGGCAGCGTTGCCATGAGTGCTCCAGATCGGCCAAATTTATCATGTTACAACACTTTTTCCAAGTTAATTTCTACCAATCCGTGGTTAAAATATGGCGCCCATAGAAAAGAACACGACTGTATGGCAACACTGTTTTTATACAGTCACTATAGCTTAACTAACCTTTAAGCGTTAATAGGCGAAGATAATACGCTACCGCAGGAATTGTACTGCGCAACGTTTTTCGGTGTAACTCCGCCTTGCTCCGGAGGAATTTTGGCGTTAAATGGAACAAACGGTAGCACCTTATGGCGGACTTGGGTAAATCAGTCTGTTTTTACAGTTATCTGTACTACCGACATCAACGCAGACAATGTTAGTGATTGTTTAATCACTGGAAAGGGAGGGGTAAGTAATATCTCTCAACGGCGTGAGATGCATATCCGCTTCCGTATGATACTTCAGCTACAGATAAATCTCTCAATCCCGTTAATTATACCTATTTGGCACCACTGTGAGATATACCTAATTTAACCAACACTTTTTTTTTAAATATGAATCCGCTTGCTCTGTTATTTAGTGTCACTTTTCGCCTCCATCATTTCAATACACTGTGTACTGTGTGATTATTTCAAATTTTGAAGTAACATAATCCCCAAATCACACACTCCTAAAATTGCAAAGTAAGAATTCCCAAAATTTCAAAATTCCCAAAATTTTAAAAACCCAAAATCTAAAATTTTCAATTACATTTGCTGTTTTTAGAGCAATACTACCTATAGCAATAGAGCTTGAGCTATAATTAATATTGTTGATATCATTTTTCTCAGTTAACTAACTTTCTTCACCATATTTTTGGGTTTCATTAATAAAAAAATTTCAAAATTTCAGAATTTGAAATTTTCTAAATTTCAAAAACTCCAAAACACAAATTCTAAGAATTTATATACCAAAATCTCCCAATTTACAAAATCCTATAGTCCGAGTATCTCAACATTCATAAATTTAAAAATCAAATTTCAAATCTTTATAATCATAAAATTTCAATTCCAAAATTCCAAATTTTAAAACTTACAACAAATGTCCACGCTCTCAAATTTTCAAGTTTTAAAAACTTCAAAATTCCTACTCCAAAAATTTGCATAATCCCAAAATCTCCAACTTTTATATTTTGAGATTCTCAAATTTCCATATTTTTAACGCTCTATAAACTTTAAAATTCCAAAATTTAAAAAATGTTAAATTCAAAAATTCCTAATTCCAAAATCTGAATATCACGAAATTCCACATTCCCAGACTTTAAATTCCCAACCCAAGTCTTTAAAATCCATAATCGCAACCTCCGAAATTTTAAAAATTCAAAAATTTGTGCTTTGCACAATTACAAAAATCCCAAGTTTACAAATTCCAAGAACACAAAATTAAAAATGTGTAAAATTTAAAAAGTACCAATATTTCAAATTCCCAAAATATGAAGTTCTCAAAAATTTAAAATTTCAAAATACAAAATTTTAAAAATTTCAAGGACTAAAATACAAATATTATTTCGTGCATCTCCAATTTACAAACCATCATCAAATGTTTATAATTTCAAATTCCTAAATTTTTAAAACCCCAAAATCTCAAATGGCCAAAATTTCCAAAATTCCCAGAATGTCAAAATTCGAAAATCTCAAATTTTCATATTCTCATTTCTACATTTTCAAAATCCCTAAATTCTCTCTGGTTTAATATCCCAAAATCTTAAGTTTTTGCGATTTCAAGATTCCAAATTGTGAACATTTCCAAACTTTTAAAATCCCCATAATCACAAATTATCAAAAGAAAAACCAAAATCTCAAATTTCCATAATAATTAAACGTGCAAAATGTCAAAAATCTCAAATTTCTTAAATTCCAAAATACCCAAATCTTAAACTCACAAAAAATAAAAAATTCCAGATTTTCAATTTCCCATAATCTCGTATTTTTAACATTTTAAAATCCCAAAATCAAGTCTCCAAAAACCCATTACAATGCTCCAAAATTTCAAAAACCCTAGAATATCAAATTTCGTAATCTACAAAGCGCAAAAAATGAATTTCCTAAGATCCATAAATCACATATTTCCCAAAGTTGAAAAATCCCAAATCTCAAACACCCAAAATTTTCAAAAATCCCAAATTCCAAAATGTTAAATTTTCAATTTTCAAAAATGTTGTTATTTTCAAAATGTCAAATGTCTGAAATTCTCAAATTTCCATAATTTCCAATTCTTAAAATTTCAAAATCCCAAAATCTATTATTTCCAAAATTGAACACGAAAATTTCTTATTATTGCAAAAACCCGGAATCAGTAATGGGTTCCCGTTTTAGATTTTCTTCATGCTTGACCCACGAAATGGTTCTATTATATGGGAATTCCTGGACCAAACCAAAGATGTCAAACTAGTGATGGACATTTATTGGGCGAACTTCATTCCCGACCAGGATGGCGACCGTATTCCCGACATCCTAGTTTCACACACCTCGCAAAAGGGACGGTTTCGTTTAGGTCACCTACTCCTCATTTCGGGCAAAACCGGCTCTCAGATACAGAAGATAGCCACGGCCATCGAAATTTACTACACCCCACAACTCGTCAAACAAGCGAACGGAAATTACTCAGTTCTGTTCGGCACCGGAAGTCCGACGGTACCCGGCAATCTGACCGTCGTCTCTTTGGACGAGTTTAAAGCCGGAAGTATAGTTAAGTTCCCCCTTACGTTTGCAGATGGCGCTAATTGATTCGGTTTAGATTCCGAAAACGATCTACCAGGATCGTTTCAAGGGGGTGCTGTCACCAGGGGTGCTGGTGGACATAACCGGCGATGGCGTCCTGGACGTTGTGTGCGCCATGTTTAACACGACCGTGGTGGCAATCGACGGAAATAATTATACACAAATATGGAATTTTACGGTACCGAGTTCACAAACGTTAAGTATACCGACACCGGGATACTTCAACGGAGATAATGTAACCGATTTTCTCATCAAATATCAAACTGGTTCCGATTTTCCTACTTACTATTATTCACAGGTAGGTAATAAGCGTGTTTTTGAATTTTTTGTTTTTTGAATTTTTGATTTTTTAATTTTATGTTTTGTAATTAGTTTGTGATGTATGTTTATTGTATGTTTAAAGTTTCTTTTAATTTATTGGCCTTATTCTGGTATCTTTTTTTGATTTTTGTTTTAACCATTTTACTCTCGGGCTTTTTATGCTGCATTTTTATTTTTTCAATTTCCAGCGTACCTATTTACAATTTTCAAGATTTGGATTTCCAGCTTATTTTTAAATTTTTTTCAATTTTTGGTTGTGGTGTTTTTATTTTTCGAATTTTTGATTTTTATATCTTCTCCAGCTGCCCAAATACCTACCCCGAGCGAACTTTCAAAATCCGAACTGCTAACATATCTTGCCATGGTCCAAAAATTTTCTCAGGCTCAAGTGACCCCACACCTACTACTACAGTTTCCGGTTTCTGCTTTTGATGGTCGCGATGTTTGGTTCCAGTTTCTCGAATGGATTTGGTTTGAAGTTCTATGGTCAGTTACGGCTACGACCTTCCGGTTCGGTTTCTGTTTGAAGTCCCGATTCGGTTTAAAGTTCCATTGTTTGTTTCGACTTGGATCTAATTTCTCTTTTTTCGACGGCCGAGTTTCTATTTCCGTTGTGGGGTTCGGTTTCTAGTCAAGGTTTCCTGTTAAAACTTTCTGGTTTCTAGTTTTGGATTCTGGTGCTGGGTTCTGATTCCGGTTTGTTGTTCGTATATCCGGACTCGGATCCTGAGTTCGGTTTCTGGTTCGAATCATGAATCTTGTTCTTGATTCTAGTTTTGGTTCTGATTTCAAAGATCGCGCTACTTGTTTCGGTTAAATTTTCTAGTTTCGGTTCGAATTCCGGTTTGTAGCTCCGGGTTCTGGTTCCAAACCCGCTTGTCTGGTTTCTTGTTCAGTTTGATGATTCTTGTCTCTGGACTTCGTTTGACAACACAAATTTCTAGTTCCGGTCTCTGGGTCCGGGGAAAGTTCCACACCTGTTCCCGGTGTTTGGTTTCTACTTCCGGTTTTTGACTTTGGTCTCTGGCAGCGATATTGGTCCCGATTTCCAGTTCAAGATTCTGGTTCTTGTCCCAAACCTGATCCTGGCGGCTGCTTATTCACGGTGTTTGTGATTTTTAGCGTATTGTTTAAGAATTAAAAAAATGTGCTATTGTTTGCGTTTAGTCTGTCCGTCTGTCCGTCCGGACCCATTTCTACCGTTTTGAACTACTTCTAGGAGAATGGTCCAAGAGTCCTGGAATTTTTAGCAGTAGGTAGCCTATACCTTGAAGGTCTGCCAGACAGCCATCAAAATTTGCTGTCTAAAAGGCCCCCCCCCCCACGAATTATTTCCTGAGATGCTGTTTTTGAAAGTAAAACGTACATAACTTTTACATACGACAACCAATTGGTATCAGATTTTGCATACGCATGCCTTTAGTGGTGCCAAGTTAAACTTTAGAAAATTAGGGGGGGGGAGTAAACACATGTTCTACCCTTCATGGTATTCTAATGAAAGGTCTCATCGAAACGAATTGGTTTGTACAAACTATAACTATCCCGTGCGACTCTTTTTCGAGGTCGGTGAGCGACGGGCCTGGGGGGGGGATAATTTTATCTCTCATTGTATTCTAATTAAAGGTCTCAACGAAATGCACAGTTTTCTACAAACTATTCCCCTTCTTTCTGTCATCAATGTACGGGGTGGAGGGGGAAAGGGGGGGGGGAGTGGAACTAGTTTTATCCTTCATGGTACTCTAGTGAAAGGTCTCAACGAAAGGAATTAATTTATGGTTACCATAGTCTTCCTCCTCGATCCCTTGTCGTGATCGGTTATAATTCCTTATATCTTATGAGTGAATTGTCAAAGGAAAGTACCTACAAAGGGCGATTGGGACGTTTTGGAAGAAATGTAACCATTGGGCATTTAAATAAAATTTGATACATAGCCACTTGGAATAAAACCAAATTTAACGCCAGTTTCAAAATTTCGTTTTGCGCATGCGCAGTGCCAACTTTCTTATTTATGGAGGGATTTAAATGAAATTTGATACATAGCCACTTGGAATAAAAGCAAATCTAGCGCCGTTTTCCCAATTTGGTTTTGTGCAGTGCCAACTTTCTTATTTATGGAAGACATTTCGTAAGGGTGTTTAAATGCGCTTTACCTACATAAGGGTTGTGCACAATTTGTACTTGTTATTTTTTGGTACGGTTTCTGTTTCTGGATCTTGATTTTGATCTCAGCGTGTGACGAGCTGGTTTAGAATTCCGGTTTCCAATGACAGTATTCTCCTAGGTTCCAGCATAGTTTTGTTAGTTGTGCGTTTTGTTTTCGGTTTCCAACTTCAGGTTTTAGTTCCTGGCCTGCTTCTGTGGCTGCGATGTTTGGTTTCTGGTTCTGGTTTTGAGTTCGGGTTTTTAATGATAACCCAGGGTCCCAGATTTCAACCCGGTGTCGAGTTTCGGTGATGGTTTCAGGTGCCCGTCGAGGTTTTTAGCTTCAAATTATAATTTGAGATCCCAGTAAAGTTCTGATGTTTTCCGGTCATTGCCGGTTTTGGTACCGGTACTCATTTCCAGCCGTGTTTCGAGTATCGGTTTTCAAGACACGGACACGGTAGCGATTGCCCTAACTGGAACGCAAGCAAGAAAGCACACATTAATTAGCGGTAGCTACGGGAAATCAAATGCAGGAAAGCGAAACAATATCCCCCTTTTCATTAATGGAACAAACACTAGCAAAAAGCTTACTTTGCTATTGGACGTAGTGGTATAAATTTCTGCGCAAAAAAGTAAATACGGTGCGGTAGATTTAATGCAAAATAAATTCACAGAAAGTATATATTACAAAAAAATCGGCTATTTCATGGAGGGATCGACGGTTTTTCCAGCCGACATAGCGTATTCGGTCATGTACATCTAAAAACGAAACCTCCCTTAATTCATTGTACTGCCGCGGACGTCCTAAAAATCTGTAATTGCTCTTAACATTTAAATTAGATAAGAGCGCTTCTTTTGAGACACCTGACGACTTACTGCATTTCATTTAATCAGCTACCGCTAATTACACTTACGGATACTATTTCCAAATTCAGTTACAGTTTTAAAGCATATTTTAAATTACCAACCTGCTAATAATGAACTGAAATTCTCTCGTATTCAAATTGATCGACAAGAGCTTACGGACAAAGACAATTGAAATATCTTGACGAGAACGGTTGCAAACGGCGAATTAATTACAACTTTTATTTACGGCGACGGCTGTAACACTCTCCTTCCGTACTGTTACAGACCTTCATTTTAAACGGTAAAACGGGCCTGCCGTTCTACAAATCGCCGGTTTTCGACAGCGTGGGATCGCAAATGGGCGGTTTAACCTTGGGCATGGAGAGCTACGGCTTGGACGCGTTCGTATATTGGATCGCCGATTGTAAAAATTTCGAAGGTCGTCAGAGTATGTTCGAGTTCATCCCAGGTAATAGTCCGCTTGAGGAAACCGCAGACTACCACCTTTTGTCTAGGCAGCTCCATCCACCAGCAGAGTCACGCCGACCTTTGCAAATTACGCTTCAACTCGACGATGTCGACGAAACTGTACGCGCTCAACCAGTTCGATCAGCCGCCCGGTATTGAGTTGTACAGTTCAGGTGAATTCGAAACATATCCAAACCCCCGTTAATTGTGCCTTTTTAGAGGACAGAGCCGGTTTGGAGTACAACAATTCAAAACTGCCCATGGATGTTATCAGGTTATACTTGGATCGTCATCCAGAGGTGCAGTTTCAGTTACCGGATTCGGCGGAGGGTGACGATTACGATCAGGGCCCGGTCGGTACTGCGACCAACAAGTATAAAGACGGGTCCAGCTTCAGGCACAAGGATAACGGTCAGGGATTAATACGCGATTTTAGCCGAGCTGAAAATAAGCGAAGGAAGAGTTCTGACCAGGTACGTTGGTGGAATTTACTCGAATTTTGTAAACGCTGCTCTCTGCGTTTCAGAAGCAGCCCAAATTTGACTTAGATTACGACTCCCCCGAAAGTTGGCAGTCGAGGATTTCGACGTTTCCCATTGACGATCTTGGAAGCGACTACAACACGTACCTAGACGAGGACGCTTCCAGCGCATACATCAACAAAAAACTCGTCGCTCCAGCCGCTAACAACAGAGACCCCCGAAGCAAGTTTGCGACGACCCCGAGCCCGACGTCAACGGCAACTTACGGCATATACGATTACAAGAATATCGAAAAGGCGCACACGCGCCTCCTGCACGACCTAAACGATCTACCGAGCGACATCTTGAAGGACACGTACTTTAAAAACCGCGAACATCAACTGCGCAAGTCGCGGTTTGAGCAGCGCGATTTGAAATCGCACGAGGAGCGCATCCGGGAGAGCGCAGACGTGCACAGGATTATCGAGGAGGAGAAGAAATCGGCCCGTAGCGCGCTCGAAACACTCTGGGATCTCGAATCGGAAAAAGAGAAGCAGGAGCGCGACGACGGAAACTGGAGGTCAAAGCGCGACGCCAACTACAGCTTCACCGGAATTCCGAGACTCACGTCAGTCGGTACGTGACACTCCCTCATCTAAGATCCTCTAATATTACTCTTCCAGGTGCGCTTGCCTCGCCGTTCAACTCGTCGAAGAACGCGATTGATCTAATCCTGGTCACTTATTGGATTAATCCGAAGAAGGGCGCCCAGGTTCTTCTGGAGGAGGACTTTCGTTGCATTAACGAGAAGCTGGCGTCGAAAGGTAGCTAGGCAGTTGTATACCGAGTTTTTTGTAAATTTGTAATTTGCAGAGAACGTTCAACCTCTCGATAAGGATGTCTTGGAAGAAATGCTCATGGAGGAGTGCCTGGAGAAGCGAGGAGTCTTTTTGAAGATTCGCACCAATGACAATAATCTTAGTAGCGATTTAAAAAATTTCCCTTACTACCATCAAGTGTCGCGGCTGGGTTTCGGCCAGATGACCGTGTATAGATTGCAGATTAGGTGCATGTGTGAGGCTAAACAGGGTAGCAGGTGCGCAAGGTTTCTACCTTTGCAAGAGCAGCCGTGGCCTTCATACTTAGGAAGATCGGGGGATGGGGTTTTTACGACGAGGAATTAGAAACCTTTGTTGTAAGCGAAAAGTTTTCACGACAAAGAGTATGGATCGCCATTTTAACTTTCAGTGTACGTTTATTGATAAGTTTAAATTGCTCCACTTATGTAAGGATTATCTCCTGATTATTTATTGTCTCCACACTTAATTACAAAACAAACATACATTTACCATAGTTATACGGCGTCTAAAACTACCCCTTGAGTCGTCCAACCTTGGAAAACTGGATCAGTCTCTATTTAGAATTCGTGAAATGGAACCCCAAATTGCTAACGTTACCTCCGAGCTTGTTTGCGAAAAGGAATGCGCGAATGACAAAGGTAACGTATGAATTGTACAAAATTATTTTTTACTGTAGAAATTGAAATTGCTTTAAATTCCCACGTTGGATTTTGTGCGATTGTTCGTTTTGGGCAATATTGTCTCTTAAGATCGCACGGGCTAACGTTGATTTAAGATCTTACGAATTTACTTTGTGTCCACGCGCGAACTTCCCATCGATTTCGACGGTCTGTCGATTTATCTTACTGTTTTCCTTTAATTTGCGTATTTATTCTCCACTAAAGCTATCCTTAGGTTTCAACACAAATTTTACGTAATCCCACGAACTTTACTCTTTAACCACTACCAGGGTAAAAATCTCGCGAACTTAAAACGTGGCTTCCCGCTTGACAGCTTACCACAGAATGTCCAAAGAACAGACTCTACCTCGTCCCTACTTCCTCTATTTCATAAAAACCACCTACAAATTGGCGCTAATAGGTTTGACGCGGCCATCTTTAATCATTAGCCAATAGGATTCGGCCCCTAGTCTAATCACGTGCGCATAGAAAACCCACGGCAGTTTAAAAACTACAGCTCATTATGATAAATAAATCTTATTCATCCGTTTTGGTCACGTAAAGGACATTAAGATTGTGTTACCGGCCGTCAGACTGGCGCTGCGCTGATAAATTTTCTTGGGCCATTAAATGGTTACGACGCATCGGGTAGCCCAAATTTTGGTCGATACATTCATTACGAATGCATTAACCTGAAAAATTAAAAAATAATCGAAATTTCAGAATAAACGACATTCTAATGAAACCACCCTGTATAGGTTTTAATATCTAACTGAAAAATCGCAAAAAATTTAAATCCGCACCGGGGGCTCCCGTTACAAAAGCGGAAACAAGCAGCCATCGTAACCAGAGATCAAAATTAAAATCCAGAAGGAGAAACCGAAACCAGAAACAAGAATGACAAACAGAAATCAACAACAAGAAGGCAAAAACAGATTTGGAACTAAAACACGGATCTGAAACTGGAACCAGATGCGTAAAACCGGAGCTAGAAATTGAAACTAAGAACTGGAAAATAGAACCTGAGTGTTAACTTGTAACTTAAAATGGAACTAAAACCGAAAATAAAAACGGAAAAAGACGATAGAATTCAAAGCTAAAATTATAACCCAATATTGGAAATCAGAGGCAGAACCGGAAGCAGAAACCGTAGGTATTAATGGAAAGTATAAATCCTAGTCAAGAAACCCGAACCAAAAATCGATATCAGAAACCTGAACCGAGCCTGGAAATTAGCAACAGAAATTGGATCTGAAACTTGGACCTAGAACTAGGAACCAAATCTAAATCTGGAAGTGAAACCGAAACAAGGAATCGAAGAACGAGAACCAATATCGCAACTAGAAACTGAAACAGAAACAGAGGATAAGAATCACAAACCGAAGTATGAAATCGGGACGAGAAGTCGAACACTACTTGAACTTGACCGGATTTGGGAACCGTAACCAGAAACCTGGATTTAATCGAGAAACCATAAATAGATGAAAACCAGATCCGAGAAACTGCACTCACAACGCGATATCGGAAACCCGGATGTAGAAACCAACATAAAAAATGCTAACTAAAGTCCGGAACTAGAAACCGAAACTGAAACTAGATCAATGAAGCGAAAGTTGGAATTGGAACCGAGAATTAGAAACCGTAACTAAAATGGAAACCGAAAAAGCACCAATGTTTTAAACCGAAACTAGAAACCGGGAGTTGAACTGGAACCAGAACCATCAGACACCAAATCCTATCCAAAAAGCAAACTAGCAATACTAGAACTAGACAAAGAAACCGGAAACCGGAACGAAAAATCGTAATCAAAGGTTTGAATCATGAACAGGAAATAAGGCAGAACCATGACCACAAATTTAACCTACAAACGAGAACAAAGGATCTGGATCTGGAAACCCTAACGATAGACCAGAACCAAAAATCGCCACTAGAGACCAAAATCAGAGGAACCCAAAATCCGAGTACTTAAACCGTAACTAGAAGACAGAAGGGCGTCGGGAAACCAAAATCAAAAACCGAAACTAAAACTTGGATCTACAAGTTGAAACTAAAAACTCTGCCTGGAACCGGAGTTATGAATTATAACTGAAAACTGGAACTGGGAAGAAAAGACAAAGAAGAAACCCGAACTAGAACAAAACTGGGAAGATGCATCAAGATTCAGAAACCGGACCCAATTTCGGAACCGGAACCTGGAAGAAGAAACCAAACCCGAAAACCAGAATATCGAACAAAAACAAGGAACTTAAAGCAAAAAACCAAAGCTAGATACAAGTACTAGAGACCAGACCGAACGAAAAATATGGACTTTGAGCAGAACCAGAAACCGAAGCTAAGTATCGCAACTGGAGATCAAAACCAGAATCGTGAAGCAGAAACCGAACCCAGAAACATGAAGCGGTAACCTGAATAAAAAACCAGAAACAGGTTCGGAACGAAGACTCGGATTTAAAACCCGAATAAGAAAACAAACTAGAAGTCGGATCTAAAGCCAGAGACCAAAATCAGAAACCTGAACAGAAACGCCGAATCCAGAATCACAAAACCGGAATCAGCAGACTGCACCAGACAAGCAGATCTGGAACTAAAACTCAGAGCTAGAAACTGGAAATGGAACGCAAAATGAAGTTAGGAGAAACCTGAAATTAAAACCGGAACTTGTCCAGGACAAGAACCGCTAAGAACGGGCAACCTGGATTGAAGATCGGGATCGGAATCAGGAACGGGAAACAGAACTACAAACGAGAATTACTAGAAACAAGAACTGGAAACTCGCACAATAGACAGAAACCAAAAATCTCCGCTAGAGACCAAAATCAGGACTAAGAATCCGGGTACATAAACCGGAATCACAAATTGGAACTAAAAAACAGGACGAGGTTGGAAAACCAACCATAACTAAAACTCGGATCTAGAAGTCGGAAGTAAAAACTGTAACTGGAAGCGGAGTTACCAATTCTAATTGAAAGCTGGAACTCAAACCGAAAATATGAACGGAAAAACACAATCCAAAATTAGGAACCTGTATTTGAAACGGCGGGGGATTGAAACCAGAACCATAACAATTCTAGAGAGGATCCAGAAACCGTAACCAGAACCATGAAGAAGAAACCAAACTCGAAAAACGGAACCTAAAACAGACACCAAAGCTGGAAATATCAACCAGAGACCGAAATTAGATACCGTAGACAACAACCGAACTCATAAATCCTAGTAGACTAGACTTAAAAATCCTAGAAACCCCTAAGCTTCTAAAAGTCCTAAAGATTCCAACAATCCTAAAAATCTACATACATAAGAGGAATGATCCTAAAACGGTAATGGAAATCCCGAAGAACCCAAATACAAAAAAAAATCTTAAGGATCCTAAAAATTCTAGAAGACCTAAACATCTTAGTTTACTCAAAATCCCACGATCCTAAAAATCGCAAAGGACCTAAAAATAATAAAAAAAATTATGATGAATATTCAAATCATGCTAAAAATCCTAAAGATCGTAAAGACCTTAAATATTCAAAAGATTTCTTATAAATCTTAAAGATCCGAAAATTTTCCATTTTCTAAGTTTTTCCAAATATTATAAAATAATGTACAAGTTTTTAAAGCGGTCCAAAAAATCCGAATATCTCAAAGATCATAATAATTCTAAAGATGCTGAAGACGCTAAATACTCGAACGATCTTAGAATTCCGATAAGATGGTGACCCGTATGGGTTTGTACTATCAAAGCGGCCTGTTTCTTCTAATCCATAGCCTCGCCATATATGTTTGTAGCGTCCAAACAACAAAAACTTGGTAACCTGCGAGTGTGACGCAAAGACGTTTCTATTTTGCCCCCCCCCCCCCATCAAATTACCCTCAACTGACCTGATTTTAAAATAAAATAATACTATTATTACGGATTGAATGTTAAAATGGCGTTCCATACTCAAATTTTTGTCTTGAAAGCTTCAAAAACACCTTATAACTACATGCCCAAAGTATCTTATTAATAAGATCATATTATACATTGTTAGCGTTATATTTAGCCCACTTTATGTTGCTTGTTTAATTGGGTTAATTGTTTTTGATATCTACCATATTCTATTTGGCATGACAATCGTGAATCCTTTTGGTTTTTGGCTCCTTGCACTCGATGATTCATTCCAATGGTCCAATTTCTAGCACATTCACGAGGTTTTAGGGTATGGAGTCGAAACAATCTTAATACCACAATTTTGTTGGACAACCACTTTGAAAACAAATTTTAGGAAGTCAGTCTTACTACCACTCTAGGATTGTATTCCAATGAGAAAGAAAAAAAAAAGGCACTGGTAACTGGATGTGAGCTTGTAACAGGATAATCAGATGTGACGTGACAAATCCAAGATTGGGGCTTTTTCTTACCTATGCAAAGTCTGCTTGTTATGACCGCCTTTTCACAGTCTGCCAAGTCTATAGTTAGCGCAAACATCATTATCTTCGCGAAAATCTCTAATCTGTGTTGTGTCATCCCACATCCTAATGGCCCATCAAGTATCAACCTGAATGAGCTATCGACTGCAGGGATTTATGACTGACGTGTGTTTTACAATATTTTAATTTTAATACGAATCACGCACAGAGTATTAAAACGCGTGAAATATATCTACTTTTAAGTTCTAATCTGTAAAATATATGAATGTATAAAATAAAGATATCCTTTGTATTTTATTGCTCAATAATTTACAGTCTTTGTTATAAAGTTTCACTAGACTTCGGGTTGCATAAGAGCTCTTAAATATTCGTTTTAGCATGGTTAAGGTAGGTAAGTATGGTACATTTTTGAAAACCTATTGTAACAGATTTTGAGTTCGTATTTTGGTAAACAGGAAAATTTATACATGTACCGCTTCATAGCGAACATGATGTTACGTTCACTTTGGACCAACGTGACAAAATTACCTTAGATAAGCACACGGTAAGCTCAGGCAAAGTAGAGGTGGGTCGGGGTGAATATGGAGTTCTTCTATACAAACACAAATAAGTCAAAAAGGGAAAGAAACAGTAAAAGTAATCCGGATAGGCGCCATTTAATCTTTGATAAATCTAGAGAGAGAGGGAGGAATACTTACTAAAGGGATAAACAAGGCAGACTAAGAGATCCTTCTTCTCGTCTTACTAAACTCGAAGGAATGCACAATTATGGGGAAAAAAACATAAATATTATTTGATGTCATAAATGCGGGTGGTTTAATACTTTTATTTTTCATTTGCCTATTATATGTCAATTATATCTGTCATATGTGATATATGAAGCAGTCTATTACGCCCAAGGGCATAATGAGAGGGCATAATGGATTGTCATCTCATTATGCCCTCAAACGGCCTGTCAAATTGATTGACGGAGTTATATTATGTCATAAAAAAGATGCAACTTGATTCGTATGGAGCACTTTAATGTTGGGCAAACAATAATCATGACATTTGTATATTGGAAATGCATTCTTTGGAATGATGAAAAATAAAATGTTGTATGCACCTCACGCATTACTCAATATTTAACCCTCGGGCGACTTACAATCCCTCGGGCCGGAGGCCCTCGGACTCTGTCGCCCTCGGCATAAATATCGCCTTAATGCCCTTGATGCATAAATAACTATAATACAATGATCTCAAAATATCACAAATCTGACACTGTTATATATAGATCTGGTATGTCAAAATGGGAACTTAAAATAATCTCTAATAAAAAAACAAATGAGAAGCCAACACGTAGCCGGGGAAACTATTTATCCAAAAAGGGCTTCCGCAGAAATAACGGAGCTATAATCATTAAGTGACTTTCAAACAAAGTAATAATCACAACTCGTTAGTATCAAAAACCAAAATGTAATCAAACGTTAAAAGGGAAAAACGACGAAAACAACTAAATTTACCTTTGAACTACGGTCGCAACCTTCTGAGCTCAGAGGACGCGAAACTGCAAATCTGTAAACAGACAGACACACAAACAAAAAAATATAAGGGTAATGATTCGCGTTGCACAATATATCGCATAAGCAATGGTTAACGTAAGACACGAAGGGTTATTCTTATACGTAGAATTGCAATCAATACTAAAAAGAATCAAAAATTCAAATGACTTTACGACAAAACAAAATTTGGTTCGACTAAGGTTTTTGCAATCGGTATGAGATATCAAAAAGTGACATGAAGTCTTAAGCAAAAAAAACTATAAAATGTACAAATAACTGAATCTCTCTTCAATGACAAAGCAATCTTATCAATTCAAATGAAACCAAACTTACACGAGCAAGTTCTTCAGAGCAAAATACATAACGTTAATTAAAATTGTAGAAATTTACTTCGGACAAAGTCTCGGCAATTTTTAGAACTAGATATCACAAACAAAAGTAGTTAATATGAAGGATAAAATACAGTATACTAACAAATATAACTATCTGGGTAACACAAATATGATATCGATCGTAGATGATATTATCGTTAATGTAAACTTCGGTAACGACAAAACTAAACGTAATCGGGTAACTGGGTATACAAATACATACGAACGATTTACACAGTACCACACGTCTTGTTATTTAGGTACTTGCGTTTCGGAGGAATCAATCGTAGGTCAACGAACATCGCAAAATTGGGTCATCAGTTCAAATCGGTTTCACACGAAATGGCGGTAATTTTTCAGTCGATAAGGTAGAAATATGCAGGGCGTTTTTGACTGGTAATGGCATCGAAATTTCAATGGAATTCTTTTGCACAATATCGAAAATCGGGAATTCGCGTTTCCACTTAGAAATATCAATGCACAATCAGGAAGCAATTGGTAACTCCAAAATAAGAAGTAAAAAAACTCAGGGAATACGAAAGTAGCCTGAAATGGATTATTTAAAGTATATAGATAATGCGTCATAGACAACATACCGTAAACGGCCTTAAACTTGTAAGATGAATCCGCAGAAATGCGTCAGCGAAGTTGGAAGTAAGATAATAAGAGAAAAACTTCACTAATCTTAATACAAACACCACATAAATATCCCAAAAAGGTAGACAATGATGTCAAGTAAGTGTAATGGCGTGTAGCTCAAGTACAAGTCAAGATCGATTCGAATTCTTCAACAAGATTTTGTAACCGGCTGGTTACTTTTCAACTCTCCTTACCGTTTCTTCTTAAAGTATCTTATTTAGGGTTGGTTCTTCTTTACATAAAATAATTGTTGGGCGCCGGCTAGCTTCAGTCGATGATTCTTCTGGCCTCAAGGAGAGGGGAAAGGATAAATAAATAACAATCAATAATCTTTATTAAAACCTGTTAAGTCCTTTTTCTCTTAGAAATCGCCTTTTCACTGTAACTAACACATAAGAGAAATGGGGGCGAGGATAACTTTGTCGCACGATCGATGTGGAAATCGAATGAATTCGGACCGCCTACTGCAGCCTGCTATTCGCTTTTTAGTTGGACCAATCACAGGCAGGCTGGTTTATCTTGGTCTTCGTTTGGTACTCTCTAGATGGACTACGCACGGACCGCAGACGGAACAAGCACCAAGGAATACTCGCCTTCGATAATCTCGCAACTTTCCATTTTTCTTCTTTGCGCCTTGAAGCATCGTCTTCGTCTTCTTCGTTGGCTCGATCGAGATGATTTCACTCGGTTCTTTTGCTTCTTTTCTTACAAAGATCGCCTTAACGCTCTGTTATTAAACTCCGCGGGCGCGACTGACATAGATGTTGCTCCGTAAAAAGGCGGCGGGCAACTCCTTTCTGGTGCTTGAAATCCCCGTATTTATACTTTCTCACTTAGTATCCACTGACCTCAATTCGCTTTATCGCGCAAACTCGCACATGTATAAATAGCTTGAACGCCCGTGACTTAAGCTTTTGACACTTTGGCATGGGTAGAGAATAGACGAATTTAGTCGCTCTACTAGCTCTCAATTAATTATTTACAATGACTCGGACTTTGACCTTAGCGTTAATACTCGTTATTTCTATGCAGTTTTTTACCCTAATTTACATATTTACATACGGTGAATGTAATTCACGATTCGCGATTATTACTTATGTTTAATTCTCTTTCTGCGTCATAGCGGCTATATTTGAAATGCACACTCGGCTACAATAACTTGAAATAAACAATTCTCCTTTAAATGCATTCCTATTCAGTCACATCATTCGTACTTGGGAGTCATGATTACATTTAGACTGGCTACTTTAATTACGAAAAAATAAAACTTTAAATAACCTGTACAGAAATACTGTTACAATTTGCGCGCGCCAACAGTAAGTGGGAGAAAAACGCGCAACAGAAATCTAGACGGGAAGGTTTTAAAATAGTATATTGTGAGGACGGGTAATATTGTTGTTTTCAGCATTAGGTTCAAAAATGGTAGAGAAATCGTAATCGGCAGTTTTGCAAACTCCATTATTGATCAAACAAGCGCATGACAACAGCTTGACGTCAAGTGCACAACACAAAATGACCAAACTAACGAGACCCAACGATTATTTATACGGTAAGTACACCGTAAAAGTGGCCCAATGCAGCCTCTCGCTTACAGATCCTCTGTTCACGGTTTCCGGCGAAAGGGACTATTACAAAGCCGCCATGGCGGCGAAGATGTCCAGTGCCAAATACGTAAGTCACGCGTTTTCACAAAGTGCAGCAGTATCACCCCCCTTTTAGGCGATTTGTCCGATTTTCCCCAGCATGTTCTCAGATCTTCCCCATCAGCCTCGCCAGATGATAGTGTTGAGAAAGACGGGTTCCATTCCACAATTCAAGCCACAGGTTGAGTTCAGGAAATCCGTGGACATAATCGGCGTGGACCGCTTTAAGTTCTTTCAAACGTATAAGTCGCCGGTACAACACCATCTGCTGACCGAGTAATTTTGCAGACCGATCCCCTTGTCCATCAGCCCCGTGCTGACGACGCCGAGACTGACCTTTAGCCCTCTCATCTCCGCTCAGAAACCGGCGAGGAAAAGGCACAAAATGATTCAAACCCAATATCGAGAGTCGTCAGCTCAAACCATCCCCTGGCAGCCGAGCAGCTACACTATAACGGACGATAGCCATCCCGAATTATTAATGCTCGATTTCTTAAAGTGGGGTTAGTCGCATCGACTGTGAAGTAAGGCATTTCAGATAATCCGTAGGTTGCGGGTTACCGGCCGGCATGCACGAGGTGCGCCTAATCGAGAGGGCGCGCATGAAGAGAGCGTGGGAGAATTCACTGCCGCCCGCTACCGATGATGCCAGCATCGAAAAGATGCGGGCGATGACTGAAGCGATCGAGCGAGACGAGTGGGCCTTTCGAGAACAGGTGACCGGTGTAGATACAACTTAGGGGAGTAGGAAAAACTGCTGTTGCCATTGTAGGAAATACAAGACATACAAGACTTACGCTTGCAATTGCTGGTGCGCATGCTGAACGAGCTACACGCTAAGTCTCATATTAGAACTGAGATGAAACTGAAATCATTTTGCAAAACAAAGATGGCCGAAAAAGAGGAAAAGCTACAAAAGCTTCATAGAGATGGTAATAGGGGTGAGTCAATCACTGATTACATGGCCGCCGAAAGGCAAAGGTTCATTTTTTATGGACGCTACGAACCTGTATGGCTGGGTTATGGGTTACAAGAGAAAAATAGCTTTATACTACAAATCCATATGGTTCGTCAGGCGAATCACGTGATGCGAAAACACGTGAACCAATCTTAACGTTGAAACAAAAACGTTCTTATTCCAATATAACTAATTGGCTCTTGTTTTCTGTTGATCGCCTCATTGGACCTTTGGACGTATAGACTCGGCAATGGAATTTTTTTAACTTTTGGCTTCCTTTCGCTCATTGGATGCTAGAACCCACTTGAATTATTTGCATCGATGACTTTATACAACCCTTTATTCAAATCTTGGAATCGCACGTTTCTCGGAATGTTTGCGACTCTTTGAATCTTTGAAATCTTCGAAATCTTTGAAATCTTCGAAATCTCTTAAATCCCTTATCTTTTGAGACCTCTTGAGTTCTGTTGAGTTCTCTCGAGTCTTTTCGAGTCTTCTCGACTCCTCTCGAATCTTTTCGACTCCTCTCGAAACCTCTAGAATCCCCTCGAATCCTCTCCAATCCTCTCGAACCCTCTCGAATCCTCTCGAATCCGTTGGAATCGCTTAAATCTCGTAAATCTCTTAAATCTATCTCTTGAATCTCTTGAGACCTCGAGTTCTGTTGAGTCCTATTGAGTCCTTTCGAGTCTTTTCAAGTCCTCTCGAGTCTTCTCGACTCCTCACGAATCCTTTCGACTCCTCTCGAAACCTCTAGAATCCTCTCGAATCCTCTCGAATCCTCTCCAATCATCTCCAATCTTCTCGAACACTCTCGAATCCGTTGGAATCGCTTAAATCGCTTAAATCTCTTAAATCTCGTATATTTCGTAAATCTCTTAAATATCTCTTAAATCTTTAGATCTCTGAAATCTTTGAAATCTCTGAAATCTCTTAAATCTCTGAAACTTCTGAAATCTCTTAAATCTCTTAAATCTCTTAAATCTCGTAAATCTCTGAAACCTCTTAAATATCTTAAACCTCTTATATCTCCCCTAAATCTCTTAAATCTCTTAAATCTCGTAAATCTCTTAAATCTCTTCAATCTTTGAAATCTCTTAAATATCGTAGATCTCTTACATCTCTGAAATCTCTTAAATCTCTTAAATTTCTTAAATCTCTTATATCTCTTAGATCTCTGAAATCTCTGAAATCACTTAAATCTCTTAAATTTCGTAAATCTCTTAGATCTTCGAAATGTCTTAAATCTCTTAAATATCTTAAATCTCTTAAATATCTTATACCTTTTAAATCTCCCCTAAATCTCTTAAATTTCTTAAACCTCTTAGATCTGTTAGATCTCTTATCTTAGATCTCTGAAATCTCTTAAATATCTTAAATTTCTTAAATCTCATATCTCTTAGATCTCTGAAATCTCTGAAATCTCTTAAATCTCGTAAACCTCTGAAACCTCTTAAATATCTTAAATCTCCCCTAACTCTCTGAAATCTCTAAAATCTCTTAAGTCTCTTAAATCTCTTAAATCTCTTAAATCTCTTAAATCTCTTAAATCTCTTAAATCTCTTAAATCTCTTAAATCTCTTAAATCTCTTAAATCTCTTAAATCTCTTAAATCTCGTAAATCTCGTAAATCTCTGAAATCTCTTAAATATCTTAAACCTCCCCTAAATCTCTTAAATCTCTTAAATTTCTTAAATCTCTTAGATCTCTTATCTTAGATCTCTGAAATCTTTTACATCTCTTAAATTTCTTAAATCTCCCATAATCTAACCCCTAAATCTCTTAAATTTCTTAAACTTTTGAAATCTGAAATCTTTGAACTCTTCAAAATCTTCGAACTCTCCAAAACTTTTGAAATCTACGAATGATCGAATGATCCCAATGATTCCAAGATCCAAAAAAAAAGATCGTAAAGATCCTGCAGATCTCAAAAATCCTAAAGATCTTAAGGATCATAGTGAACCCAGAGATATCAACGATCACAGACATCCTAAACACCTCAAACATCCCAAAGATTACAAAGGTTCCAACTTTCAAACAGTACAAAGATTGCAATGATTTCAAAGATTCCCTAATATTCCAATGATTCCGAAGTACCAACCATTCGAAACCTTTCAACGATTCCATTGATTCCAAACATTCCAAAGATTCTAAAGATTTTAGGAAGTCTAAAAATAATAAAAATTCGAATCATTTTCACGACGCCAAAAATACTAATGATCCGAATAATGTCAGACAGTTGCCAAAAATGATAAAAATGCTAATTATACCAATGGTATTAGATTAAGAGGTACTAAACATCTTAAAGTAAAGATGCTAAATATCCCAAAGATTCCAGAGGGACCAAAAATCACAAACATTGAACGTTGAAATAGTAGAAATCGTTGGGATGATTGGGATCATGGGAACCATTGGAATAGTTGGAATTGTATCATCCTTGATCATCCGGATCATTAGTATTTTTGGCATCGCTAAAATCATACGAACTATCATTAGCCTCTCTAAAATCTTTAGAATTTTTGGAATGTTTGGTATCTTTGGAATCATTGGAATATTAGGGAATCTTTGAAATCATTAGAATCTTTGTAATGTTTGAAAGCGTTGAAATCGTTGGACCCTTTGTAATCCTTGGGATGTTTAGGGTGTTTGGGATGTTTGTGATCTTTGATATCTTCGGGATTTTTAGGATCGATAGGTTCGGTAGGAACTTTAGAATCATTGGGATCTTAAGGACCCTTACGATCTTAAGTACCCTTAGAATCTTTAGAATCTAGAATCTTTCTCTAGAATCTCTAGAATCTTTAGAATCTTTAGAATCTTTAGAATCTTTACAATCTTTAGAATCTTTAGAATCTTTAGAAACTTTAGGATCTTTAGGATTTTTAGGATCTTCAGGACCTTTAGGATCTTCAAGATCTTTAGGATCTTTGGAATCTTTAGGATCGTTAGCACCTTTAGAATCTTTAGGATCTTAGGGTCATTAGGGTCCTTAGGTTCTTTAGCATCTTTAAGATCTTTAGGATCTTAAGGTTTTACAAAATGTTTAAGATTTATGATTGTTACAATTCTGAGCTTTTATTGTTGACAATAAACAATTTACTGATTAGTGAATATGAATTCTCAGCGTTGCGCAAGTTAGAGATGAGGCACCGCGGTATCAAGCAAAGCTACCATCCTGTAGATATCATCGAGGAATGCGCCGATCGGAAGTCGGAGATGTACGCGCCTTTAATGCGACACGGCGAACACCCGTGGAACTGGCACCAAGTCATTGACGATCACGACAGGAAGTACCAGGCGCAATTTCTGGGAGTCGAGGACGTGGGCACTCTTCCTCGCTGGCTGGACGACGCGACCGCCATAAGAGAATCGTCGATTCACCTCCCCGGTACTCGACTCTGCATAAGGGAGACCAAGTGGACCTCTCCGGTGCTGAAGGAGCTGTACGACGAGTTAAAACGTAAGTTAGTATTTGACTAAGAGACGACCAACGAGCTGGTTTCCAGATCTGCGCAAGAAGGAGAGACAAAAGTGCTCGCTGAAGGTTAAGGTCGATGAACAGGAGATACCAGAAGCGCAAACGCCGCAGGTAGCCGAAGGGGATGACGGCGAAGAGCAACTGCACCAATCCGTAATTCTCATGGAAAGGGTTCTTCGTGGTCGCGCCTCGCAGGTTCTGGTAAAAGCCTTCATTATGCTGCCATTATTGGACGATGTGCAAATTTTTAGCCCATCACGTACTAAGCGAGGATTCGTTTTCAATTAGATAGTATTCTTAGAGTTAAAGTGCACATTTATTTAGATATTTGAAGGGAGGGATAGATGCAGAGAACTGATTCAGGAGTTGCGCAGTACGCATGCGTTACAGGAGCACGAACGAGAAAAGGTGCTTCGAGAAAAGCTCGAGGTTGAATCGCGACAGAGGGCCTACGAACTGTGTGTTAAAAACGTAAGTCGATCCGCAGCTTCCGTTACTTGTAACCTCACATTGCGCATAAGGCCAGAATGCTGAAGGAGTCGTTGAGTAAGCTTTCGGGAGGCGTTGTCGGCACGCTGCTCGATTTTCTCAACAAGGAGCAGCGAAGGTTGCTGGACGAGCGTAGGATTCATGCCATGTGCTTGGCCTTCGAAAGGGAGAGAAACGCGCGCGAGGCCGCAGAGGGTGGAAGGCGTCAGGCTGAGATACGAAGAAGGGCAGAGCATGATGAAATTTTTAAGCAAGTAAGTGTGCCCCCTATTTGCTCCCTACCTGCTTCCAACGTTGTTTCAGAACCTTTAAGGCCTCTTGATTCTCTGGTATTTCTAAAATTTTTAAAATCTTAAGGATCTTGATCTTGAGGGTTTTAAGGATTAAGGATTTTAAGGATTGTAGAGATTGTGAGGATTGTAGGGATTTTCAGGATTTTCATGATTTTAAGGATGTTAAGGGTTTTAAAGTTTTAAGGGTTTTAAGGACTTTATTTTAAGGATTTTTAAGGTTTTAAGGGTTTTAAGGATTTTGAGATTTTTAAGCATTTTACGGTTTTTAAGGGTTCAGGATTTTAAGGATTGTGAGGATTGTAGGGACTGTAGGCATGGTGGGGATTTTCAGGATTTTCATGATTTGAAGGATGTTAAGTGTTTTTAGGTTTTAAGGATTTTAAGGCTTTTAAGGATTTTAACGATTTTAAGGATTTTAAGGATTTTAGGAATTTTAAGGATTTTAGGAGTTTTTAGGATTTTATGGATTTTAAGGTTTTTAACGATTTTAATGATTTTAAGGATTTTAAAGATTTTACCGATTTTAAGGATTTTTGGGGATTTTAAGGATTTTAACAATTTTAGGGGTTTTAAGGATTTTACGGATTTTAAGGATTTTGAGATTTTTAAGCATTTTGCGGATTTTAAGGGTTATGGATTTTAAGGATTGTAGGGATTTTCAGGATTTTCATAACTTTAAGGATGATAAGGGTTTTAAGGTTTTAAGGATTTTAAGGCAACGATTTTATGCATTTTAAGGATTTTAACGATTTTAAGAATTTTATGGACTTTAAGGATTTTTAAGGATTGTAAAGATTGGGAGGATTGTAGGGATTGTAGGAATTTTCAGAATTTTAGGATTTTCATGATTTTAAGGATTTCTTTAATGCATCCTGTGAGACAAACAAAGTGTATAGGAAAAGTCAATTAAACACAAATAAGACAAACATTTGACAAGCATTTGACACTTTCAGGATTTTCAAGATTTTCATGATCTTAAGGATGTTAGGGTTTTCAAGTTTTAAAGATTTTAAGGCTTTTAAGGATTTTAACGATTTTAAAGACTTTAAGGATGTTAATGATTTTACGGATTTTAAGGACTTTTAACATTTTAAGGTTTTTAACGATTTTAATGATTTTAAGGATTTTCAGGATTTTAATGATTTTAAAGATCTTAAGGATTTTAAAGATTTTAACGATTTTAAGGATTTTAGCGATTTTATGGATTTTAGAGATTTTAAGGCTTTTATGGATTTTTATGGATTTTAAGGATTTTATGAATTTTAAGTATTTTAAGGATTTTAACAAGTTTAGGTTTTATGGATTTTAAGGATTTTGAGATTTTTAAGCATTTTACGGATTTTAGGGGTTTTCATAATTTTAAGGATGTTAAGGGTTTTAGGGATTTTAAGGATTTTAACGATTTTAAGAATTTTAGGGACTTTAAAAGTTTTAAGAATTGCGAGGATTGTAGGGATTGTAGGAATTTTCAGAATTTTTAGGATGTTCATGATTTTAAGGGTTTTTTTTATTCATCTTGTGAGACAAATAAGGTGTATAGGACCAGTCAATTAAACACAAATAAGACAAACATTTAACAAGCATTTGACATTTTCGGGATTTTCAAGATTTTCATGATCTTAAGGATGTTAAGGGTTTTCAGGTTTTAAGGGTTTTAAGGATTTTAACGATTTTAAAGACTTTAAGGATTTTTAGGATTTTATCGATTTTATGGATTTTAAGAGTTTTATGGATTTTTATGGATTTTAAGGATTTTGAGAGTTTTAAGCATTTTACGGATTTTAAGGGTTAAGGATTGTATGGATTGTAGGGATTTACAGGATTTTCATGCTTTTAAGTATGTTAAGGGTTTTCAGGTTTTAAGGATTTTAAGGCTTTTAAGGATTTTAATGTTTTTAAAGATTTTATGGATTTTAAGGATTTTATGGATTTTAAGGATTTTGAGGTTTTTCATCATGTTGCGGATTTTAAGGATTAAGGATTGTAAGGATTGTGAGGATTGTAGGGATTTTCAGGATTTTCATGATTTTTGTTTAAGGGTTTTCAGGTTTTAAGGATTTTAAGGCTTTTAAGGATTTTTAGGATCTTAACGTTTTTAAAGATTTTGATGATTTTAACGATTTTAAGGATTTTAAGAACATTAACGATTTTAAAAATCTTAAAGATTTTAGCTATTTTAAAGATTTTAGGGGTTTTAAGGGTTTTAAGGATTTTTAAGGATTTTAAGGATTGTAAGGATTGTGAGGATTGTAGAGATTGTAGGAATTTTCAAAATTTTTAGGATTTTCATGATTTTAAAGGTTTTTTTTATTCATCCTGTGAAACAAACAAAGTGTATAGGACAAGTCAATTAAACACAAATAAGACAAACATTTGACATTTTCAGGATTTTCAAGATTTTCATGATCTTAAGGATTTTAAGGTTCAGGTTTTAAGGATTTTAAGGCTATTAAGGATTTTAACGATTTTAAGGATTTTATGGATTTTAAGGATTTTAACGATTTTAAGGATTTTATGGATTTTAAGGATTTGTATGGACTTTAAGGATTTTAAGAATTATACGGATTTTAAGGATTTTATAGGTTTTAAGGATTTTAAGGATTTTGAGGTTTTTTACGAATTTTAAGGATTAAGGATTGTAAGGATTGTGAGGATTGTAGGGATTTTCATGATTTTAAGGATGTTAAGGGTTTTCAGGTTTTAAGGATTTTAACGGTTTTAAAGATTTTAACGATTTTAGGCATTCTAAGAACAGTATGGATTTTAAGGATTGTAGATGTTTTTAGGATTTTATTGAACTTCAGTATTTTTTAAATTTTTATGATTTTAGGGATTTTTAGCACATTTTTTAAGAATTAAAAAAGATGTGCTCTTTGCGTTTTGTCCGTCCGTCCGTCCGGACCCACTTCTGCCGTTTCGAACTGCTTCTAGGGGAATGGTCCTAGAGTCCTGGAATTTTTTGCAGTAGGTAGCCTATACATCAGGGGGGGATTAAAAATTAATTTTATCTCGCATTGTATTCTAATTAAAGGTCTCGACGAAAGGAACCGTTTTCTACTAACTACTACCCTTCTTTATCTGTCCTCTTATGTCACAAAGGGCGATTGAAACCTCTGCAAGAAATGTATCCATTGGTGATGTCAAAACAAAAGCTATTTCGGTTAAAAAAATGCGCTTTATCTGCACAAGAGTTGTGCACAATTTATACTTGTTTATTTTTATTGCCATGATTTGTAGTGTTTAGAACGTTTAAGAAAATGTTATGATTGTGTGATTTCTAGGAATCCTAAAAACTTCTAGGAATATTTGGGTTTTTTTTTACTATTTTTCAAATTTTCGGAGTTTTTAGGATTTTGTTATATTTCGTATTGTTGGTCTTTTTAGGAAATGTAAGTTTTTATTTTAGAATTTTTAAGATTACCATGAACAAACCGCTAGCGATTAGAGAAACACGCGGCAAATTTTTGATTATCTCGAAATTATACCTACAGTTCTTTCTCTCACCTAGGTTGCCAAAGTGACTCAAGACACCGTCGATTTGTACCTGGAAGACATAATAACCGAAGGTATGGAGTTCGCTTCCAAAACGGAGGCGAGTAACTACGTAAGACGTCTGGCCCAAAAGATCGACAATGAAGTTCGCTCCCACGAAGACCAGTAGGTTTCTCTTCAAGTGCATTCCTACAACTACCCGCACTTTCAGATCAACCTACGAAGAGAAGGAAGAGCTAGTGGCAAGCTTAGTGCACCACTTTTTACTGCCGGAAGCCGAAAAGGAACTAGTTCGAGATAAAATCAGAAAAAAACAACACAACCGTTTGAAGGCAGCTCACGACACCATCTACAGCCAGTACGATCGGTTGCCGAAGGCGGAACCGAAACGTATGAAAGACGCCGAAAGATGATCATTTTCATTTCGATTTATCTAGCCATCTCCGTCGAGGAGAACGTGTCGTACAAAACTGAAGACACTCTTTCTAGTGTGTCAGAGATCATCCACCAACAAACTACCGACAATAGTAGCAGTCAAGTGACCGTCATTTACAGTGCAACCAGTAAACTCGGTTCCTTTAACCTTTAACTGCATCCGGTTGTGATTGTAGGAGCCGGACACTCAAATTTCGAAATGCTGAGCGAAATCCATTCGGTTATGGAATCTCTCATTGACAAAGAAGACATATCGTCCAACATAACGATTGGTTCGAGTGGCGTTCCGGTAAAGTGTGCGGGTGAGTATGGGCACTTCCGGTCTGTCGTCGAAATCGTCGCCCTTTCTCTTTCAGAAACGAACCTCGATATGAAAACATTGGAGATGCCGATTGGTGTTAGCGAAGAAATTGTAAAAGAGAGCAAATCCTTCTTATTAAACAGCCCTTAACAAAATGCATCACGTTTTTGTTAGTAAACAATCTTTTATTGCGATTTGTTGTATTTGAATCGAATACTGTAGTATCCAAGAGGTAACATATAGGTTCAAAACAAGTTTTGGGAATTATGGGTCAGGTATAAACAGGTACCAAGATTCTAAGAAAGGGTGAAATACACAGGATGCGACTCATCTTTGGTGCAATAACGTCCTTTTGTTAAAAGCAAGATGGAAAATTACATGGCCTTGTAGGCAAATTCAACTAAAGACGAAATATGCGGAAATTATTGAATCGCCACTCATTTATCGCACATAGATTCTAAACTGAAGAGCTCTGATTAGCGTAATCCCGCTCCTGCAAGATGGGTAACCCGCCCCTGGCTTCGGGGTTTCGAGCCTACAGTTGAATGTTGAAGGCAATCACGGAATTAAGTATCGTAACTCAATTTTGACCACAGTTTTTACCACCCCCGTGACTAGGGTTACCAACTCTCCCGGAATTCCGGGATTCTCCCGGAAAAGGGATATTGGGTATTAAAATCTCCCGGCTCCAGGAATGCACCTAAATTCTCCCGGAGTTTTACATTTTACAATTCGAATTCGGCCGCGTGTTTCTCAGCATATGAGGATTACTGTTTACTAAGGGAAGTGCGAGAAATGGTAGCAGGAAAAACAAAAAGGGTAGACTTGCGTTGGGTTTATTTTTTTGAAAAATGTGTGGACGAATGTGGTCTAGAAATAAAGAAACTCGTTTCGTTCGTTCTGTCGATTTCCATCGCAAATGCCGCTGCTGAGCGCGTTTTTAGCGTAGTGAATGAAATTTGGACCAAAAATCGTAATCGTCTTAGCGAAACTCATGTTAAGTCTGAAATACAGGTGTGTACAAATTTCAAATATACGTGTAAAGATTTTTATAATTTTATTATTTCCAATCAAAAGGCATTGCAAGCTGCTCGAAGTGTCAAGAAATATAACTTTAAAAATGTAACCATCGAAAAATGATACACTTCACTGCTATTTTAATGTCTGTTTTGTCGCTTTTATAATAAATACGAGATTTTCAGAATTTTTTTTCCTCCCGGATTTTGTATCCATGGGGTTGGTAACCCTACCCGTGACTGTTTCATTCACGGAGAAAATTTTTAGTAACAAACAACCAGTCAGTACATACATCAAACGAATCGGTAATTTTCACATATTAACATAAAATGAAAACTTATATGAATGTTACTTCAGGGACCAGATCAAGTAATCAACACATAAACATAAATTAAGCAAACATTACACCAAAAACGTAAACAATTACAAACAATAGCATAACGGTATCACCTATGTGATTGTGCATTGTTAAACCATGTAAATTTCAAAAACAAAGATTCAAACACACAAATAATATAAAATGCGGCATACAAAACACAAATACGATATAAAGAAATGCCAAAATTACTTACCTGCATTAAATAACACAAAATAACAACAAACATTTATGGAGCGACGCGTTCACGACCGCCATTCAAGACAAGATGCCAAAACGTACCCCACATTCGGGCTTTCCAGATGGCGCAGACAGCTTTTCCCCACCTAGAAATTGCATGGTTGCCAACTCTCAAAAATGTATGTATCGTCGTAAGTTGTATATACAGGATGGAACCTCTCACAATTATTGCTATTATTAGCAAGGTAATTTATTTTCGTCCTTATTCGTAGTTGCATTGTTTCATGACAGGGCTGATTATCTAAGATAATAACCCATTTTACTTTAACCAAGTTACAAACCACACGAAGGTAGGATTAAAACCATTTTTACTTTAGCCAACCACTCAAGATTACGACATCTTGCTTATGGAATGCGTTTGGAAAATCACGTCCCTAGTTGCATTGTAAGGAAATACTTGTGGCGACGGGTCGCTTGCACATCCGGCACCCTCATTGGTCAAAACGGTCAACCGATGAGAGTGTAGCGCTCCTGGCCGCAAACGTTTATTTATGTGTACTTTCTCTTGCATTTCGTTGCTGTAGGACGTAGGTGATTTATCTCATGTATTTGTGCGGCCTATGCCGGGGTTTTTGTCCCGTCGAAGGTTTCCCTGGTATGGTCTTGTTGTGTGCGTAATATATTTATTTATTCTTGTCATTTCTTACGCACAAAAGTTCTGTCTTTTAATTAATTCCCTTCCCGATTATGTGTCACGTCCCAACACGTACAAGAACCGATTTCACAACTTAGGAGTTCATTCGTGCCACCCATTTGGAGCCGACTGCCAACCAAATTCAAAAGTACCGCGAAAAGTTCATCGTTTCGACTTGAAAGGTAGGTGGTTCTGCATGTAGATTTTTTGCCAGAGTTGGCAACGGTTAAGTATAGGGTAAGTCAACGTTTTCAGTGTCTGCTTGATAGACCCTTACAGATTGCATTGCTATTGAATAGAAATTTAGTTATTTTGTGCATCGTAAAGTTCTTTTCTTGAATTTAACGCCACTTCTATGCTGTTATGCACGATTGAAAGGACGCGCTTTTCTGAGCTCAAAAGGTTGCGACCTTAGACCATGTAGTACGTTGCGACCCGAAGTTCAAAGGTAAATTCTGTTGTTTTCGTAGATTTCCCTGATTTAACGTTTGATTACATATTGATATTCGATATAATTGAATTGTAATTAGGTAATGCATTTGCTTGAGATTCACTTAACAATTTATAGCTCCGTTGTTTCTGCGCAAGCCTGTTTTGATATTAATATTTTCCCTTTTTACTAAAAATTAATTAAAATTCAAATATTAACAGAGCAGATTTTATAGGACGTATATTACAGTGACCTATTTGTAATATTGTAATATTTTCATTAAAACGCCATCGAATTTATTTTATTGTTGATGTTGCATTCCTATCAATTATTGTATTCCTTTAGCTTCGCAGAACCAGAACAATGATCTCTTAGGCTCGGTTTTACAATGTCAGTTTAAACTTCTGATTAGTTTCACTGACAGATTTCAGAAACATTATTGGGTCAACTTGTGAAATATTAGCCAATCAAATCCTCACAATTTAACTATAAACTTAAGTTTGGACTGACATTGTACAACTGGGCCTTACTCTGCCTTGTTGCCCTTTTTAGTAAGTATTCTCCTCTCTTTTTCAAAATTTACTGAAGACTGTGGCGCATATTTGGATTACTAGTACTACTTTTCCCTTTTGCTTTACGTTTGCTTGTGTAAAAGAACACATTAAAATACCAATTAAAAAGTATTCATCTAATTCGTATCTTCTGACTTTGGTATCGTTGTACGCTGTGTTGTCTAATTGTAAGCGTTAAGAACAAAGAAAAAGTGAGCATTTCTTTGGAAACATGTCATGTTTGGCAACGATGCAAAAATTACCCTACAATTGAAAATTGGCATCTAGGCCGAGTTTGTATTCGCCATAACCTCAAATACGCATCTTCATAAACAGTGATAATAAAAATGTAAATAAGACTAAACATTTAACTACTAAGTTGCAAAGTAATACAAAAACTCGCTATCCTTTCCACTAAATGTGTAAAAAAGAGTGTTAAAACTTGTAATAATGTTTTCTATGTGTAAACAAACTCACCCCGCTACGGGGGTGGAACACGCAATTAGCTGCCACTTTTTCAATAAGGCGGAAAGAAGTCTGATAACGGCCGCCGCGAATATCTTAAAAATATTTCGTTTAATTCCCGACGTCGATGCGAAAATAAAACCGACCGACCTGCGTCCGCCCAAATCGAAGCTGGAATGCGTCGCACAGTACACTCTTTTCGGCAACGTGATGTCGATGCAAAGTGTGAACCTCGCGAACGGCCCGCGCGACGCGGTTCTTCTGGCCTTCTCCGATGCGAAACTGTCAATTGTCGAGTACGACCCCGACAGTCACGATTTGAAGACTTTAAGCTTGCACTACTTTGAAGAAGACGATATGAAGGTAAACATTAGCGATTGTCCCTCTCGTATTTAACTCGTGCTCGTTTAGGACGGCTGGACACAATTTCACCACAATCCGATCGTAAGGGCCGATCCAGAAAATCGTTGCGCCGTCATGACGGTCTTCGGTAGAAAACTGGTCGTGCTACCGTTTCGGCGCGAGTCCGCCATCGACGACGGCGATCCGACCGACGTCAAACCGATGATCACGAGCTCGTACGGGTCTAAGGCACCGATTTTGGCTTCCTACATGATCGTGCTAAAAGACTTCATCGATAAAATCGACGACGTCATCGATATACAGTTCTTGCATGGATATTACGAACCGACGCTCCTTATTTTATATGAACCGCTTAAGACATTCTCAGGGTAAGGCTCATTCATTTTTTTTCTCACTCACACACTTTTAAATACATGATTGCCAGCAACTTCTCTGAGTGAGTGAGTGAGAGAACAGTACATACAAATTTCTAAAATCTTATTAATATTGTGCACTAAAAGTTAACATTTGCAAAATCATCATGATCCCGATATCTCAACTTGCTAAATCAAAAAACTGAAAATCACAATTCCATATTTCCAAAATTTCAAATTCCTAAACATTCAAAATCTCCATAATCACAAAAATCTCATTTCCATAATACCTAAATTAACAAATTACCAAAATTTGGAAATTCTAAAACCCTAAGATTCCAGAATTTCAAAAAAAATTAGATATATTTCCTAAATTCGCAAATCCAAAAACTGAAAATCATATTCTCCATTTCCAAAATTTCAAATTCCCGAACATTCAAAATTTCGATAATCACAAAAGTCTCATTTCCACAATAACTAAATTTACAATTACCAAAATTTGAAAATTCCAAAACCCTAGGGTTCCAGAATTGCACAAAAAAATTAGTAATATTCAAAATCTCCTAAATTCCGAGCTAAATTCGCAAAATTTCTAAAATCTCAATACAGATGTTAAATCCCAACATTTTCAAAATCCAAAAATTCTAAAATCTTATTAATATTGTGCACAGACAGTTAACATTTGCAAAATCTTCAAATCATCCTGATCCCGGTATCTCAACTTGCTAAAATCAAAAAACTGAAAATCACAATTCCATATTTCCAAAATTTCAAATTCCCAAGCATTCAAAATCTCGATAATCACAAAAGTCTCATTTCCACAATAACTAAATTTACAATTACCAAAATTTGAAAATTCCAAAACCCTAGGGTTCCAGAATTGCACAAAAAAATTAGTAATATTCAAAATCTCCTAAATTCCGAGCTAAATTCCCAAAATTTCTAAAATCTAAAAATTCTAAAATTTTATTAATATTGTGCACAAAAAGTTAACATTTGCAAAATCATCATGATCCTGGTATCTCAACTTGCTAAATCCAAAAACTGAAGATCACAATTCCATATTTCCAAAATTTCAAATTCCTAAACACTCAAAATCTCCATAATCACAAAAATCTCATTTCCATAATACCTAATTTAACAAATTACCAAAATTTGGAAATTCTAAAACCCTAGGGTTCCAGAATTTCAAAAAAATTAGATTTATTTCCTAAATTCGAAAATCCAAAAACTGAAAATCAAAATTCCCCATTTCCGAAATTTCACATTCCCAAACATTCAAAATCTTCTTAATCACAAAAACCTCATATTTTTAAAATCTCAATGTGTTAAATTCTCAAAATCGCAAAATTTTCTAATTCCCAAAAATTATGATAAATGTCAATTATCTAAAAGTTCAGGATCCCCAATATTATTAATTTTCAAAAATTCTAAATTCTAACTCGAGCTCCAACTCCAACATTTTAGAATCTCAAAATTCACAAAATCACAAATTTTAAAACTCTAAAATATTTCAAATTTCTCAAAAATTCCCAAAATATGAACAATTCTTAATCACAAATTCCAAAAACTGTTTCAGAATTCCGAAATCAAAAAGTGTCTAATGTAATAATCTCAAACTCCCAAAGGTTCAAACATCAGAAATTCCCAAAAATTGAAAAATTCTCTCAAACTCCTTAAGTTTGAAAAATCCCAGTATCACAATTCACAAAATTAAAAAAATCCCCAAACTCAATCTCTAAATATCTAAATTCACAATTCCAAAAATTGTCAAGTTCTCGAATAAAAAAAAATTAATTATTCAATACTTATCTCTTAAGTTCTCAAAATTTCAAAAATCCCAAATTCTACTTTCCAAAATGTATGAAAAATTCTCACATTTCAATAATTTCAAATTCCCAAAATCTGAAATTTCTAAAATTTAAAAACCTTCAAAATGCAAATTTCAGGAATATCGTGCATAGAAAGTTCACATTTGCAAAAATCATCGTGATCTCAGTATCTCACTTCCTAAATCCAGAAATCCAAAAAAACTTTCCAAAATTTCAAATTCCCAAATATTCATAATCTCCATAATCACAAAAATCTCATATTTTCAAAATATCTAAATTCACAATTACCAAAATTTGAAAATACCAAAAGCCCAAGGTTCCAGAGTTAAAAAAAATTTAGATATATTCAAAATCTCCTAAATTCTGAACATTTCAAAAGTCTCAATATGTTAAATTCTCAAAATCGCAAATTTCCAAAATTTTAAAATTTCTTATTCCCAAAAATTATGATAAATGTCAAATACCCAAAAGTTCAGGATCCCCAATATTTTCAAAAATTCTAAACTCCAATTCCAACATTTTGGAATCTCAAATTCCTTCACAAAATCACAAATTTTAAAACTCTAAAATCGCAAATATTTCAAATTTCTCAAAAATTCCCAAAATATTAACAATTCTCAAATCACAAATTCCCAACACTATTTCAGAATTCCGAACTCAAAAAATGTCTAATGTAATAAGTAATCTGAAACTCGCAAAGGTTCAAACATCACAAATTCCCAATTCTGAAATCTCAAACTCCCAAAGTTTGAAAAATCCCAGTATCACAATTCACGAAATTAAAAAAATCCCCAAACTCAATGTCTAAATTCACAATTCCAAAAATTTGTAAGTACCAACCCAAGTTCCAGAATTAAAAAAAAATTGAATATTCAATACTTATTCCTTAAGTTCTCAAAATTACAAAAATCCAAAGATGTTAAATTTCCATAATCTCAAATTCATAAAATCTCATAATCCCAAAATTCACTCCAAATGTTCAAAATGCCGTAATATTGTTCGTTTCTAAAACTTAAAAATGGTCTAAATGCTCAAAATTTAGAAATTTTTAAAATTCAACACTCCCAAAATTTCAAAAATACCAGAATCTCAAATTACCAAAGCTCGAAATCTCAACAATCTCATTTGTTCAAATTTTCCAAATGACTCCAAAAGTTTCAACATTCTACAATTTCTACTTTCCAAAATTTACATTTCAAAAATTTCAAATTCCCAAAATCTGAATTTTCTAAAATTTAAAAACCTCCAAAATGCAAATTTGAGGAATATCATTCGCAAAATCTTAAAATCATCATGGTCCCAGTATCTCACTACCTAAATCATACAAAATTTCTAAAATTCCAAAATGTCAAATTCCTAAAATTTTAGATTCTTAAACTTAAAATGCCAAAGTCAAAAATTCACAATATCAGAACATTCCAATATTTCAAAAGTATCAAATTCGCTTACAATTTGATGTTGTTGTCTGAGTTACGAATAGGAGTTCTCCCAACTCATTTGTGCTATGACGCGCCGTGGCCAGTCCGCAAAGTTCCCCATTTCGTCGAGTACCATCTTGAGTTGAAGACCTACTGCACAGTGAATTAAAAACAGTCTTTAAATGGAATGATTTATAATAAACGAGCGCGAAATCACTACTCATCAATTCGGCGTCGATGGTGGAACTTCCATTAAACACGCTTCAAGTTGCTTATATAGCAAACGGAAAGTGTCTAGAAAAAAACAGGGAACATTCCCGAAAAGTCTAGAATGCGTCGCATCCGCCGGGACTAATCTTTTATCGACTTGATGGCGCCCCGATGTCTGGGATACTCGCTGCAATATTACCTTAAATTGTTAATCAAAATTAATACACAGTCAAATTGAGACCCTGTTTCTAGTACGCGGTTTTAGATTATTCGTAAACTATCAAATTAATGGAATCGTTTTTTGTAGACGAGTCGCCGTCCGAACGGATACCTGCGCAATGGCGGCAATGTCGCTAAACTTACAGCAGAAAGTCCACCCGATCATCTGGCAGGTTACGAACCTGCCGTTCGATTGCACCAGGGCCGTCGCGATCAAGAAACCTCTCGGAGGTACCTTGATCTTTTCGGTGAACGCCCTAATTTACCTCAATCAAAGTATTCCGCCGTACGGCGTTTCGCTGAACAGCATCGCGGATAGCAGCACCAACTTTCCGCTAAGTAAGTGGGCACGGTTTCACAGTCCTAGGTTAATTTCGATCGGTTGTAGAGCCCCAAGAAGATTTGAAGGTGAGTCTCGATTGCGCGCAGGTCAGTTTTTTGGCCGACGATCAGTTGGTTTTGTCGTTGAAAGGTGGCGAACTGTACGTGCTCACTTTGCTGGCGGATAGCATGCGTTACGTGCGCAGTTTTCATTTCGATCGCGCCGCCGCCAGCGTACTAACAACATGCGTAAGTGGTAACGTTCTCAACAGATGTAGCTTTACTTCGTTTCGTTTACAGATCTGCATTTGCGAAGACAATTTCTTGTTCCTCGGTTCACGCCTCGGCAACTCGCTGCTGTTACGTTTCACCGAAAAGGACAACCAGGTTATAATGTTGGACGACGATCCGCCCGCCTTGAAACGTGCCAAATTGAACAGTAACGCCGACCAGTCGGATGAGTCCGAACGGACTTTAAACGACTGCATGGCTAGCGATGTGATGGACATTAGAGACACGGAAGAGTTGGAGGTGTACGGAAATGAGAAGCAGGCCAGTTTGCAGATTGCCAGTTACGTTTTTGAGGTTAGTTTTATTCGTGCGACTGCCTTTGTGGCGCTTCTAGCACGGCCTTGGTTTTAATTCTAAAACCAAACACTGTTCAGCTTCTTGTAATCTGAAACTTCAGCATTAAGTGGATCTGGTAAGTCAGAACGACCTTCCCAGGTAGGTAAGTACTCGTCTACGATGACGATGGTAACCTCTATCAAGTTTTCATCAGCCGGTCACAAATTTTCATTGACAGTTCGATTCTGGCTTATTTTAACACTAAAAGTTCAATGACGTCACTCAACTTTAAACAAATTCTTTGAGTTTTAATATCATAATTATTTAATCACCTGTTTATTTGAAAGGCGGTTCTCCGACTCGAAAATGTTCCTTCGCGTAAATTTTATCACTCGTAAATAAACGGCCTACGTTTATCTTTCTCCTTTCTGCCTCGTCAGTTACTCGTACTTTGGCACACATTCGGCATCGTTTAAATGTTTCCCAACGACAACACATGCCATACAGCTATGTGGTTAGTCATACATATTAGTGGAGGGATTTTCGTCAACTTCTTGTAGGACTTGCTCTTCGTATTCAACATCCCTGTAACTTGAACGTCCCGGCGGCTCAGAATCGAACGATTCCGTTGGTATTAAGCGACGTTGGACGGCGGAAAACGGCCTACTATCTGGAAATATTTGACCTTACACTCGTGGAGCCTCAAACGAGTTTCCATTATGTGATGTTTTACAATGTATAGGTTTGTTTGTTACGCCAATGATGTTTTTTTTTACTGACTCGTCGACTTGTAGGTTATAGCTTTATTGATTTAAAGATATAATTCAGGTAACGTATCAATTTTGATCTTGATGGAACATTCAAATTTCGCGCTTTATCCGAGCACAACTTCCCAAATTTTCTTGTTATAAATTACCCAAATTAAGTTTTGGGATATACCAATATCACCTTATTTATTTACCACGTAATACATAACAGGTATTTCTATAGGCAAAGCGAAAAAAGGTAAGTTTCATACAATGAGCTCAAGATAACCACTTTGGCTGATCATGTTGCCCCGACATTCTGTCGCCAGACTTCCTAAAGCTATGATGAGAACAATACTCGATAAAATTTAAATGCGCAGAACAAAAATATGATAGCCAGTTTACAAATCGAAACTACGAATCTTTTACAAATCTAAATTTACTCAAATTTTGACTACTCTGCTCACTCTCCTAACACACCTGCAACAATGCCCACTCTAAAATTTCGAAAAAAAAATCCGAATTAAGAGCTACCGTTACATCTTGAATGACCCAATCTAAAAAACTGCGCATCCCAAAAAACTCAACTTCAGACACTAAACCAGAAGAAACCGCCTGTTTGGCATAACTTCGATTATCAAAACTAATAAAAATTGCTCATCCACGTTCATGTATTTTACTATAGCGAACCGTGCCAAATTTCAGTAGGGAAAATGGCATACAGCGTTTTGAAAAGAATCCAGCTCTGACCCTGCTAACCAAAAACTGTACCTGGTACGGGTGGTCGCTTTAGGGGTAGGTAGAAAGATTTGCTTTTGAATTTACAAATTCTCTAGTATAGGAAATTTTATACGTGTACCGCTTCATAGTGAAAGAGAACGGAACTAAAATGCGAGAGAATGAAGCGCTTTCCGATAAGCAACGAGTAAGAGCCAAAACGCCACAGTGTTCCCGGTTCTAAAGACCGTTCTTCTCACGGAGCATGAGGGACAGCCTTTACATGTATAAAAAAAAACGTAGCTGAAGCGTGTTTTGCATTAAGGCCGATTCGGGCTCGGTGAGTACATAAGTAAGAATTGGGTGGGAGATAAGAATTCTTCGCCGAATCTATGTAACTTGTGCGCGGCATTTTTATATCGCGTAATATTAGATTCTTAGCTGAACCTCCAAAGCGAACCTATGTAAGGTGAGCGCGGTATTTTTAGAGCGCGTAACATTTTCAACTAAAAATTGCGACACGAATTCGTTTAATCGAGGTGTACGGAAGATTTAAACAGCCGCGTAATCGTACATGATGTTTTTATCGCGAAAGTTGAAGCTAAATGCCGAATTACAAGGGAAAACTGTGCCGCCATTTCGACGAAATTATTGTCGTGTGTGCATTTACTTCCATTGCGAGCTGCTTTTACAAGTAAACCTAATATAAATTGGCGACGAACATTTTCGTGCATTATTGCATTCGCATGATCGAAAATTTTACGTTTATATTTGGAGTGTTTGGTTGCGATAAGAATAAAGTTTATTAACCAAATTTGCGCACCTATCTTGTTTATACGGGGCGATAAGATTCTAATTAAAACGGCAACCGGCAAAAAGTTTAAAGGTGATTAATTAGCGATTTTTCTATCTGTTAAAACCCTGAGATTATGAGGGTGAAATTGACATTTCCGTATTGCAGAACATTGGCAAATTATTCCATTTCCATTCCAACTATTAAATTTCGAGGAACATGAAGCCCAGTAAACCGTCTCTCAAAATTCACTTTCAACGAGCAGTCAAATTTACCAGGCGATACAAAGAGCTCAATTGTATTGCACAAGGCGTTCCACCATACAAGTTTCCGAATTGCCGCTACCATTCAAAGTTCAAAGTAAGTTTTTTGCATGGTGTAACAATAGAGTCGACCGTTTTGGGGATTTAGTAAAAAAAAAATTGTGCTCAAGGTCAATTTAACATTCCTAAAGCGGTCGACCCATCCCCCCGGATGTTGCTCTGATTGCCGAGAAGCGGCACGGTTTGCAGAACCTAGAAGAATCAAAATTCTGCACCATCTGAATCTTTAAGCTGCCACTGTATCGTCTACCGTGCCATGATCTTTTGAGATTAGTTTTATTCGTGCGACTACATTTGTTGCGCTACTAGCACGGCCTTGATTTTAATTCTAAAACCAAACACTGTTAAGCTTAGGTGATTCAGCTTCTTGTAATCTGAAACTTCAGCATTAAGTGGACCTGGCACGTCAGAATGACCTTCTCAGGTAAGTACTCGTCTACGATGACGATGGTAACCCCAATCAAGTTTTCATCAGCTGGTCACAAATTTTCATTGACAGTTAGATTGTGACTTATTTTAACACTAAAAGTTCATATTCAATGACGTCACTCAACTTTGAGGAACTTGCTTTTAACCAGCCGTTACTGTTAGCGATCCAAAAATTAAAGACATTCTTCGAGTTTTAATATCATAATTATTTAATCTGGTTTTTATTTGAAAGGCGGTTCTCCGACTCGAAAATGTTCCTTCGCGTAAATTTTATCACTCGTAAATAAACGGCCTACGTTTCGTCTTTCTCCTTTCTGCCTAATATTAACCTCGCCAGTAACTCGTACTTTGGCACACATTCGGCATCGTTTCAATGTTTCCCAACGACAACACATGCCATACAGCTATATGGTTAGTCACACATTTTAGTAGAAAGATGTTCGTCAACTTCTTGTTGAACTTGCTCTTCGTATTCAACATCCCTGTAACCTGAACGTCCAGACGGCTCAGAATCGAACGATCCCGTTTGTATTAAGCGACGATGGTCGGGGGAAAACAGCCTACTATCTGGAAATATTTGACCTTACACTCGTGGAGCCCCAAACGAGTTTCCGTTATGTGATGTTTCACAATGTATAGGTTTGTTTGTTACGCCATAATGGTGTTGATTTTGTTTACTGACTTGTAGGTTATAGCTTTATTGATTTAAAGATATAATTCAGGTAACGTATCAATTTTGATCTTGATGGAACATTCAAATTTCTCGCTCTATCCGAGCACAACCTCCCAATTTTTCTTGTCATAAATTTCCCAAATTAAGTTCTGGGATATACCTCATACAATGAGGTATATGAGCTCAAGATAACCACTTTGGCTGATCATGTTACCCCGACATTCTGTCGCCAGACTTCCTAAAGCTATGATGAGAACAATACTCTATAAAATTTAAATACGCAGAACGGAAACGTGATAACCAGCTTACAAATCGAAACTACGAACCTTTTACAAATCTAAATCTACTCAAATTTTGACTGCCCTGCTCACTCTCCTAACACACCTGCAACAATGCCCACTCCTAAATAATCTCCGAAATGACTACTTTCTATAAAATTTCGAAATAATCCGAATTAAGAGCTACCGTTACATCTTGCATGACCCAATCTAAAAAATTGCGCACCCTACAAATCTCAACTTCAGACCCTAAACCAGAAGAAACTCCCTGTTTCGCATAACTTCGGTTATCAAAACTAATAAAAATTGCTCATCTACGCCCATGTATTTTGCTATAGCGAACCGTGCCAAATTGAAGTATTAGGCGTAAAAAGGTTTGGTTTTTAATTTACAAATTTTCCAGTATAGGAAATGTTATACGTGTAGCGCTTCATAGTGAAAGAGAACGGAACTAAACTGCGAGAAAATAAAGCCCTTTCAGATAAGCAACGAGTGTACCAGCAGATAAGAGCCAAAACGCCTCAGTGTTCCCGGTTCTAAAGACCGTTCCCACGGGGCATGAGGGACGGCCTTTACATGTATAAAAAAACGTAGCTGAAGCGTGTTTTGCATTAGAATCGATTCGGTCTCGGTGAGTACATAAGTAAGAATTGGGTGGGAGAGACGAATTCTGTCTCTAATGTAACTTGTGCGCGGCATTTTTATATCGTTGTTTACCAAAGCGAACCTATGTAAGTAGAGCGCGTAACATTTTCAACTGAAAATTGCGACACGAATTCGTATAATCGAGGTGCACGTAAGATTTAAACAGCCGCGTAATCGTACATGATATTTTTATGGCAAAAGTTGAATGTAACTGCCGAATTACAAGGGAAAACTGTGCCACCATTTCGACGAAATTATTGTCGTGTGTGCATTTACTTCCATTGCGAGCTGCTTTTACAAGTGAACCTAATATAAATTGGCTTTGGTTAAAGAAATTTGTGCTCAAGGGCAATTTAACATTCCTAAAGCGGTCGACCCACCCACCCGGGTGTTGCCCGGATTGCCGAGAAGCGACACGGTTTGCAGAACGTAAAAGAATCAAAGTTCTGCACCTTCTGAATCTTTAAACTGCCACTATATATAACATTTGTCTCTTTTAGGTGTGCGATAGTTTATTAAATATCGGTCCGTGCGGCAACGTGGCCGTCGGCGAACCCGCATTCCTTAGCGAGGAGTTCAGTCACAATGTCGACTTCGACCTCGAACTGGTCACGACCGCCGGCTACGGCAAAAACGGCGCCCTCTGCGTTCTCCAGAACTCCATCAAGCCGCAAATCGTGACCACGTTCACGCTACCCGGCTGCGTCAACATGTGGACCGTTTGCAAGAACGACGAGAAGCACGCGTTCCTAATCCTGAGCCAGGAGGACGGCACGATGATCCTCCAGACCGGTCACGAGATCAACGAGATCGACAACACGGGCTTCTCGACGCAAGGTCCGACCGTCTACGCGGCGAATCTGGGCGGAAACAAGTACATCGTGCAGGTGACCACCATGGGGGTGCGACTGCTGTATGGCACCACGCAGCTGCAGCACATACCGTTGGACTTGGGATCGCCAATAGTTCACAGTTCGAGCGCCGACCCGTACATATCGATTCTATCCGCCGATGGTCAAGTGATTACTTTGATGTTGCGCGAGGGCCGAGGAACTGCCCGGTTGGTCGTCAGCAAGTCTACCTTAGCAAATGTAAGTGTGGCGGACTTTTTCTTGTGTCTGGGTGGTGATTACAAGCAGCTTAGAGAAGACTTCTGTTTTAGACGCCAGCCGTCACAACCCTTTGCATGTACAAGGACGTCTCCGGGCTGTTTGTAAATAAAATCCCCGACGAATTCACCCACATTCCGGCAGCGTACATCAGCGACGCCGAAACGCGCGCCGAAATTGAAAACGAGGACGACCTCCTCTACGGCGACGAGACCGATTTCAAAATGCCGACGCTAAATCCTCCCCCGCCGAAGCCGAAAATATTCTTCAACTGGTGGAAGAAGTACCTAACGGAGGTGAAACCCACCTACTGGCTGTTCGTCGTGCGCGAAAACTCCAACTTGGAAATCTACTCGATTCCCGAGTTCAAGCTGAGCTTCATCGTTCGCAACCTGTGCTTCGGTTTCAAGGTGCTCGTCGACAGTTTGGAGTCGGTTCCGATTTTGGTGACGAACACGGCGGCCGTCATGAACGAGATATCGATCCAGAAAGAGTACGAGGTGAAGGAGATCTTGATGGTCGCGTTGGGTAATCACGGATCCAAGCCTCTCCTAATTGTACGTTTGGATCACGACTTGTATATTTACGAGGTCTTTCGGTTTCCTCGTGGTAACTTGAAAATGAGGTTCCGTAAGTTGAAGCACAATGTGATCTACTCGCCCAACGTCGAGGGCAGAATAGAGACTGAGAATTCTGAATTTTTTACATTGCAAGAGCGTGTGTCGAAAATGAGGTACTTTAGTAACATTGCAGGTACCTACTTATCCGTCATTTACTGTCATTACATCCTTCCATTGTAGGTTACAATGGAGTTTTTATTTCGGGCGCCAATCCATACTGGGTCTTCTTAACCTCGCGCGGTGAGCTACGGACGCACGCTATGTCCATCGACAACGAAATACTTTGTTTCACTTCGTTTAATAACGTCAACTGCCCGCAAGGCTTCCTATACTTCAACAAAAAGGTAGGTGTCAAAAATCCCAAAAGTTCAATTCATAATCAGAAATTTTCAAACTTTCAAAAATCTCAAAATTCCAAAATTGGACATTTTCAAAATTTCAAAAATTCCAAGCATGTCACATATACCAAATCTCAACCTCAAATTTGAAAATTACAAAAAACCTAACATTTGTATAATGTCGGATGATCAAAATCAGGCCCGGATTGGGTCGGCGAGTTACCAAGTAAAAATCGGTGGGCCGAATTATATTCGAGAACTCGTAAAATAAAAAAATGAAAATTGTAACATGAATAAAACTTTTTATTTAAAATAACTGAGTAATGAATACAAAACTATTTTGATATAAAAACTGATGAATACAAAAATAACGTACCCATATAGCCATTAGGCCATATAAAAAAAAATGGTATTAAATTGCGACTAAACAATATTAGCGCACTACGCAACTGCAACAGAAATTGTGTGTTTTTTAGTACTAATAAAGTATAGATTATATACTTTGGCATACTCAAACCTGTATTGAGTATATAAATACCTTTTGACACTTTCATGTACCCAAGTGAGATTCACTGAGATGTGAGACAACGTTTTCCAAACTGAAATATATTTTAAATAGACTGAGAAATTGCTTATCGCAAGATCACTTGGAAGCTTTTTTATTTATGTCGATAGAAAAGGACATTCTTCTAGAATTAGAAAATGACGAAATTATTGATAATGTTGCTCAAAAAAGTTCTAACCTTAAAAGTTTATTATTATTTTAGTGACGGGAATTTTTTGTTTTGAATAAACTTTAGTTACCTAGTCCTTGTTTTTAGTTTTTGTTTGAATTTTGAAACTTTTAATTTTTATTTGTGTTTATCATTTCATCAATTATTATTAACATGTTTTTATTTGTTTGTATATTTTTGTCTGTTTTTGAGCAGGTTGTGGTTTAGTTTAATGTTTTTATATGGTTATTTTATCTTTTATCCAAGAAGTAATCTTTGGCTTTGAATAAAAAAATTCCAAAAATATAGACTTTCAATATTTTTGTATGAACGGATTTTTCATTTAAATACCTACTGATGCGCAAAAAAAACGCGCGACCTTGAACATTTTCAAAATTTTGGACTACGACGCTAATGGGGAGCAATATTCTGGAATTTTCTTATATCGGCCGGCGGCCGGTGGGCCGGTATTAGAAATTAAACTCGGGCCGAAAAAAATTACCAATCCGGCTCTGATCAAAATCTCAAATTTTCAAAATAATTCGGTTTGATAATTCAAAAATCTGAAAATACCTTATCTTTCAAAATGACAAACGAAAGTTATGAGTCAAAATTCCAAAATTTATAAAAAATCCCAAGAATTCTAAATATATAAAAATTGAAAACCAGTAAACTTTCAAAATTTCAAGAACCAAGTTGTTAAAATTTGAAAACTCGCATTGAAAAAATCTCAAATTCCCAGAATATCATACAAAAATTTACAAAATCTTGAAGTTTCGTGATCCTGGTTCTCTCTATATCGCCAAAATGTTAAAAATCTTTATTCTCAAAATAATTTGAATCCATAATTCCAAAATCTCAAATTTCCCAAAATTTCAAAAATCTCATTCCCAAAATCTGAAATTTATAACATTAAAAAAACTTCAAAATGCAAATTAGAGGAATATCGTTCACAAAAAGTTCGCATGCGCAAAATCTTAAAATCCTCATGATCTCGTTATCTCAACTTTCCCAAGTGTAAAAATCGCCAAAATTAAAAGATTCTACGATTTCAAAAGTGCAAATTTCGATAATCTCGAATAATCATTATCTCAAAATTCCAGGTTTCCAAAATGTCAATAATTTCAAATTTCCAAAAAAAATAAGTAAAAATTTCTCAAAATTTTAAAAGCTTTATTCCCAAAATGATTCCATTCAATATCTCCTAACATTTCAAAATTACATATTCACAAATTCCAAAATTGGATAATCACAATATATTCTCAACATTTAAAATCTCCATAAGCACATAAATTTCATATCTAAATCAACAGAATCAAATTATCAAAATTTGAAAATTCTAAAACCCAAAGGTTCCAGATTTTCGAAATACTTTTATAATCCCAAAATCTCAAATTTTCAAAATGGAACATGAAAATCACGAATCCGAATTCGGATACCAAATGTCGTGTAGATCGGATTTTTGTAAGAATTTTGGGAATATGCAAGGTGATAACAGTTGAAGAAATAATGTGCCAACTTCCTCTAAGTGTCAGCGCTGAGTTTGAAGGTTCATTTGTCCTAAAATCCCAAAATCTCAAATTCCAAATCACAAATTCTCAAAATATCTTGAATTCCTAAAATTCCAAACCCAAATTCCTAAAATCTCAAAATTTCCGAATCTCAAATTCCCAAGCTTCACGAAATCCCAAATTTCAAAAGTAAAATCTCCGCTCTCAAAATTAAAATCTATACATAATTTCAAATTTCCATAAGTTCAAAACTGAAAAAATTGTAAATCCCCCCTATCTCAAACTCAAAATCCAAAACCCTCGAAATCCAAACATTTCAAATTCTTACAATATGAACAATTCCAAAATCTCAAGTTGGGAGAAGTTTAAAAACTCCAAATGTTCAGAATCCTGTAATATTCGTTTCTAAAACTTCAAAATTTTCTAAATTCCAAAAATGTAGATAATTTCAACTCCCAAAATATCCTTAAATTACCAAAGCCTGAAATCCCAAAAATCCCGTTTTCTCAAATTTCTAATTCCAAAAAATTAAATAAACTCAAAAATGTTCATGGATCCTCAACATTTTAAATTCCCAAAATTTCAAAGATTCCGAACTCAATATTTATAAAATCTGATAATATTCGTTTCTAAAACTTAAAAATCCTAATTTTCCAAAAATTAAAATTTCAAAAACCAAAAAATTGAAAAATCTCAAATACCCAAAAGTTCAGGATCACCAATATCTTGAATTCCTAAAATTCCAAAGCCAAATTTCTAAAATCTCAAAATTTCCCAATCTTAAATTACCAAGCTTCACGAAATCCCAAATTTCAAAACTAAAATCTCCACTCTAAAAATTCAAAAACTGAAAAAATTGCAAATTCCCACTATCTCAAACTCAAAATCACAAATTCTCAAAAGTCCAAAACCCTCGACATCCAAAAATTTCAAATTCTTGCAATATGAACAATTCCAAAATCTCAAGTTGGGAGAAGTTTAAAAACTCCAAATGGTCAGAATCCTATAATATTCGTTTCTAAAACTTAAAACTTAAAAATTTTCTAAATTCCCAAATTGTATAAAATTTCAACTCCCAAAATTTCGAAAATATCCTCAAATTACTAAAGCTTGAAATCCGAAAAATCCCGATTTCTCAAATTCCCAAAAATTGAATCTCAAAACCCAAAAAAGTTCAGGATCCTCAACATTTTAAATTTCCAACATTTCAAAAATTCAGAACTCAAAATCTATAAAATCTGAAAATTTTAGAATCTCAAAAGTCAAAACTCGAAATCCGAAAATTTCAATTTCTTACAATATCAACAATCCGAAAATATCAACTAAAATTTCAAATTACCAAATCCTGAAATTTTAAAAACTCCATTTTCTTTAATTTCAAGTTTTTAAAAATTTAAATTCGAAAATTCTATTTCCACAATTTCGAAAATTTTACAGTTCTTAATTCAGAATTTCAAAGAATCTTATAAGTATTTTCATAATCTCTAAACCCATCCAAAAATTACTAAAATGTCAAAACAAGGTTCCAGAATTTTAAATCCAAAATCCATAAATAGTAAAAATTGAAAAACAACAGTCTAAAAATCTCGAAATTTCTTGCCATATCACAAAGATCCCAAAATCTCAAGTTGCCAGAAGTTTAAAAGCTCCAAGTTTTCAAAATCTAAATTCCCAAAATTTTGAAAAAACAAAATCTCAAATTTCCGTATTCCAAAGATTTTAAAAATCTCAAAAATTCAATTTTCTCATGTTTGACAAATTGTGAAAATTCTGAAGTTTTTAATTCCCAAATGTACAAATTTTTCAAATTCCCAGTCCAAAATCCCCAACACAAATTCCTAAAAATCTCAACATTCTAGAATCTCTACTTCGCAAAGATTTAATTTCAAACCACAAAATCATTTGTAATCAAATTACAAAAATTTTCTTTTTCTAAACTTCCAAATTTTTAAAATCTTAAATTCCCTTTCAAATATTCTGTACTTCAAAATCTTAAATTTCCATAATCTCAAAATTCCTTAAATCTCAAATTCTCAAATGTTTACAAATTCCAAAATCACAAATTTTCATCATTGCTAAATTCTAAAAATCACCAACTTGAAGTTTGAAATTTTCATATTCTCTATACCACAAAATATCAAATTACTAAAATTTCGTAAATCTCAAATTCACAAAATTAAAAAATTCACTCATTTTTCCAATATTTCAAAACACATTTTTTTTAAACGGGAAGAATTACAAATTTCCAAAATTCTAAAATCTCAACATTAAAAATTTTAGATAATTTATTAAATCCCAAAAATTCAAAAATTCCGAAACCACATTATCAAAAATTTAAGATCTCAGATGTCCAAAATCTCGAATTACCAAATTCGCAAAACTCCAAAATTATATAAATGTATTTCTTCCAAAATCGAAAATGTCCTTAATCTCAAATTTTCAAAGGTCTCAGTCGCCATGTTCCTTAATCCACGAAATATCAAATTTCTAAAATCACGAATTCCCAAAATTCAAAAATCACAAAATTTTAAAAATCAAAAAAATTTCTGAATTTTGTAGTCCGAGTTGCGGATAGGAGTGCTCCCGACCCATTTGAGCTACGACGCGCCGTGGCCAGTCCGCAAAGTTCCCCTAAGATGTACTCCCCATTTCGTGGAGTACCATCTCGAATCGAAGACCTACTGCATAGTAACGAGCATTGCGGAACCATCGACTCAGTATTACAAATTTAACGGCGAAGATAAGGAGCTGTCGATCGAGGATAAGGGCGATCGGTTTCCGTACCCGCCACAGGAGAAGTTTAGTATAATGCTCTTCTCACCGGTCTCGTGGGAAATTATCCCGAACACCAGGATCGACTTGGAAGAGTGGGAGCATGTGAATTGTTTGAAAAATGTTTCACTCGCGTATGAGGGTACGCGATCGGGGTTGAAAGGATACGTAGCCCTAGGGACAAATTACAATTACGGGGAAGACATTACGTCACGGGGAAGGGTATGATAGTAGCGAAGTTACTGGAGCAACATGGCAATTTCTTTCTGTTCAATAGAGACCAAATTGAGAGAGTTTTTTATTGCTAATAACATTCGTTTTTTCCTTTTTTAAATCTGCGTCTGTCAAAACAAAAATTATTAAAAATAAAGATAAAGAAAATTTTAAAAATAAAAACTAAAAATAAAGAATTAAAAAAAATAATTTTTGAAATAATCAAAATTATTAAAAAAAGATACAAATATATAAAATTAAAAGAATAGATGATTAGAGACTTTAATAATGGCATTGCAAATCATATAAGTTCAATGAAAGAAACAAAAATAGTAAAATTTCCAAAAAATCAAAAAAGCAAAATACAAAAACTATAATTTCTAAAAAAAATCGTAAAATTCTTTCTTAAAATTGCCATGTTCTCCAACTTTATTTTTATTTAGGATTTTTCTTACATATCAAATTTGTAGATTTTGATCTTTGATATTATTGAAGTGGTACCCGAGCCTGGGCAGCCGTTAACGAAGAATCGATTTAAAGAAATATACGCCAAAGAGCAGAAGGGTCCGGTCACCGCCCTTTCGCACGTGATGGGATTTTTGGTATCCGCCGTCGGTCAAAAGATCTATATCTGGCAGTTGAAAGACAACGACCTGGTGGGGGTCGCCTTTATCGACACGCAAATTTATACCCATCAAATTCTGGCGATCAAGAGTCTACTACTGATCGCAGACGTGTACAAGTCGATTTCGCTTCTGCGATTCCAAGAGGAGTATCGTACGTTATCGCTTGTGTCGAGGGTAAGTGTTCAAATCCAATAGATCTCTATTGACCTTGGAAAAAGTGAGAGAAAGGTTATTCAGGTAAGGTGACCTTCTCTGGTGACGCTCTATGCATAAATCTTCCTATATTCAATAAATGCACTACTTGTTCAATTCCAGGGTACTAATATATTGGCAATTGTCAAACAAGATTTTTAGTTTTTTTATAAGGCATGTAGTAAAGGTAAGTGGAAATAAATTTTTCACTTTTTAACAGCTGTGATTTTGTTATAAATGAATAGATTTCGAAAAACAAACTGAATAACTTGAAGGGCGTGAATGTCCCTTTTTCATTCTTCAATCCACATTTCATAAACACGCTTATCGGGTTCCACCTCCACATTTCCTAAGACGCGCACATTCCCACAATTAACGCCTATCGACGTAAACAGCCTGCTCTTATCAAACACATTAATTTTATCGCAACTGTCCAGCTTTACACAAAAGTATCAAAAGATAATAAAATTTAGCACACCTGCAAATTTTATACAATACAACATACAAAAAAAAAGTTGTAAAGACGCGTGGTTCTATTTTAGCATCTTAAAAATGTGTTCAATTCAAAAATGAGAAATTTTTAGGAAATCAAATAATCTGAGCGTTTTTGAAATTCAAAAATCTGCCCAATTTAACAAATGGACATTTTATCATGTTCCCCTTATGGTGTGGTTCTTTTATTTGGTAGCTTACAGCACATGAGGCGAGAAACATTTCGCCGATTAATGTGCGCATGTGCAGAGTGCGCTGTCAAGTTTCTTGTGAAGATTTTTTTTTAAATTTTAGCCCGAGCTGGTTCTAATAACGGGCGATCAAAAATGAATTGCTATCGAGTCGCCTTTGGAAGTCCAAATTAAGTAGGATTTCCCAGGTAAACAAAAATTCCAAAGGTGACTCGACAGCAACTCATTTTTGATCGTATAGCAAAAACAAACGTGGCGCTATAGTGCAAATCAAAGTGCGCAATTTCAAATTTCTTGTAGAGATTTTTATGAAACTTTAAGGTGGTTCTAATTAAAAAATGGTGAAAATCAAGTGTGCCCATGTTCACACTGCGCTCAACTTTTTGGTGGGGATTTTTTGAAATTTATGCTCTTCTAATAACAGCAAACGTAATGCGTATCGTTAAAATGAAGTATGCGCGTGCGCAGACTGTGCACTCAACTTTTTTGCGGGGATTTTTTGAAATCTAAGCTGGTTCGAATGAAAACAGAGATGTAGTGCATCTAGTGAAAATCAATTGTGCGCATGCGCACACTGCGCTCAACTTTTTCGTGGGGATTTTTGAAATGTATCCTCTTCTAATAACAGCAAACGTAATACGTATCGTTAAAATGAAGTATGCGCATGCGCAGACTGTGCACTCAACTTTTTTGCGGGGATTTTTTGAAATCTTAGCAGGTTCAAATAAAAACAGACACGTAGTGCATCTAGTGAAAATCAAGTGTGCGCATGCACAAACTGCACTCTCGTGGAGAGATATGTTTTTGAAATTTTAACTATCGCTGGTTATAATAAAAACAAAGGTAGCGCATATGGCGAAAATCATGTGTCCGCATGCGCAAACTGTGCACTCAACTTTTTTGTGGGGATTTTTTTAATTCTTAGCTGGTTCTAATAAAAACAAACGTAATGCATCTAGCTAGTGAAAATCAAGTGTGCGCGTGCGCAGGCCGTTCAGTCCCCTAGGATATTCCTTTGAAATATTAAATTAAAGAATCTGATGAGTCAAATGAACCAGCTAGGGGTATGGGAGGAATCCAGCGGCCGCCCCCCCCCCTCCATCCAAGAGGGAGTTGGCAGAATCACACAAATTAGATCTTATTTTAATCTTAGGTTTGCATTTATTGGTAACTAGCAACACCGTTTTCGTGGGAACTTCTTCTAAGTTCTTTCGGAGTCCACCTTCAAAGAAACCTATGTTCTAAATGTCAAGTCTCTTTTCGACTATAGAACATAAAATCTGAAGTCATTTTAAAAAAATTTTCCAAAATAAATAACACATTATTATGGCCACTTTTTTCCCTCTACAAGATGCTAGTTTTAAATTTTAAAACATCAATTTTGTTTTTCCTTATGGAAGAAATTTTTTACTTTTTGTGTCATTTGACAGAGAATTGTCTTCTGATTTCAGAAATGGAAACACACAATTTTTTTAATATTATTAAAATATCTTCTTTTTTCCTAGAAAACTGTTTTGGGTAGTGTGCGTACGTAGTTTCTTGCGTTTTTACGAATTAATAGCACTATTTCTTATTATTCAAATCAGAAAAATGCTCTATCAAATGGCACAAAAAGTAAAAATCACTTCCATAGGAAAAGAATGATGATGGTTGACTGGAAACGAAACGTCAAACTTAAAATTTAAAACTAGCATCTTGTAGAGGGAAAAAAGTGCCCATAATAATAATTTCATTTATTTCGAAATATTTTTTTAAATAACTTCAGTAAAAAACACGATTTTGCAAAATTTCGTTTTTTTTCGGATATCTCCGAAAATAGCCGTAATTTTTTTAGTTTCAAAACTGCATTTTGTCAAGCATCAAAATACGCAACTTTCCCAAATTTAAACTACCTACCTATCTCTTACAGTTCCCGAGATCCCCATGGGGGCCCTCGAATTTGAATCTGCCTGTATATGGATACATTGATATTACCGTGCATTTCCATATAACGCCATTACAGTGTGCACATTTTAAATCATTTGAAGTTTTCTGAGTTACGAGATGCCGTTTAAGGACATGGTGGTGATGTGTTGCAAAATCGCACTGTGCACATTTTCAATATTAAAAGTATTGTCAACAAGAGTCAACTGGGTTCATGCCGCAGCTAATAAAATATTTGTAGTGGGGATACGTGATCGTTAGCCTTCTTACGTGCCGGCTACAGTAGCTTAGCTCGTTGTATAATCACACTGTGCACATTTTAAATCCTTTGAAGATTTGTGTCTTACGACATATCGTTTCAGAACATGTTAAAGATTTGTTGGAAACTTTAAATCTAATGAAGTATTGCGTATTTTTAAGCGGCAAGCATTTATTCGTCACTATTATTTTATATACTGCTGTGTGCAATGGCGTGCGGTGTGATGGACAATGACAAAAATTATATTCCGAAACACATGAAAGAAATAAAACAAAATCCTTAAAGGAAAGAAAAGCTTGTTTGAACATATGACCCTGCACTCGGGCGGGCGACAATTAAAATAAGATATCTTAAAATTACTTAGTTTTTTTTAAATAATCCATATAATCTAGTCGTAAAAGGTTTGCGATAGCATTAAAACTGACACAAAATCGCTCGCAGGAACGTCACTTCAGAATTAGATGACAAAACAAAACCGGCTTGATCAATAAATTGACAAATTTTTGGTGGCTGTTCGGGGGGGTATAAACTTCTAATAAGAGAATCTTAAGAAAAGACCTCGTTGAGCACTACAATTGCTTGCTTTTTCCGCTCGACTTCTACACACTTTATTTCGATACAGACAAACTGCGTCTTCCCATAAACAGGCTGACTGCCCGCAAACAAATTACGCGCTCTGCAAGCACCGCGACAATAGCAGTTTCGTTTTCTTGTTGACTCCAGTATTTAAGGAACCACCACTTCCACCGACATGAAACGCGCGTCTTCGTTGGCAACAGATGTGCATTTCCTTTAAATTATTTAACTTTTACCTGATAGTAACTCCTTATCGCAAACGACCAGATGTAACCTCACTTCGATAAAATTAAAATGAAAACTACGCTATTACAAACAATTCCAAAAGAAAAAAACAAACACTGAAGTACAAATTCAAATAAAACAAACCATTTTCATTATGGAGCTGAAGAAGTACTGCATTTATTTAACATAGCGAGGACAACCCTAAAGCGGAGGGTATCATCTTATCTTTTCAAGATCAAAACCATTAAATATGTGTTGCAGGACTATCGGCCGTGCGAGGTGTTAACGATCGAATACATGATCGACAATACCAATTTGGGCTTCCTCGTGACGGATAGCGAGAAGAATTTAATTTTGTACATGTACCAGCCGGAAGCGCGGGAGTCGTTCGGCGGGCAACGGTTGCTGCGTAAGGCCGACTTTCATCTGGGACAATCGATCAATACGTTCTTTAGGATTAAGTGCAAGGTCGGGCAACTGATGGAGGACAAGAAGGCGATTCCCGGTATCGATAAGCGTCACATTTCTATGTTCGGTAGGTGTACGTGGTGTCGCTGCTCGGGTATTAATGGATCGCTTGCGATTTTTAGCAACTTTAGATGGGGGAATTGGATACGTACTTCCGATTGCCGAGAAAACCTACAGGCGGCTGCTTATGTTGCAAAATGTGCTTCTGTCGCATGGATCTCATACGTGCGGTTTAAACCCGAAAGCATTCCGGTAAGTGTACGGCAACGCCTCCCTCCCCTCCCCATAACCGCTTGATGTCCATATTTTAACTCTGGGTTACTTACACACCTGGCACTTGGTGCACCCAATCGTTTTTTGTTTCTCTCAAACTTGAATACTTATGGTAACGTAGGACGAGGCAAATTCAAAAATCGTAAAAAATCGTGTGGATAATTTTCTTGTTCAGTTACTAGTCCCAATTTTGGTTGTGGTTTTTTAGTGTTCTGCTTATCTTATCAATTTCTAGTTTGTCATCTCCAACGCTGGTTTCCATGCAAAATTTATAAATCTCTCAAAATTTTTTGGTTTTTGAAATATTTAAAAATAATTAGATTTTTCGATTCTATGAAGTACCCTTTTTATTCTGATGTAAATGATGCATTTCATTCTTTAATTGCGGGCTGAATTAAAAAAATTCCTATTACGGACCTGTACAAATATTTTTTTAAAATAAATAATTATCTAGGACAATCAATTTTGCAGATACACACGATTCTTAATAAAGCTTCATACGAAAAAGTCAATTGGGGTTATATCGGGTGAACACACTGACCAGTGTGTTTTCAAATGCGTGCTAATCACTTTGTCTGGAACGGCTCTAGAATTATAATAATAATATAACATATCGCTATGTGCAATGGCAAACATAAACACATAATTCTTGGACACAAATAGAAAAATCTGACATGAAAACTCTAACTGGATCGCACTGTGGGTTCAATTAAGCACACAGTTTAAATGACAAAAGACAAAAATTTATTCCGCAAAACATGAAAAACAAATTTAAACAAAACGCTGAAAGAAAGACAGGCCTTAAGAGTCTTATGGCCGTTTGCACCGACAAATTTAAGCGGAGCTTAGCTTAAGCGTAGCTTAAAATCCATGGCAACCATTGTCTCAATAATCGTTGCCATGGATTTTAATCTACGCTTAAGCTAAGCTCCACTTAAATTTGTCGGTGCAAACGGCCATTAAGGGCCTGTTTTTTTTACACATACCCGCACGCTGGCGTTCGACAGACAATTAAATAGAAAAATCTGAATTACAGTTCTTGAATCCAACAAATTTGCGACTTTCAGGCACTCTACAACTGACACACAAACGCTAAACTAAAAAAAAAGCTAAGAAAAAGCCGGATCTTTTCGTTATCTCCTCCTACTTTATGAAGTTTCAAATAAATCGCCAATCACAATTAGTATAAATAAACGTCAGCTTCCACACCTACCGCGATTTGTTCTAACCACATTACTGTAGCTTTAATTTCTAAGGCAATTATAACATATTTGATATCATTGTAAAGAGAATTTCAAGCTCTTTAAGAATAATACAGAGAAAAGTAACTGTTCTATTAAAAAAAAAATAATTTTGTTTTCTGATTCTCTTTTGTTTTTATATCACTTTTTTTTAATATGTGGCTTTATCGGTATTCACAAAGGGAAAGCTTAGGGTCTCCCGTCGTTTCCGTGGAAACAAAATTGTTTTCTGTTCTAAACTTCATTTTATATCCTGCTCCGCGTTTTTGAATGTTATTTTACATGCGACAACCAACTGGTTCCAGAATTTGCATACGGGTGCCTTTAGTGATGGTAAGTACTTTCCTTATATTTTCAAAATTTTAAAATTTCTAATTCCCAAAAAGTGAACAATCTCTAATACTCTATTTCAGGATCCCCAATATTTTAAATTCCCAAAATTTCAGCCTACTATTTTTTTATGTTTATTTTTCTCAAACTCCAAATCAAAAATTCTCGAAAGCTCAAAACTCTCAAAATTCTAAAATTTGAAATTCTCACAATATTACAAATCCCAAAGTGTCAAGTTGCAAGAGTTTTAGAACTCCAAATGTTCAAAATCCCGTAATACACTAAAATTAACAGTCTTCCAAAATTGCAAAAATACAAAATTCTCACATTACCAAAATCTGCAATCAAAAAACCCATTTTCCTAAATTTTAAAATTTCCAATTACCAAAAATTGCAAAATCTCAAATACTGTATTTCAGGATCCCCAATATTTTAATTCCCAACATTTCAGTCTACTATTTTTTTTATATTTTTTTTTCTCAAACTCAAAATTAAAAATTGTCGAAATCCCAAAACTCTCAAAATTCTAAAATTTGAAATTCTCACAATATTACAAATCCCAAAGTGTCAAGTTGCAAGAGTTTTAGAACTCCAAATGTTCAAAATCCCGTAATACACTAAAATTAACAGTCTTCCAAAATTGCAAAAATACAAAATTCTCACATTACCAAAATCTGCAATCAAAAAACCCATTTTCCTAAATTTTAAAATTTCCAATTACCAAAAATTGCAAAATCTCAAATACTGTATTTCAGGATCCCCAATATTTTAATTCCCAACATTTCAGTCTACTATTTTTTTTATATTTTTTTTTCTCAAACTCAAAATTAAAAATTGTCGAAATCCCAAAACTCTCAAAATTCTAAAATTTCAAATTTTTACAATATTACGAATCCCAAAGTGTCAAGTTGCGGGAGTTTTAGAACTCCAAACGTTCAAAATCCGTAAAACATCAAAATTAACCGTCTTCCAAAATTGCAAAAATACACAATTCTCACAATTACCAAAATCTGAAATCAAATCTTAAATTTTCAAAATTTTAAAATTTCCAATTCCCAAAAATTGAAAAATCTCAAATACTCTATTTCAGGATCCCCAATATTTTAAATTCCCAAAATTTCAGGCTACTATTTTTTTTATATTTATTTTTCTCAAATTCCAAATCAAAAATTCTCGAAATTCTAAAATTTCAAATTCTTACAATATTACAAATCCCAAAGTGTTGAGTCGCGAGAGTTTTAGAACTCCAAATGTTCAAAATCCCGTGAAACATCAAAATTAACAGTATTCCAAAATTGAAAAAATACAAAACACATGAAATCAAAATTCCCATTTTATTAAATTTTCAAAATTTTTAAATTTTTAATTCCAAAAAATTGAAAAATCTCAAATACTCTATTTCAGGATCCCCAATATTTTAAATTCCCAAAATTTCAGCCTACTATTTTTTTATATTTATTTTTCTCACACTCAAAATCAAACATTCTCGAAAGCCCAAAACTCTCAAAATTTCAAATTTTTACAATATTACAAATCCCAAAGTGTCAAGTTGCGAGAGTTTTAGAACTCCAAACGTTCAAAATCACGTAAAATATCAAAATTAACAGTCTTCCAAAATTGCAAAAATACAAAATTCTCACTTTACCCAAAGCCCATTTTCTTAAATTTTCAAAATTTCCAATTCCCAAAAATTGAAAAATCTAAATACTCTATTTCGAGAGTTTTAGAACTCCAAACGTTCAAAATCACGTAAAATATCAAAATTAACAGTCTTCCAAAATTGCAAAAATACAAAATTCTCACTTTACAAAATCCCATTTTCTTAAATTTTCAAAATTTCCAATTCCCAAAAATTAAAAAATCTTAAATACTCTATTTCAAGATCCCCAATATTTTAAATTTTCAAAATTTTAGCCTACTATTTTTTAGCGCATTTTTTAAGAATTAAAAAAAATTGCTATTTGCGTTTTGTCTGTCCGTCTGGACCGACTTCTACCGTTTTGAACTACTTCTAGGGGAATGGTCCTAGAGTCCTGGAATTTTTTGCAGTAGGTAGCCTATACCTTGAAGGTGTGCCAGACGGTCATCAAGTTTCGCTGCCTAAAAGGGGGGCCCCCCACGAATTATTTCCTGAGATGCTGTTTTTGAAAGTAAAATGTGCATAACTTTTACATACGACAACCAATTGGTCTCAGATAAACTCTACGGGGGCACATGTTCTACCCTTCATGGTATTCTGCCCAGAGTATAACATTATGTCCAAATAATGAACGTTTCAAAGACTTAGATATGTAATGCCGTTAGCTTCATGTGCGTTATTGTTGCTGAAAAGAATTAAACAAAAGACACAAATTTTGAGCACTTTGGAGAGCTCCCAAGTGAAACATGGTACCACATTTTCAGTGTAGTTGATTATATTACTGTAATTAAATGAAGAGCGCTTATTCGAACCTCATTTTTGTTAAGACATTTAGATGAATAAATTTATTATATGATTTGCATTCCTTTATTGATTCATAAGTAAACGTTTTGGCTGTACAAATGCAAACACTTTTCACTGAAACATATCTTGAATATATAAATACGGCGATCAGTGCCGTTTATCTACCTTATACGTCTGGAAGGTTATCGTAGGCTTCTTCGAAGTACTTGTTCAATTTGTGGCCGGGACACTTCTCGCTTTCCCATTCGTCCGAGCCCAAACGGTCGCTGAAGTAGCCCAAGAATCTGGTGCAGAAACACTTGAAGTTGATTTTCTGAAGTTCCTCAATTTGCCCCTTCAAAACCGCACCGTCGCATTGGTCGCATCCCTTATCGTGACGGATTTCGAGTTCCCTAGTGCACTTGTTGAACTTGTCCTGGGGGCAATCGACCGTTTGATCGTCATTGAGTATGCACTTCCTCCATTCGCTTAGGTACTCGGCGTTGAGACAACCGAAAGGAAACTTGATCAAATGTTGCCTTTGCACTTCCACATCATCGCATTTGTCGGCACGACAACGCTTGTTTTCTAAAAAATGTTGATTAATAATTGATTATGGGCACGTTTTAAACTTACTCTGCGCGTTGCAGCTTGAGAATGCAAGGCAGACGACGAGAATTGCTAAGTACTTCATTGTTGAATGATCTCTGAAGAATGGCGTGATCTGGCACTCTTTTATACCAGTGGTTTGTGATATCATTGGTGGATTGCGCAAGTCTGTTATATATTTATTTATTTAGAATTATTACAATTGTGGGTTTCCCCTTTTTAATAATTCTTATAGCGTAGATGTCATGGAATCTTACGGAGGTTGCATCGTTATCAGGCTCTCTTATCAGTATTTGACGAGACATTTTTCCGGGTTACGCTACTGCGCTGACCTCTTCTATCACTTTCGGTCAGTCTAGCCGTAGACAAATGCAGCATTTTCGGAAGTGTAGGTACAAGACCCTCGTCCAGGGGGCGCTTAACGCCAAAACGGATCCAAGGTTTTCAGCACTCCAAAACATCTTAATCCTAATATTTACGACTTAATTTGTATTGCGGTGGTAGCAATTTGCTCAAATTGCTTTATTTTGAAAGTAATAAATGTGTAGGGGAATTACCGAACTATTTTACGCCAGATTTGATCCTTGAGACTCTTGGTCAACATTTTTTGTGGGACTCCGTCCTGTGGAATGACGCACAGAAATCGTATTTGAGTAGCATATGAATCGTTAATTTACATTCGTTTCGATCTTTTTGAAAATTAATTCAGCTTATTAAAAGTTCAAACATGAACTACACATTATTGAATCGCACAGCATATGGGTTTAAATATTTATGTCGATAGGTAAACTCCTAGTTGGAAACCAAATAGATTCTGTATTTATCAATTATTAAGAAATTACATATGTAAATAATAAATCCCTCGTGATAACCGCTAGATTAATTGCCCATGGCAACATAAAATTAAGCAAGTTTATTATCAGACATTGTTACTAAACTGCAATCGCTTTATTCACAATTAATTAACTACTACCACTATCAGACAGGGTGTTCATAACACCATAGCTAATTCTTTTCCACTTCGGCAACAAAAAGAATAACACTAAATGGCCATTGAAAGTACTTTAATTTCCATTGATCTCCACATGCACCCTGTAGTACAGGGTGAGTCAACGATTGCGCGGAGTAACTTAATGCCTTGAAGATAACATTTTTCGATCGAGTGCTTTTGTATTATATGGTTGAATATTCTCCACATTTTAAAAATATTTGGAATTATACAGGGCACGCCCACAAAGTAAGGCACCAAATGGTACATTTTTTTTAAATAGAACCCCCCTGTATTTGAATGCATTTTTGAATTCTCCGTGTAATTGTACGTCTTTTTATTACAAAGTTACAAAATTTCATATTAAAAATCTCACTTTTAAATGGAACACCCTGTATATTTTTCTGTCATTTTTAGCTCCTCCAAAAACCTTCAACTTTTGGTAATAATGTACTATACCTATCTCTGATAGTTTTCAAAATATCTTGGTTTTCCTGGTTTTTATAGAATTTACATCGGAGTTAAATTAAATTTGCTTTGTAGTCAAATGTTTTTACTTATTCTCCAGTTTTTGGACTTAAAATAAATTGTTTGAAAAATAAATTAATCGATATGATTTTCGTTTTGGACAAGATAGATAAAAATTGCCTTTTTTTGCATGTCCACCTCACTATTATGTAAATTACATATAACTTATTTAAGAGTAGAATATAAATCCCAGGAAAACCAAGATATTTCGAAAACTATCAGGGATATGACATTAGTATCAAAAGTTGAAGGTTTTTGAGGGAGCTAAATGATGACAGAAAAATATACAGGGTGGTCCATTTAAAAAAAGTGAGAATGTTTAATATGAAGTTTTGCAACTTTGGACCTACCAAAAAAACACCATGTAAGGTATATTTTTAATGTTTCATAGTAGATGTATTTATTTGACTTTTACTTAACCCAGGATAAGATATAAAACCTGGAATCAAAATTTAAGTAATAATTTCGACAATATTATACTGATGCTTGCAAATGCCAAATTTTTCTTAAAAATCGAATTATCTTTAAAACTGCTAGCTTTTCGGATATTAACCATATAATAAAAAAGACGTACAATTACATGAAGAATTCAAAAATGCATTCAAATACAGGGGGTTCTATTTAAAAAAATGTACCATTTGGGCGCCCTACTTTGAGGGCGCACCCTGTATAATTCCAAATATTTTTAAAATGTGGAGAATATTCAACCAAGTCATAATACAAAAGCACTCTATAGAAAAATCTTATCTACAAGGCATTAAGTTACTCCGCGCAATCGTTGACTCACTCTGTACAATGAATTTTGACAATACATAGACTTTTTGTTCAAACTTATGAGCACTTCATTTTTTAATGATAAATACCCTAATTCTCGAATTTAACCCAACTCGACCCTTGAATTTGGCTGATTGAACGATTCAGATTTCGGAATAAAAAAAGGAGCAAATTCTTGGAAAAAAAACGAATCTTGAATTTACACCAAATTCAATAGACTCTTCAGTTTACACATTACAAAATATGTCAGTCATTGAAAATTGAGTGGATCCTTTATGACCAATTAATCAAAGCATTACGTTAAATTTTATACAAATTCTTTCTACATTAAATCTTTGAATATTTATAGTCCGGTCAAAATAGACATTTCAAATAACAAAAATTCCGACAGGGCTGAATTTTGGTAGAGACCTTGGGTACACCAGTAGAGATAAAGTGTCAATCCCCATAGATCTCATGTGTGCTAAAAAAATTATTCAAGGTCAAAGGGCACAATTTTCGGTTTTTTGGATTTATCTTAAAAACGATAAATTTTATCTAACATATAGTCCAGACAAGAATTCTAGACCATAAAATTATCTACAAAAACGATCCTTATACTTTTTTCTCTAAGAATCACCATTCCTAAGATATCGCCCTTCTAAAAGTTGAAGGAGGTACCACCGGTGAAGTAGTTTACTTGCGCGTTTTTTTAACCTGGTTTCCCCGGTAGGCCTACTCCACGATGTGTTATGACGGAGTTTTATGGGATGATGATTATTGATTTTGAAACTGATATAGGTGATTTAAACTGTAGTTCTGATTGCTGTTTATATTTTAATCTGATTCACACTCTTCAAATTCGACTCCAACAGTCACGTCTTCTTCGATTTCTACTTCTTCTTCCTCTTCTTGCCGAATGAATGATCTCACCCGCTTCATCGCCACAAAGTAAGCAATTTTTTTTAAATCAAAAGTGAGGTTCACGTACTCGCGCTCTAGTACGAGGTGTACTTACTTGTGATGGACCGGCTTGTTCATCCTCATGTTGTCTTTTGATAGTAGCAACTGAACTTTTCCTGGTATATGATTTTCGGCAATCCACGTGCATTATTACAGACTTTTCGCTCTGATTTTGATCCAGGCCATGTGAGTAGAAGGGACTGGCTAATATCGGGGATTGAGTAACTTTTGAGTGTATATTCTCAGAATTGTATATTTTATAGCTACATATACGAAATATAAATAAGCATTTTTACTTATTAAGTGCCTGACTATGAATATAGGAGGCATTTGTTTGCATATCATGTAGAATGCAAATCCTTTTACTCTTAGAACGTCAATATCTTAGGAATGGTGTTTCTTAGGAGAAAAAGTATAAGAACTATTTTTGTAGATAGTTTTATGATCTACAATTTTTGTCTAAGGTGTATGTTTGACAACACCTCAGTGAGAAAAATAAAATAAGTATAAATTGTGCACAACTCAGGGCTATGGTTGGTAGAAATTAATTCCTTTCGTTGAGACCTTTCATTAGACTACCATGAAGGATAAAACTAGTTCCACTCCCCCCGCCCCCTCCACCCCATACTTTGATAAGAGGACAGAAAGAAGGGCAGTAGTTGGTAGAAAACGGCTCCTTTCATTGAGACCTTTAATTAGAATACGATGAGAAATAAAATTAATTTTTAACCCCCCCCAGGCCCCATCGCTCACTGATCTCGAAAAAGAGTCGCACGAGAAAGTTATAGTTTGTACAAACCAATTGATTTATTGATTTTGATGAGACCTTTCATTAGAATACCATGAAGGGTAGAACATGTGTACCCCCCCCCCTCCCCATTTTCTAAAGTTTAACTTGGCACCACTAAAGGCATGCGTATGCAAAATCTGAGACCAATGGTTGTTGTATGTGAAAGTTATGCACGTTTTACTTTCAAAAAGAGCATCTCAGGAAATAATTCGTGGGGGGGGGGGGCTTTTGGACAGCGAAATTTGATGACCGTCTGGCACACCTTCAAGGTATAGGCTACCTACTGCAAAAAATTCCAGGACTCTAGAACCATTCCCCTAGAAGTAGTTCGAAACGGCAGAAGTGGGTCCGGACGGACGGACGGACAAAACGCAAACAATAACACGTTTTTTTTATTCTTAAAAAATGAACATTTTCACCTTTGACCTTTAATCACTTTTAGCACACATAGGATCTTTGAGGACTGTTGGCACTTTATTTCTATTGGTGTACCAAAGGTCTCTGTCGGTTGTTATTTGATCTATTTGACTGGGTTATTAAATAAGAGGACAGAAAGAAGGGCAGTAGTTTGTAGAAAACGGTTCCTTTCGTTGAGACCTTTAATTAGAATACAATGAGAGATAAAATGAATTGTTAAACCCCCTCAAGCCCCGTCGCTCACTGGTCTCGAAAAAGAATCGCACGGAAAAGTTATAGTTTGTACAAACCAATTTATTTCGATGAAACCTTTCATTAGAATACCATGAAGCGTCATGTGATGACACCACCAATTGGTTGTCGTATGTAAAAGTTATGCACATTTTACTTTCAAAAACAGCATCTCAGGAAATAATTCGTGGGGGGAGGGGGGGGGGCTTTTAGACAGCGAAATTTGATGGCCGTCTGGCACACCTACAAGGTATAGGCTACCTACTGCAAAAAATTCCAGGACTCTAGGACCATTCCCCTAGAGGTAGTTCGAAACGACAAGACGGACGGACAAAACGCAAACAATAGCACATTTTTTTAGTTCTTAAAAAATGCGCTAAAAAGATGATTTCAACACGTCTCCCACAGTGGGACCGATTGAACTAAGTTTATTGTTGAAACTATCGAAGGTTTTAGTTAGAATTTCACCACTTTAAACGATTTAAATATGTGACTTATTTAATTCGCCACGAGTCCGACGCAGTTTTTTCGCTAACGCGTAATGAGGAATTTTTCTTTAGATGAAGAATATTGCAGGACATGCAACGTTTTGCCAGCGTCAATAAAATTGTCAGTGGGCTCCAAAATGGCGGACGAATCAGCTGTGTTCAATCTATACGTGGATGATACCGCATTTTTGCATGGACCTCTTGGAGATTATTGCTTCGATACTTCTGAATTTACTTACGCTACTTGTGTCATTACGAAGAATATACCTTCAGAGACCCGATTTTGTCTACATTACTTCTAGTCACTTAGAAGATTCATTTGTACTAGCTTAACTAGGTTTCATATCCTTTATATTAATCTGTTTACTGATATTTAGTTTGAAGTTACGTTTATGCTTTTATTTTACCAATTTGTATAGACGATTCGTTGTCGATCAAATTTTGCTTTTGCTTAGTTTTAACAAAATTGAATGATTGATTCTTATACCTATTAATTACAGTTTTAGTGTACGATGTACCCTAGTGTCAGACGCGCTATTCACTATCTCCCTTGTTTGTTTGTGTAGTCATCTGTTACAGATAAGGCAGGAAAGCGCACTTTTGAGCTCAAAAGGCCGTTACAACCAGAGCTCAATAATAATAATAACAGTCTTTATTAATATAAACTACAACATAAGTATATATAATTGAAATGAAAATTAATGTAAGAGACATACTCATGGTCATCATTATGGCCGCCTGAGGGGTTGTTGCCTTATTCATTTTATGAAAAAGAAATAAAAAAAGAAACGTGAGAGCTCAAAATTTTTATTTTCGACCATGTTTGATTACATACTGGTTTTGGATACAATGGAACTGTAATTACTGCATTTGTTTTATAGTAATTTAACAATCATAGTGTGCTGCGGACTCCTGCTCTGACATTAATAATTTCGCTGACTAGTTGAACCCGAGTGATAAATTGTAATTATACTTAAATATATATTGAAAACTGGAACTAAAATCGAAAATAAAAACGGGAAAAGACAATAGCATTCAAAACCAACATTGGTAATACACGATTTCCCTTCGAATCTGAATTTTAACGCATCCAATAGTTTCGGTTAGCGAACTTACGCAAGAATCTCCCATCTCCGCTTTTTGAATTTCGCCCGGTAGAAATACCGAAACGGGCCCTATTTTGTGAACGAAACAATGCGACGAACTACAGTAGTAGGTCCACGCACAAATGAAATTTAAATTATATAATTAGCGGAATAAGGATTACAATTTAATTACAAGAAAAATAAATAAATTTACAAATCATTGTTAATAAATGACGCGGCGGCAACCATGGTGGGCGGAACGGACAGACGAACTCGAGCGCCACCAATGGATACGGCCTTGCCCCATGTCAAGGTCGGCGATAGTAGCGGTAAACTTAATTAGAGTACACGACAGCTCCAGGAATCGGACGAGTTCAGCAAATGGGGGCGGTCACTTCGGAAGCACTAAAACAAAATTACGGCGCACGGCTCATACCGCAAGTTCCCTAGCGGGAGTGAAAGTAACAAAACACAAATTAATTAGTGGTGTCTACAGGAAATTAAATATCCCCCTCCTCCTTTATAATTAATGAAACAGAAAGTAGCTTGCAATTGAACAAAACAGTAGAAATTACTGTGCAGGAAAAAGCACAAGCTGTAAATACGGTGTGGTCGACTTAAAGTAGAAACAAAAATCAATCAATACAGTAGCAAAACATCCAAAGGCAAAAAGATCCCCTCTAAACAACGGTTTTACTTTAAAATGTGGCCATTCCATGGAGGGCACGTTGGTTTGCCAATCAGCCCAGTGTATTCGGATAAGAACGTCCAAAAATTAAAACTTCTTTAATTGTGCGGCCTACTGACGTCCTAAGGTCTTAAAATGCAAATTAATTAAGGCCGCTTCCTTTGAGCACTCTCACGATTTGATCGGATGCTGTTCTGCAACTCATTAAATTAGCCACTGTTAATTCTCGCTTTAATTTCCGAGGTGAAATTTGTAAATTCATACTTCTAATTAACACTAATACCGGGGCTTGGCCTTGCAGTTTTAATGCTCGTTTTGGTATACCATTGGAAACCTGCTAATAATGACTTAACGGAGCTGAAATATCATTTGTCCTTGTCTTCTAAATGACGAGAACTTTCGGACCCAACAAAGATAATTGAAATATCTAGACGGAAACCGTTGTAAACGGCGAATTAATTACAGCTACAAGCAGAAGCAATTTGTTTTCTGCATTCTGGGTGGGGTACACAAATGCGTATATCTCAAGAACAGATTTTCAGAAGGGGCCACTTCATGCCTTGTTCCATGTGATTTCATTCTTTTGCTCGAATTTCTGCAAATCAATGCAGGTTGATCGCACATGTCAGACCTTTCAAAGAGATTTTGTCAATTCTCATGTCAAAGGATTTGTTTTGATTTATTCATATTGTCACAGTTTTACTGGACGAGTGGAAGATCGCCCATGGCGAACTCTGTTCCATTTGTGAAAATTTTCTTTAGTTTTTCACAATAAATTATTATTATTATTATTCTGTAGTATGCACTATTCTCAATGTTTTTTTGATTCCAGGACGATCAAAAATTGGCGCAAGCACAATCCGAATCCGTGCCGATCGATAATCGACGGAGAACTAGTTTGGAATTTCCTGCATCTGTCCATAAACGAAAAAATGGAGGTAAGCTAAATCGCTCGCGATTAATCCGTATAACAAACACCTTTTCGCAGGTATCCAAAAAGATCGGAACAAAATTAGAAGAACTCATCGACGACTTGTCGGACATTCAAAAGATGACTGGGCACTTTTAAGAGGGCGCCACTTGTATTTGTTAATAAAAAACAGTTTTCTTTTTCGATTGATATTTTACTTTACAGTTTATAAAAGTTACAATCACAGAATAACATAAATTAGTATTCGATTTCTCAATCAATAGTCAAATTCTGATGTAATGTATACAATTACATTTTTTTATTTGCGATTTACCATAGATCAGGTACAGATAATTTCGTCAGGAAGCAAAGAGGAATCTCCCGGTTATAAACTAAATTATCCACAATAATCAACTAATAAGAAATCAAAAAAATTACGTATAAAACTAAACTCAATATAATACTCGTAAAAAATAGGTAAATTGCCCCCGCTAGCCTCGAAGACTGTAAGTCCTTTTCAAAGTAATCACTTTCGATTTGTCCTTTTTGTTAACTGTGGCACGCTCCGCTTGGGACACTTTACTTTTGGCCGACTGTACTCGTTTGGCGGCCTTTTTCTTACTTCTCTTCAACTTCGCGAGTACGGCTTGATATTCTAAATACTGGCGTTCCTTCATTCGGTTGTACACCTCCACCATTGCTGGAGTGTAGCCTTCGATATACGTTGCGAAACTGAAAAAAAAAAGATAGTTGTTACTCTAAGGATGGGCTGCGTGCATTTAATAGTGATGTTTACGGGACTAGAACCATTACAGGCTAACAATTTGGGAGTACCGTCTCTCTTTAAAATTTACTTCTAAGATATACATGGAGGAGATGGAACCAAAGCTCTCACGCGTCCCATTTGAAATTATTTCAGATATTTTGAGGTTAAAAAAATGTTTGTTGTTTTCGAAGTGCGACCGCCATCTTATTCTTATCTCTTTCTTACTACCCTAATCATGAATGGTGTTAAATGAGCAAATAATGGCGAAAAAACTCTTGTCAAATGCTCCGACGAAATTAAGATCATGCTCATGTGCTGCCATAGTGTTGTAAGCAAACATATGTACCGTGTCTGTGTCAGTTCTTAACCACCTGCTCATGTGTAAGGTGGTAGGAAAGAGAAAGAAATTAGCTTTTTAATGGCGTATTACATACCGTATTGCCATTTAAAAAATACAAGATGGCGGCTCGTTAATAAGCCAAACAATTAGTTTCTTCCGTATGTACATCATATTGACGTACACCCTGTATAGGCGCATCTTTTGTATTCCTTCTTATGATTATCTTATAGCGTTTTCGATTGGCAAAACTCGTACTGCACGAGTGTTGCACGAGAAACTGAAGAAATCCATGTGAAAATTGCTCTCAATGGAACATAAATATTCGTAAATATTTGTTGTCATTTGTCCATAACCTCATTTTAGATTTAGGTAATCGACAAATCTCTATTCTAAAAAATGACAAATGATTTCAGTATTATTTATGATAAACGATTAGGAATATAAATTGGAAATTCCTGTAAAGGACCAATTTTTGGCGTTCAGTTTAATGAATAAGTGCAACTTTTTGTAAAATAGAAGTTATGGCTAGTTCATCATCTTCGCTATCGCTAGATGACGACAAAAAACTCTCCCAACGCAAGAAACAAATTCAAATTGTCGCACGTTTGTTTTGAACATTTGTTAACTAGCAGCTTCACGAGCTCTCGGACCTCGTGCGTCGAAATTTGCACTGAGTGCGTAATTGTTGCATCACATTTGCCAATGGAACACAGAAAATTGCCCTAAAATTACCAATAGAACGTAAAAATTGCACTCGTGCAGCACGAGGTTTGCCAATCGAAAACGCTTAGTAAGGCCAAAAGTGTACAGGGTGGCCAAATAAGAATGCGAGATACTGTATCTGGGAACCTGTCCCTCGTAGAGGCTTGCGGTAAAAAAATTTATTACTAAAACGGCTACGAGCAAAACCTGGAAAATATTTTTAAGTTTCTGACATGGCCGCTAGGGGGCGTAACTGCAATCTGGAATCTAAAGTCACTAGATATAGAAAGTACCGCATTCATCCGCCATTTTTGGGCAAATTTGCTGCCAACTTAAAAAAATTGACAAATAAAATCTGAATAGCTGTAATTTTTTATAACCTAACTTCAAAGTACTGTCATGTTTTATAAAAATATATACAGATATCTCCAAACAGGTGGAACAATCCCTAACATTAAAGTTACTAGAATCTGGTAACTTCCGCCATTTTTGGGCAAAAATCATGCGTTCTCTCTAACACACGAGCCCAATGGATTGCGGTGCTTTCTATATTTAGTGACTTTACTGGAATCTAAAAAAGTGATGTTTCTGTGAATTCGGCTATATTAACCTAACAAAAAAATGTCAGGTCTAACAATTTTTGTTTGACAATTTTTCCTGTATCTCTAAAAATGAAGTGGTGAGGGATATTCAGTTTCTGTAAAGAACACCATGTATCTTCAAAACGGCTGAGCCGATTTAAACAAACTTGGGTTAGTTCAAAAGGCCTATTCTTCAGCTAGAAATATTATACTATTTGAAGTTTTCACATATCACCGCTTGAGGGCTTTTTTCGACATTCCGACAGAAATTGTTATTTTCTCAAAAAGATTAAATGCATTGGTTCGATTTTTTTCATGAAAAAGTAGCTAAATGATGCCTAAACAAGCTCGCAGAAACAGCATCGTGATGGCCAGCATTTCGAGCATTTACGGCGGCATTAAAAGCTTGCTTTTTTAGATCGATCCACCTTAGGGCCCCAAATTATATAATGAAAATAATTCCGGAAAAATTAGCTTAAAAAAATAAAATTTTGAGGGTATAAAATTTTCTTTGGCCTAAATTTTAGGTTAGGAACAAGATATCGAGATGCGGTTTTCGCGAGCTTGTTTAGACATCATTTAGCTACTTTTTTATTATACCTGAATCACAATCTCCGTTTTAAACACTCAAATGCGTGCGAAAAAGGGCCTTTAAAACACACGTGCTTTAAAGTTGCTAAGTAACGAGACTTCAAGTATGACTTTTGAAACTGTCATCTGGATGAAATAAAAAATCCTCTTAGGTCGCTTTCTGTAAATGCAGAACATTTCTTTGGCTTTTGTACCCATCCTTTGGTTGAAGCTTTCACAAACGCGCGTAATTTAGGGTATGCTTCCAAATCTGTTCCACTTTTTAATCGCAGCATTGCTTTAAAGTTTTGAATGAATGCACCAAAATATAGAAGATTTAAATACCTTTGACATTTCCTTCATATATCCCAGCATTATCGATGCATTTAAGACTTTATTCGTAAGTAACTTCCTATTCATCCATGGAAACAACTTTTCATATTCTTTATAATAGGCTTTGCTGGAGTTGGATTTTACACCTACCAACGTTTGTTTAGATTTTACAACAATCGATTTAATGGGCGGTGTATTATCTTTTTCAACGGAAATCGTTTAATTCACAAAGACGATGATTTTTATAAGCAAACGTCAAGTGACATTTCCATGGCAATCGTGAAATTACGAACACCCAGCCCACTTAATTAAACATGTATTCGAGTATAACGTCAATATGACTTCATTGTATTTCCTATTTTTAAATTATACTGCAGGTATAATAAAAAATACTATAAGATACACCTGTATAATTGATCTTTAAAGCACTTGCAACGTTAAAGGCACTCCGCTTTGCGTCGTGCCCTTAAACTCGTTGCGCGTGCTTTAAAGACTTGATTATACACTTGTATCTTAATATACTATTTCATGAAAAAAAAATCAAACCTGTGCATTTAATTTTTTTGAGAAAATTAACCATTTCTGTCGGAATGTCGAAAAAAGCCCTCAAGCGGCGATATATGAAACTAACAAAACCCGAGTTTTTTAAAATTGGCTCAGTCGTTTCGAAGATACAGGGTGTTCTTTACGGAAACCTTTGAATACCCCCCACCACTTCATTTTTAGAGATACAGGAAAAACAAAAAAGGTTCAGATTATCGTCGTCTTCAAAGACCGGACATTTTTTTGTTAGGTTAATATAGCGGAATTCACAAAAAAATCACTTTTTTGGATTTCAGATTCCATTTCAGAAACTTTACCACAAGCCTCTACGATGGACAGGTTCCCAGATACAGTACCTCGCATTCTTATTTGGTCACCCTGTACTTTGTCAAGGACAACCTTGGAACGGAATTCACATGTTGTTTTTATATTTGATGAAATGCATATTTTGAACTTATGAAACGACAGCCTTTATGAAATACTTACGAAGTTAGTGAAATTTTCATACCCGGCGCCCTGGAGTAATTGCAGGGCCCCCCTCGGGCAAAATTTCATATTTTACAATTTACATACAGGTTGCCTGCCACTGGTTCTTAAGACTATGTTGAAAGATCTCGACAAAAGCGATTGTTTGACAAAAAAGGGAAATGGGGGAAGAGGATGTTCATTTGCGTCCATGGTACTTCAACAAAATGGACGGTTTCCCATCCCCCTCCCCAGGAAGGAGGAAGAGAAAGAAGGGGATCAAAATCTCAATGAAAGTTTGTTTAAAATCTACTTTGCTTACATATTTATTTGTGTCTGTGAGGCTTAAGCGAGACAGTACCTGCCATGACATTCTAATGGAATATCTTAAAGAGATGTGTGACCTAGGGGGAAACAACTTAGAATTTTTGGTGTACACCCCTTTGAATTAATTTGAATTAATGTAAATTAACGTGAATTAATTTGAATTAACGCGAATTAAATTGAATTAATTTGGATTGAAGCGAATTTATTTGAACTAACGTGAATTAATTTGAATTAATGTGAAATAATTTGAAATAACGTGAATTAATTTTAATTAACGTGAATTAACTTGAATCGTGTATTAATTTGAATTAACGTTAATTCATTTGAAATAACGTGAACTCATTTGAAATAACGAAAGTTAAAACATTCTTATTGGCAAATGCCTTTTATAGTTACGAGGAATATTTGGGTGCAGTTGGGAATTGGAATTTGGAAGTTAAAGACGTGTTGTTTGTTTTATAATTATATCGTTTGTAATTTATATTTTATACTAGCTATTATTTATTGTGTTATGTTAGACTTTTTGTTATGGTTTATATATTATTAAGATAATAATGACAACTGTAAATGCCTGTTTATGCATACTACAGGAAACTATTAAACTAAACTATAAACCATGTCCTGAAACAGCATCTCTTTAACTCGCAAAACCTCCCCTGATATTGGGGAATCTATTTAAAAACGCAGTTGAAAATTGTGTTAGCGCGTGCGCAAACTTAAAATGAAAATTGTAGTTACATTACTGATTAGTATTACATGTATCGAAGCCCACGCGTGAGAAATACGTTTTAACAAATGGCACGAGTAGGTCAATGTTGGATTTTGCATACGCATGCCTTTAGTGGTGCCAAGAAAAGGAGGGGGGGGGCACATGTTCTACCCTTCATGGTATTCTAATGAAAGGTACTTTCCCGTGCGACTTTTTCGAGATCAGTGAGCTACGGGGTCGGGGAGGGGAGGGGGGTTAAAAATTAATTTTATCTCTCATTGTATTCTAATTAAAGGTCTCAACGAAAGGAACCGTTTTCTCAAGACTGGATTGTCAGAAGAGGGTAGTCACAAAGGGCGATTGAGACGTCTGCAAAAAATATATCCATTGGTAATGTCAAAACAAAAGCTATTTCAGTTAAAAAAAATGCGTTTTCTGGACGTTTAGAAGCACACAAACCCCAAAATCGTTATTTACATAAAATTCAGGAAAATTACTAATTACTGGTGAGGAAATATTGAAGTACGAGGGACCGAGTACTTTAATTTCCGAGTCAGATAATGTTATTTTACTGACGAGTTTTGTATTAAATTTTACCCGAAATCGTTTTTTAATAAAAAGTTTCAATTTTCTGATAGAAGTTTTAATTAATGCCAGTCTGTCAGTTATGACAGGAGTCATTATAGACAAATGCGGCCGGTAAAGTGACAAGCGGCAGGAAACGTAGTCTGCTCTGCCTCTGTCATGGAAACTAAAATTTCCCGACAGAAAGTAGGCATGAAAATGAAGGTTTCAGGTCGATTTTGGGTAAAAGCTTAGACCATATAGTACATGGACTGCTAATTGTAACTAAAATATGGTCAAGGACATCGCCTGGGTATGTGAGTTTCAGGGTAAACGAGTCTGTCCGAAGTTGTCCGATGAGACACGATTTCAGACTGTCAACCTATAAATTAACAAACGTCAATTAATTAATCGCCTAGATATCCCAAAAAAAGCAAACTTATTCTTATTTGTGGACGTATAGCAAATAATGAAGAGCATTTAAAGCTTCCCGTACTACGCGGTTACTATAAAGCTGTTCTTTAAGCGATCCTAGTGGTGTTTACACGACTTTAGTTTACCCTGAGATTCACATACCCACGACTACAGTGCCCTCTATCCGTGACCATCCATTTTATATTGAAAGCATAGGGCGAATAGCAGTCCATGTACTATATGGTCTAAGGGTAAGTCATTTTTAGCTTGACGTTTGTGTGTGGGTGTGTTACACACACACGTGGTTCGTTTTTTGTGAACTAAAAAACCCCCAAACCGATTTGGACGAAAATTGGGGTGCATATAGGGTGGTATAGGGCAAGGTATGGAGAATCGAAAACGTCCTATTTTGGTTTTGATCCGTAACCATCTTCATGGTTGTTGAGGATGTCAAAAGTTTAAGAGCCAGAACGGCTTGAAAAATAGTATATTATATACCGCGGGACTGAAGTAGTACTTTTAATCCCGAAGGTAAAGTTTATGGCCCGACCAAAGGGAGGGCCATAATTTACCTGAGGGATTAAGACCACTACTTCAGTCGCAAGGTATATACGATATTTTTCGTACTTCCGAAACTGAAACACTTAATATGTATGGAGTTAGAGAACGCGTTCTTTCAAAAAATCGCTGCTTAACAAGTTACCATAGGAACGTTGCGTTGGTACGACAATCCCTATGCTATGGTAACAAAAATAATTTGGAAACTGTCATTGCTAGTGTCATAATTTTGGTCGTGGGTGACAAAGGTGTATTTGATATTGATAAAAAGCAGCCAAAGTAGGTAAAGAATTGATACCACCGAAATCCAAAAAACTATATGAGCAGCAGTACGATGCGTTTAAGAAGTAGTGCCGCATACAAAATGTGGAACAACCTACTGAAATTGCCTTGTTAGTAATTTCATCCTTCCGGGATTTTCGTCTAATTTTAATCCCGGCGGGACAAAAAGTGACACTTCAGTACTTGTCATAATGGAGTGAAGTTGTTACTTTAGTCCCGGAAGTACTAAAAATATTTTAACTTTATTTTATTCGCATACATTGGCCAAAATGGCTTAAAAAACTCTACAAAAAAGTTCATTACAATTTTTTTGTGAGTTTCTTTATTTTTGAGAAGTTTTGAATTGAAAAGTTAAACATTTATTTCATTTTTTAAATTTGCATTTTTCTCTAAAAGTAAGCATCAAAGTGAAAAATGTTAATTGCACAAAAAAAAGATGTGTCTTGATGAGATCTACAAAAAGGCTTCTACACTTTTTGCGTGAGGTACTTAGTCACTAGATATAGAAAGTACCGCAATCATCCGCCATTTTTGAGCAAATTTGCTGCCAACTTAAAAAAATTGAAAAATAAAATCTGAAGAGCTGTCATTTTTTATAACCTAACTTCATAGTACTGTCCTTAGATCATATAAACACATGGATAGAGCTATCTCATAAGCTCTACTAAAAGACAACCGTCGCCAACATTCCAACGTGCATTTTTATGCCTATGATCTTTTACTATTAGTAAGTTGTAATGTATTTATCCTTTGCCGGGTTGATTGTAAAAGTGCACAAGCTTGGCGATTGTAAGGACGTTTGTCCGTTTGACATCGTATATTCGCAAACAGCTGTTTTTCTTATTTAACCTTGCTTGACTTTACATGGTTATATATGAAACTAAAATTTTAATACAGTTCTGTACCACTAAATTGTCCTATAAAGATGTATTTATTCATGTATTGAGAACCTTTTTTACCCTAAATAATAAATATTGCATTGTTTATTAACATTGTGGGGTTAAAGATTTGAATTTTCTGATTGGTTACTATCACTGAAACTGTACAGGGAATAACAACATATAAACTGTACGTCGACAAGAGAGATACAGCACAAAAGTATGTAGTCTTGAATCAGAACATGTTGGCGACATAGTGTAATTGCATCGCTCCATCCATGTTTATATGATCTAAGGTACTGTCATATTTACAAAAATATATACAGATATCTCCAAACAGGTGGAACAATCCCTAACATTAAAGTTACTAGAATCTGGTAACTTCCGCCATTTTTGGGCAAAAATCATGTGTTCTCTCTCTAACACACGAGCCCAATGGATTGCGGTACTTTCTATATTTAGTGACTTTAGTTATACTATGACCAAAGATAATTGCAATGACTATTAAAAGTAGTCGGAAAGTCAAGTCGGGAGTTTACCTGACAACTAGTTTAAATACTCACCAGTATAGTTTACCATGGCAAATGAGAAATTTGGCAACACTGGCATTACCTCTAGTTCCTATAAATTTTTCGTAATCGATTTAGTCTTACCAATCACTTACTCATTACTACCACGCAAATGTTAAGACTTACATATCTCCCCGATCACGTGGCGAGTGTCCGTTCGAGTTTAACCTCTCCATCGACTTATTGAAGACGTCGAGCATCGCGGATGTCGGATTCAAGGCGTGTATATCCAAATTTTGAATGCCGCTATTCTCGCTCGTGTCGGTCAGCTTCCTCTCGCGCGCCCGTTTGATGATCACTTCGGGATCGACGAGCTGCGAAATCCAGTCCTTTTTACGCTTCACGACGTCGCGCTTGATGACCTTGCGCCGCACCGGTAAGTTCGATTGTAACGGCGCGCGCTGCAGTAGCATCTTGGCGCACTTCACTTTCACGTTTTCCGAATTGCACTTGGTCTTCTTCTGCTTCCGGCCCCATCCCTCCCGATTGTCGAAATCTAGCAGCAGGTCGTCCTTGTAGCCGTACTCCTTCAGCGCCTTTCCGAACAGAGTGCGTATGTACGAGTAGTCGGGCTTGCGTTCGAACTCCAAACTTTGCAGGTAGGTGAAGTAGTCGTAGAGAAACCGCGGGTATTCGAAGTTGAAGGCGTACTCGAGGAATGGTTTGAGGTTTTGCATGTACCGGCACTTCTTTTTGTGGACGGTTTCCGGGTCGGAGCTTTTGCTCCACGGGAGGTCCGACGTTAACCAATAGATCAGGTTAAAACCGAGACACTCGAGATCCGACCTAGGCGACTGGGCGCCCTCGTGGGCGTCTCGCGAGCAAAACAAAATCGTACCGGCGTGCGCTTTACGCGAGTCGTAATCGTAAGGTTTCGGTTCACCTGTCGACGTCACATATTTACAGGCAAGTCCGTAGTCTAATAGGAAAATTTGATCGATGTTATTCATCGGCTGAGCTTCCGTCTTCGACTCCTCATTGTACAGGTAGAAGTTTGTACGCAAGACTCGTTGAATTTTTCGCACTTTACAGGTACGCACGGGTCGACAGCCGGAATAGCGAATGGACTTGCCGTTGGGCGTACTGGGCTTCTTCTTGTACTCGTTATACAAAATATTAGACGCTTTAATATCGGAGTGAACATAACCGTTATCGTGTAAGTATTCTAAGGCGTCGACAATTTGAAGGCTGATCGTCAAGGCGGTTTTAAGATTAAATTTCCGTTTCACATCGAAGATTGCTTGTAAGTCTTTTTCGTACCGAGGTAATATTAGGAAACGATATTTATTATCCCCAACGGTATGAGAACCATAGGCTACGTAGTGTGGTATTGCTAAATGTTGCGTCTTCCTGTCAGTCTTCCATTGCTTAACTGAAAACGAAGGAAATTCACCCTTAGTTTCTGTACATTCAAGCATTATTTAACAGTAACAAAGTATTGCACGCATAATTTTAGTTTGCGTTCATGTTTTTGAGAAAGACTGGTCACGCCGCAGATCGTTTCGTCCCTGATTAAAATAAAGGGAGGCTAATGGACGCGTAATCGCCATCGTGTGCTAAATTTAATCCGTTCGGTAAGTTCCTAATCGTACACGAAATATAGATGTGGAACGCGATAAAGTCAAAACGAAAAGAGGAAGAGAGACGAGTTATTCACGGAGATAATGTAATTATGCACAAAAACCTCTCCGACGGCAAGTGTGTCTTAACCCGTTTGCGTATTATAAGCATTCAAAGGGATTGCAGAGGCAAATGGTTATTATTCAAAAACGATTGGAAATAGACATACGCCCTCGCGGAGTTTTTTTTGTGAGAAATTTAGTCCCCTAAAATTTATCTTCTACGAATTTTTTATCTATTTCGGTTTGCCCTGTATTTTGATATAAATGCGCGCCAATGTGATTTTCGTCAGAAAACTCCACTAGCGTAAGTGTAATAGACTGAACTCTTTCTTACGTTGAATCGACAACGACACTGATTCAGAATCGGAGGAGCAGTTCACACGCCTCAGTTCTATACACCCAAAGTCGCAAAACAACATTTTTAAAATGTCGTTAATTTTACTTATATTCGTAGTGTTTACATATAAAGTTTCATTTAAATATCTTCATAAATAAACAAGTATAAATTGTGCTCAACTCCTGTGCAGATAAAGCGCAGGTAGGGAGGGCTATGGTTGGTAGAAATTAATTCCTTTCGTTGAGACATTTAATTAGAGTACCATTAAGGATAAAACTAGTTCCACTCCCCCCGTACTTTGATAAGAGGACAGAAAGAAGGGCAGTAGTTGGTAGAAAACGATTCCTTTCGTTGAGACCTTTAATTAGAATACAATGAGAGATAAAATTAATTTTCCCCCCCCCCTCCTCAGGCCCCTCGCTCGCTGATTTCGAAAAAGAGTCGCACGAGAAAGTTATAGTTTGTACAAACCAATTTATTTCGATGAGACCTTTCATTAGAATACCATGAAGGGTAGAACATGCGTTTACCCCCCCCCCCCACCTTTTCTAAAGTTTAACTTGGCACCACTAAAGGCAAATCTGAGACCAAATGGTTGTCGTATGTAAAAGTTCTGCACGTTTTTCTTTCAAAAACATCATCTCAGGAAATAATTCGGGGGGACGTCCCCCTTTTAGACAGCGAAATTTGATGGCCGTCTGGCACACCTTCTGCAAAAAATGCCAGGACTCTAGGACCATTCCCCTAGAAGTAGTTCAAAACGGTAGAAGTGGGTCCGGACGGATTTTTTTTAATTCTTAAAAAATGCGCTAAAAAGTTAGCATCACACATGCGTTACACTGCGCATGCGCAAAACCAAAAAGAATACACGGAATCCTTGGATCAAGCCCTTTCAAATGAGTCCTATATCGCCAAAATCGGTTCAGTGGTTTAGAAGGAGTACGTGTGACGGACGGACAGACGGACGGACGGACGGAAAATACGCCAACAAAAGTTGGAAACTGTTGGTTTCAACACGATGGTGCACCTTCGCATAACGCCCTAATCATGTGAAAAATTTTCCATTTTCCAGGAAATTTGTCCAATATCTCACAGTTCCACACTTCCAGACTCTTGTCAATCGCGAAATGGAGAAATTGAAAGAATATGATGAGTCCCTAAAAAGTTCCCTCCAAGCAATTCAAGACTGTAAACACAAGCACAATCTTCTCTTTCTGCAAGATTTGGCATGTTAAGTATACACTAAAATCCACTGTAAAATATAGAACGTGGCAACACTGTAAAAGATAAGTAACGTTAAAGTATAATAAAAGAAGATGGTTGCTTTCGTATTCGATTTGTAATACGTGTTCTAGAATAAAAGTTATATGAGAGGAAATTGGTTTTGGTAAAGCGTTCAGAAGAATCAAGAGAATAGTTAAAATGGCAATCTGTCATTCCACGGATCTCGCTCTCCCTTGCTACTTCAGCTATATCTACAGCAGATTTCCACTCATCTCTTCTCATCACTGTGTAAAACAAAAATGTGGTATTGGTGTATCCAAAACTTAATTTGAGTATTTGTGTGCCCATTTTAAATATCGCATCAAAATCGATACGTTACCTGAATTATACATGCAAATTAATAAACACTGTCAAATGCAGATAATACATCGTCTGCTTTATGTATGATGCAAACGTTATAGGTTACAATTTAAATAAAATAAACAATTCAGATAAATACCGCGTTTATCGGCGACAACGAAAACTAACCTTCAGGCCTGTTTATGGGCGCGTTCAGTTAGTATTCAGCCGATTAAATTCGCTGAATTTTTAGTATACCGTCCCTAACCTAACTTTTTTGTTTCCTTTTTTCCATTACTTTACAATGCACTGTACTAAATTTCTTACCACTGACACAAGCATTCCTTTTCATCAATGGTACATTTCAATTGTGTCACATACTCTATTCATGGTGACGATGAGTATTTACAGATAAATAAAAAATTATGTTTTAGGTTATGAAGGTCAAGATACATGCCCGCGTTTACTCCAACCTTCCGCCCACAATTTTCGCTGAGACAAAATGGCGGACGCTGTTAAGCGCCAAACGACAGCTACGCCACAGAATAAGACCTTCACGGAACAGAAACATAAACGGCACGAAATTGTCACTGATTACAGCGTTTCCCATTATTGTGCGAAGAACTTTTTATCGCAGACTGAAATATTTTTTCGCGAAACCTACAAAAATATGAATCAGATTAATGGAAAAAGTGTAATGTGGCGAATTGTAACGATAAAATATCAAAATAGCAAATATCAAAAAGGTTTTCCCAGTCCACGTAGGTATGGTGAACTGGTGAACTATTTACTCTCCGACTACATACAAGGTATGTATTGTAATCGTGGTACATTATGGATATGCCAATATTGAGTTTTCCGGACGTTTTGAATGAAGCCCCCAAACTCCAAAAAACACGATAACTAAAAACGCCTACACCAATTTGGACGTAATTTGGGGTGCAGATAGGCTCGTATGGGGAATTGCAAACGTCCAATTTTGGTTTCGATCCATAACCAGCTCCATGGTTGTGGGAGAATGTCAAACAACTTGAAAAATTTTTTCGCACTCAGATAGATAGATAGATAGATACTTTTATTTCCACGTTCATCAATGTATACACAAAAACAGACAAAAAATAACAATATGTTCTAAAAAAAAATAATAATAAACTAAAACAAGTAAATAAGACTAGATGAATCGCAGATAGGTACCTCATTAAACAATTACTGTTGTGTTGAGGTTACCATCACTTAAAAAAACCAAGTTAATATTAATTCCAAATGCACTACATAAATTAAACGGAGAAAAAAGAACTTAAAAATTGCAGTAATAATGATATCAGTGGCGAATGTTTTTAGTTTTCAATCAATTTTGAATATTTTTTATTTTTTTGGGGGTTTACAGTATAGTTGAATTCCGTATTTTGGACAGTAAAAGTTTATTTAAAAATAGTGGCTGATTAGAAATAAAATAATGAACATGTGCGGATTCATTCGGGTTTATTCAAAACGAGATGATTGTGGCGGGCTCGGTGACGTAATAAGCCCGACCAATCAGCTGGTTCAGATGACATCACGACTTGGCAATATTGCTGGAGAATGTCATTTGTAACCTGCGTCACCTGTCACAGGCACTTGTCACTTGTCGTTCACTTTCGCGGATGCCTTAAAACGTCAAATCTGACAAATGTCAGACCCTCGCACAAGGTTGCCAATTCACTTCTACGTGATTGGTTGTAGGTTTATGACGTATGTAAACCGAAGCGTTTCAAATTCGGACTAAAAACACGGGTTTTCAATAATTAATTTTGGTTTTATTTTACTCGCAAATCAAAATTGACGACACACGGGTCTTTTTATTTTTAATGTACTTTGTAGATCAGAATGAAACCGGGATGCCCCTATTTGCATTTTTCTAGAAAAGCAAGCACCATAGCAAAAAATGTTAAATACAAAGATGTCTCGATGAGCTGTCCAAAAAAGTCTTATACACTTTTTGGGTCTGGTTCAAAATAAAGATGCCAGAGGGTATTTCCTAAAGGTAGTACATGCCTTCATGATAAGTAGATGGAAAGTCGAGTCAGGACCTGACAACTAGTTAATTAATATAGAACCAACATTAGTGCACACTAATTACCATAAATGAGTTTAATGTTTAACATTTATACAGGGTGTTTATTAAACATGCGGAAAAAATTAAAGAAGCAATTATTTGGTTTATTCTAAGCATTTTTAGCGCATTTTCACAGAAATTTTAAACAAAGGTGCTATTGTGGCCGCTTTGTCCGTCCGTCCGGTCGCTACTAGTTCTTTATCTTAAGAGCTATCGTTAGGGTGTCGAGGCTTGCACCAAGGAAGGAATTTTTTCTGTGCTGCTTAAGGCTGGACAGTACATACAGAACGAAGTATGTAAAGTTGCCTATTGTCAATCGCCAAATTTGGCCATTTATAATATTAATTTGTGAATGATGGCAGAAACATAAACTTAGGCCAATTATAATGCACATTTTCTCTCTGCCAAGCGGCGCGGCGGAAGCTAAATATCTTTTCGCGATTTTGACGAAAACTTTTAAGTTGTTTTTCCAAGATAACTTATCTATAGGTAAATGAAGTTGGAACAATTTCCAAAATTGAGATAATTTCGTAAACATAATATCTAGGCAATAACGCCAGGAAAATGTATTTCCTTTTTTCTTCACTCAGAATTCGTGGAACGAAATCAAGCGTTTTCGGGCAACGGAATAGGTGTACTGTCCAGTCTTAAGAAAAAAGTTATGGTAAAAAATCTGTTTTTCATATACCATCATTTTACTCTTTTGCCGTTTATTAACGATCCTCGAGATCGTTTATAATGTTGTATTGCTGTCTACCCGTCTGTCTGTCCGTTTATCTCTCCGCCCGTCTGTCTGTCTGTCCGTGTGCAGTTGTGCGTTGTGCACGATACCTTTTGTATTTGCACGATACAATTTTCCTGTTAAGATATTTAAATGAAATGTTGTATGTAGGTATCTCAAATAAACGTGAAAATGTTAAATCAAACAATTTGTTTTGCGCATGCGCAATCCGTTTTTTTATTTGTGAAGATATTTAAATGAAATGTTGTATGGAGGCACCTCGAATAAAGGTAAAACCGATGGTAAAACTAATGCCGAATCAAATAAATTTATTTTGCACAATGCGCATGCGCAATTCGATCAGACTAAAAAGACGCAAGACAATTGTTGCGCATGCCCAGACCCACATTCGTTATTTCTGAACCAATTCTTCTAAAATTTTAGAGTAGAATTCTTCTTATAAACTGAAATTGAAGTAGCAGGTCAAAAATGGATTGCACATATGCAACTTATTTGTATTCGGATTTTTACGAAATTTTAAAAGAAGTCCAACTTGTTTATCCTTTGATGATTTTTGAAAGTGTTTTGTTGTGAAAATGGTCGAGTTAATTAATTTATATCTTATCTACTACCTAAACATTCTGTTGCGGCTATGGGCCCCTCGAAATCGCCACCTCCCCCCCTTCCTCCCCCTCCAACGAATTAAAAGCATTTTATACCCTAACCAAAATTTATTTCTTTACAAAAAAGTGACTGGTAGTAAAAACATGTTTTATATCAATTATGAGATTTATAAAGTGTTATTGAACTAAAGTATAATATCTGTAGCTGTAAAGAAATATACTCCTTTTTTTAAATAATAAAAGACATCAATTTCAAATCACGTATTTCAAGTTTATGATACAGTTTAAACAATGAAATCCAATATACAAACATCTAAAGACCACAGAATCGTGTTACAGAGAATCTAACGGTTACATGGCGTTATTAAGTTGCCCAGGTACGATCATGAAAATGATAAAAATGGCTAGAGGGCAACTCAATTAAGCGTTTTCAACAAAAAAATTTGCGGGAAAAGCCTTAATTTCCCACAATTTGAATACAAAGTTCATATAATTTCGTCGAAATGTGAGGTGTTACACCATATTTCATGATTACGTTTAAGTTAGTAAGAGTGTGCGTAACAACTTCAATTTCTTAAGAGGTTATGTTATTTTTCCATGATAGTAGTGAATCCAAATTTGGTTTTTTACCGATCCCAAAAATTTGCTGCTTTTTGTTAACAAAAAAGGCCAAAAGAAATCTCTGGAAATTATTTTCAAGTTTCTAGCTTCGCCGCTAGAGGGCGTACGATTCATGGTTTTAAGTAGAAAAATGACTTTTTTTCTAAAATATACCCAACAAACATGCATAAAAAATACATGCACAGCAATCAATATGCTTCATTGCATCATTTTGGTTCTAGCTCATAAAATATGAGGGGTGTGGGAAGGGGACATCTCTTTAAGGAATTAAATGTAACTTCGGATTAGGTTAACAGATTTTTACATAATAGGTCTTGTTGGAAAGAGCTCTTTTCATTGAACACAGATTTTACATGAATAAAGTAAATGTGCTGAGTGGTAGAGGACGCGATGTGACATTAACATAAACTTTTTTTTAAATTTCAAATCGAACGATACAATTATTATATGATATTATCAAATAATATGAAAAAGTAAGAATATCAGTGAAAACCGCATTTTAATATCTGTTTTCTAAGCAGAGTGAAGGCGAAAATACGAACATTCACAAATTTTAATTGCAATATTTATATTCATCCAATTTGGATTTGAAACAAATGAACACATAGCAACCGATAATTATGTCAAAGTAAATGAGGCGATGGCAGTTCAAAATTAGCACTCAATCTAAGTTTTTAAATGATGAGCAACAAAAAAATTATTCAAACTTTAAATCAGAGAAATATGAATACATATATATAATAAAAGAAATAATAATTATAATTAACGTAAATTTTCAATGTCTGCCATTATTTTCGATACAAAGAGGAGTCTCTGCCACGGCTATGAATTACATTTCTAATTCTCGTCATGTAAAATCTGATTCCACGAAGAGAGCTCTTTCCAACAAGACCTATTATGTGAAAATCCGTTAACCTAAACCGAAGTTACCTTCAATTCCTTAAAGAGATGATCGCTCATATTTTATGAGCTAGAGCAATTTGTGCTGCATCAAAATGATACAAAATTGATACAAGATTATAATAATAATAATAATAATGTAAATACTCTATGATAGTGCTGCGACTATATCAGATTCGTCAAGTAGCGTAGATAAAACGAACATTGCTATGCAAGTATTTTTTATGCATGTTTGTTGGGTATATTTTAGGAAAAAGGTCATTTTTCTACTTAACCTAAAGTCACTAAATATAGAAAGTACCGCAATCCATTGGGCTCGTGTGTTAGAGAGAGAACGCATGATTTTTGCCCAAAAATGGCGGAAGTTACCAAATTCTAGTAACTTTAATGTTAGGGATTGTTCCACCTGTTTGGAGATATCTGTATATATCTTTATTCATTGGTATATATTTTTATAAAACATGACAGTACTATGAAGTTAGGTTATAACAAATGACAGCTATTCAGATTTTATTTGTCAATTTTTTTAAGTTGGCAGCAAATTTGCCCAAAAATGGCGGATGATTGCGGTACTTTCTATATCTAGTAACTTTAACTTAACCATGAATCGTGCGCCCTCTAGCGGCGAAGTTAGAAACTTGAAAATAATTTCCAGCGATTTCTCTTGGCCCCTTGTGTTCACAAAATTTTTTTCCCAAGGCTGTGATACTATGGCCTGTGACCATTGTTAATGCGACACCCTGTACAGTCGTCCTCGAATTTTCACTTACACGTTCTCACCCAAGAAATCTCTTGCAAAACGTTTCCGAGGCTGCTCTAGCCTACTACACTGGAACTTCACATGCTTACCTTCTTCAATGCAATACGGTGGGTCAGTGGCAGAGGAAGCAAAAACGGAAAGGCATGCCAAATACAAATTTCTAAAGAGAAAACACATTTTCACAGTTGTAGCTGTTGAAACGTGGCACTTAATAAGAACTTTTGATGAACAAATTTCAATTCTCACTGAAGAGCAAAAATATCAAAGACTACATAGTCATGTCGAGAAGTCAGGATCTTGGCAAAATCTACTTCTTATAATCTCCATAGCAATTCAATGTAGGTAATTCTTGGAGTTTGTTTATAGAATTCACTTTTTTATTAATCAAATGACGTTTATCGCTATAAAAAAACAAATGAAGTTGTCAAGCGCTAGAGATTCTACAATTACTTATTTTGGAAAATTACGAACAATTGATTGTAGCCGAGTACAAAGTTACAGGGGCACCTTAGTCCCTTGAAATTTGTTAGTAGCCGCAAAAAAACGTAATGGTTAGTCGATTCAACCCAACTTACTCGCTGCAGCCTTTCCGATGCGAAGATAACAATGTATTTCGACAAACAGCGGTCCACTCGTGTGACTTTCCACTTTCGCCACGAAAGGTGCGTCCGCGCTAACGTCCCCTGAGATATCATCACTTGCCAGGTAGATCTCGCCGAACCCTCCTAAACCAACCGTCTTCCCCAATTTCCACATATTTCCTAAAATGTCGACCAACATGGTGCCCGCCTTAATATCGCCCGTGGAGATCTCAGTCTTCTTATCGGGCGGCTCCGAGGAGTCGCGCTCGTTATTGAAACGCTTCTTCATTTCGAAACTACGGAAACAAACCACTTTTCATGCTAAAAATCGAGTTTGATGGCAACTTACCAAACGAAATTAACCTATTTCTGATGGCCTACGTGACAGGGTGAAATAAGGCCGAAAACGCGACGAATGCGATCCCGTTCGTCGAGCTATTCGATCCTAACACAATTTCAAGCACTTCCAAAACGTATCACTTCGAAAACAGTAAAATTTTCAGAACGTCTTACGACCATGTTGAAAAGGAAAACCTAAGACGACCGCGCGCATGCGTCGCTCGCCTACAAAATGGACTTTCTTGTTACGGACAATTTAAATTTGCCTACGAGCCGTTTGTTAATTGACGAGAAATTGTCGACCGATTTTGAAATTTTGAGCCGGTCGCGATCGACATCCGGAAAATTTTGTACGTGAAATTTGCGAACGGGATTTGTCACGTGATCGGCGCGGTTGCCTGGCAACCGGTTAGTTTATAAATACAAACTTGCGACGGTTATGGCAGAATTGCATGTTATTGGTGAAATTTCGCATGGCAGAGGATTTCCGAAACAGAGCTTGTTTTGCAAGTGGAATTTGCAGTTTGGTGAGTTTGTTCTTGACATTTGTTTAATGGTCTCAAATTGGCGGCAGTGGTTTTTTGTTATTGAAGGTCTCGCCATTATAATTATAAACTTATCCAAAGATCATAGCCCCAGATCATAGCAAAACAAACAAACCGCAAGTTTAGGCACAGCTGATAGTTCCTCTTCCTGACAGGACAACTCGACAACATAAATTTTTTTCCTAAGTCCTGTAGCTAGCGCCACCGGCCACTTACGTTGAAATTTATAATCATCTGTATTATATGCCGTTTAGGTTTGAGACCCTGCTTATTACTACAAGGACTCTACACAAACAGTGGCGACAATCGATTTTTATTGGCCTGACTGATCACGTAGTGCACGGCTGCCATTAAGAGGCAAATTTTCGTCGTTTACCTTTTAGATTTACTCATTTTTGCGTTATAAGAACGTCGTTATTGATGTTTCTTGTAAATAAATACTGTTATGTAACATTTAACTGTGAAGTGTAACTGTGTTGCCGTACTATTTTGGAGTTTTTCGTAAGTATTGCATTGAAATAAAGTGGAATTTTCCTTAGTTCGCGTGCACGTCAACAAATCTTTTTAAGGAATATTGTGATGCCAACATATACACAAAATTTTAAAAAAATCACTAAGCCACAATATACAATACGTGTTTATGTTAGACTGATCAATGCATTTCACAAAATATATAGTATAGGTATAGGTTCTTGAGGCATAAAATAAAACCAAAAACCTTTAGTGAATAGGGTTTTTTTTGTTTTCAGGTTACCTGTCAATCCAAATTGTGGTAGTTTACGTTTACATTGCGACACGTCAAATTTTTCAACTGTTTGCTACCGTTCTCATTATTTCATCGTATTTTGCCGATGAAAAAGCCCGTTAGTTTCATAACAAACAATAAATTATAGAAGCATAACTTCCGTAACTCTCTTGCTGGATCCACATGGTACGTGATTCACGGACGCATTGTTACCATGTAACCGTTAAAAACCAGGGACCCGGACCCAAATGAAATATCGGTTCCGGTTCTGTTTGTAACGGCCGATATGAGTTGTTGTCGAGTCGTCTTTGGAAATTCAAGTTAAATACGATTTCCCATGTAAACAAAAATTTCAAAGACGACTCCACAGCAACTCATTTTTGATATCATAGTATTTAAGCGAACATATTTATAACGGTTCCGGTCTGGTTTCGGTTCTAAAAAGAAATAACGGTTCGGTTCTGCGCATTTTTAGCGCATTTTTGCAAATTTATTTGTAAAAAGTAGCTTTTAATCTCACTTTGGCTGGCTGGCTGGACGGCTGGCTGGCTGGTCGGCTGGCTGGCAGCAAATGTGGGCGCGTAGAAGAACTCTTGTAGAAGGGCAACGGGTGTACGTGTATCTACAAGGCCGTGTAATTTGTAAGCCTTGGGGACAGGGCTACATGATGTGGGGTTGGCGACATCTGGGTGTCGTCCTCGAGCGTAGTATACTAACGTGAAGGTTTTTCAGTTGTTTCCTATCTTCTACTACAGTTTTGGTCCGATTCTTTTCAAATTGGTGTCGTCGGAAAGATGTTGTAAACGCGCACAACTCCTGCGTGGCGGAATTTTGTTTTTTGGCCTAGGGGCGAAATTAACGACCTTTTGCATGGCGCGCGCGCGCGTCTTCGAGAGGTAGTCAACTTCGGGCACCTTTTACCTTCCGTTGCGAATTCTGTCACGCGTTTTAACGTTTCGTAAATCTCGAATGGCTGTCTCTCTTTCTCGTGTCGCCAATAGAAGCTCGAGCCATGAGAGGTGCCCCCCAAAAATTAAGTACTATCTTGTGGAAGGTTTTTAGCGAGATCCACCAAAATGTGGGTGTAATATAAGTATGCACCGAAAACGGAAATGTGGTAGCATCCGACAAGATCTAACTGATGGTGGAGAAAAATCTTCAAACGCGAATTGCGGGTGAACGGGGCATCGGAAGTGGGTACCGTCAAAGGGAATGTGGTATCCTTCGACAAGATCTTTTATTCATGGTTGAGTCAAAAGTGGCTAATAGAATACTGATCTGCCACACAAAAATGCGCTGAAGTCCCTTCGATCTCACACGAGGACTTTGATAATTTTTTTCGGTCCATAACGGTTATTTTCGGTTCTAGTTCTTCAGAAAGTATGGCATTCAAAAAATTCATTATAACAACGTGACGTATCGTTAGTGTAGCTAATTTATAACGACAAGAGGAATAAAGGAGGAAGAGGGAAATACGTATTTACACTTAATTTATTACTAAAAAACGGAAAATTTTATTTTCTAAATCCTCGCCCCTCCTTTTTTATTTTTTTTAAGTAGGTAGAATAACGGTTTCGGTTCGGTTTTCGGTCCAGAAAAAAAATACCGGTTTCGGTCCGGTTTTCGGTTCTTTTTCGGTCCGGTCCAAGTCCCTGTTAAAAACCAATCGCTAAATCTCATATAAGTCATTGGTTTTTAACGGTCATGTGATAACAACGCGTCCGTGAATCACGTATCATGTGGATCCAGCCTCACTGCGATATTCTGCGCCAAAAAGTGTGTGGCAGCGCAAATTGCAGGGGTGGTTTTAATTCGATACGATATAGATGGTGTAATGTTTTCGTATTCATTCTTGTGTAATAAAATCTTCTTTCGTCCGTTTTTATCATTATAATTTCGAGTTTGCGGCCCGTAGAGTCGTAACAAAAGTATAATCCAAAAATGCCATCGGGTTTAGCAAGAAAAAGTAAGCAACTTATTTCTAATTTGATTCGTTATTTAGAACGAGAAAGAGATCATTGTGGTCCACACGTAGCAGTACGAAAGGTAGGTGGTTACTTTAGTAATATATGAATTGGTATACGTAACAAGTTTCAAAAAGTTTAGAAAAAACATTTAAAATGATTTTTTTTTAATTTTCCGTGACGTCCACATAATGTTAGTAAAAGATCGCATTTTTTTAGTAATTGGTCAATAAAAGTAGTTGATGTAATGGGCATCCTACCCACAATGCAGCACTGTCTGTATAGCTGCCTGCATACGTGTTCTCTTTAATTGATTGCATGATGCTATGTAAACATACTTAGTAATGACGTCCTAATACGCGCCGATGACGTGCGCGCAAAACAAGGAAAACCCTACTTCAGTCTTATAGTAAAAGCTTAAAAATTTATGTCCGAATAATATTTTTCAGGATTTCTCAACCATGCCAGGTTGTGCTGCTATAGATTGTAGCAACTCTGGCAAAAAGGGATTTTTAATGAAAAGGTTCCCGAGAGATCCTCTTAGAAGAAAGGAGTGGTTGATTAAAATGAGAAGGGATAAATGGAAACCGACCGATTATTCGTGTTTGTGTGAGGTTCATTTCGCTCCTGAAATGTGGGAGAAAACTCGCGACGATGGAACGAGAAAACTAAGAAGTAACGCCGTACCAACTCTTTTTTCGTTTACATCCTCCACTACCAAAAATAAAAGGAAATCCCCAGCTAACAGAAATACTATCATCCAAGACTGCTTTCAATTTGAATCGTCAGCATCTGCTCCTTGTACGTCTGCATCACCTCAGTCGTCATTGGAAGCTACCGGGGAAAGTGCACAAAGCCCAGAGAGTGTAGAAGGACTAGTGAAAAGTTGGAGCGGTACCGCAAGTGAGAAAAGCTAGGTATTACAAAAAATGCTCAGGAATATGAAAAGGAAGATTAAGGATTCGGAAGGAATTATAAATAGAATGTCTGAATATGTTTCATTATTGCGTGCAAAAATGCAGTTAATTTATTTTAGTTTGTACATATGTTAGTTTAATACATACTTAGTGATATTATCTGTATCATCTACCGCTTCATAACGAAAGAGAACAGAACTAACAATCGAGAAATAAAGTACCTACTTTAGGATAAAAAACAATTGTTTCTAAGTGTTCCACGATCTCACGGACCTCAAAAGTTTCGTTCCGTTTTGCGAAAAGCCGAGCACGTGATGAAAATGCGGGTCGTTTTTTGGATTGGCGAGGTATTTAAGTAAAAATTTGGTGGGAGAGCGGGATTCTTACTAAAATGTTCGCCGGTCGAGGGCTTTTTTTGATCGCGTAATGATTTTTTAGCCGAACCGTCGGTGCAAATTTACATATTGTGAATGCAAAAGATTTGACAGATCGCGTAAAACTTAATTATTGATTAAAAGTTCGAACCGAAAGCCGTATAACCGCAGTGTGGGAAGAATCGTTATCCTCGCAACCGGACACAGTGGTTACATTTTTTTCGTTTCGGTGTATATTTGGATTAAAGTGTTCACGTTTAAATAAATTGTTGCTACGAAAGCGTTTGGGATCCAAGGTGCAAAACATTCCGTTGCGCCAGATTTGTAGTGGCAAGTTACGTAAAAAACCGATTTATTAATCAAAGTTGTGCATCGAATTTGTTTATATGAAGTGCAACAAATTTACGAACAAAACGGCTACCGGTGAAAATGTTAAATACTATTAATTCAAGCTATTTAGGTTTTTTTCCCCTTTTAAACTTTCCCCGTTGACGCTTACATTCTTCCGATTTAAAAATCCAATTAATTCTCGTCCGATAACAACTTTTTATCAACAGCTGACCATATAAAACATTAAACCCATGTAAAAAAAGTTCTGTAAATGTTCCCTTAGTTACCCGTTTTAAATTTATCATACAAACTAAATTCAACAAATAGAATTAAAGAATTACCGACTAAATTTACAATAGGAAACGAGCATTAAAAAGATAAATCAACCAAATTTTCCCATTCGGTGTATATTTGAAATAAAAACATTCCCAGGTCTTATGAAGTTACTTGAATTATGTTACATGCAGGATGTCCTGATTTATATTTCCGATATTCAGACCGAAATTACGTTAACATGTATTTTTACCCCACAAGGTGGCTCGCTCTCATCTTCGGCATTGTTTCAACCTATAGAAACGACGCCCCCATATAGTTTACACAATAGTTACACGTGAATACATACATAAATACTTAATAAAGCAATATGAAGACATAATTACGTATGTAGTATAACAAACAAACATGATTCAGTAACGGTACATGTAAAACAAATCTTGGAGCACGCCATACTTCAATAAACAAATAGCTTTCAATGTAAAATGTTGATAATAGCAAATTGTAACACGACACTTTTAAAAACAGAAAACCAAAATAAACATTGAGAAAAACCGCCACACAAGCAGTTTATGGCTTAATTGCACTGTGGGTAAATTCGACATCAAAGACCGTTTGCGAATTTATACAATTGCTATTTGTTCAGGAAACAACTGGAAATTAGTATCGGGAAAGCAGGAAGGACAAACTCACGTCATATCATCGGAGTTCGACGGTGATTGCAAGTGGTGTTTTCCCATCGACGTTCACCTGGCGACGAAAGGAATTCAGGGTACGTTGCAACCCTCACGATTTACAACCGTTCCTAACGCGTGCTGCAGGTTGGCCTAAAATCTACATACAAATCTTTCACCTGGACTGGTTGGGTCGAAGCCACCTCTTCGGTTACGGTTTCGTCCTGATACCGACAACTCCCGGCCAGCACACCGTCGAATGCTACACCTGGAGACCGTTCGGTACTTTACGTCAGCGATTCGTACAGTTTTTTCTTGGAGGCGGGCCGCAGCTCAAAAATCCCGACGCGATTGTGTCTGCGAACGACCGAGACAAGTTGAGCACGGAAGCTATGGGTACCGTTCAGTTTAAGCTCAACGTGATATTTAGACATTTTTCCAAGTTTGGTGTTGAGTATTGAAGCGATGATTTTATTTCTGTTAATGGTGTTGCATTACGTCGCAATGGATCCGTCAACGGTTACTCCTGTGACGGAAACGAGCACTGAACTTACTACGACGACACCTGTCAGTAGTTCTACTATGGCGTCCGTTACAAGCACTCAGACTCCCATTAACCATACAAGTTTCGACGGCGACGTTGACACTTGCACCTGTAATTTACATGTAAGTCGTGATTCTGGCCCCAGAGACAGGTATCTTGCCCCTCGTTTCACGTTGGTTGACTATCTGTTTTTTATCATTGTTGTACTTCCAGAGGAATATCTGCGATTTGAACTGTTGCTGCGACAAAGACTGCAGTTTAGAGGACAAGAATGTATTCAGCCATTGCGTACGTGAGATAAACGTAATGCGCTACACGTCGTTCTGTCGGTACACCGATTACATTTACATCAACAACACACCGTACGAATGGGAGGTGAACCAAAATGGTTTGTTTTGCATCGTGAAGACGAATTTGCCGTCGAAGCGTGCCGTGCAAACGCACCAGGTTCCGATTCTTTTAGCGTATTTAAAGGTAATTAGCAACTTTTATTTTTTAGGCAATTACGTCCCTGGAACAGTCCACGCTGCACAAACGCGACAAATACTCGTGGCCCGATATCGAAGCAGATCGGACCGAATTGACTTCCTTCGCAAACGAGAGCTTCGTGTACGGCTCTCCGATTTGGATTTTGAAAAATCAGGTGCTACAAAAATTCGGTACGTACTTGAATAGATCCAGTACACGGGTTTATAATTTATTCTTCGAGTTGTGATTTTATTTTATTTTTTTTTATTTTATTTTATTTATTTTATTTACTCAAATCCCACAAAATGGTATACATAATGTTAATTTTATGGCAATGAAACGGAATTTTTCAAAATTTCATGGAAAATGTTGCATCACCGAACAAAAGTGAACGTATGCTGAGCACTCGTGACCAAAGCAAGTGATAGCCTTAGGGATATCTGAACTCGACTCCATGTTAAAATTCCATAAGGTGAAATTTGAGTGCCGTCAAATTTATCCTCCTCTCCTCCTTACGAGGACTTTCAAAACTAAATAATAGTCTCAAAGTTAACGATGTGGCGATCGTCGAAATTAAGTCAGTGTAAAGTTCAAAAATTGCTCACCGTTCAAAGTCCAAAGGTTGGTCGCCGTTCAAAATCCAAAGTTTGTGATATGCATTTACTCGATAGCATGCCACTCAGAATGCGTGTAATCTTTATTTATATATATTCATTGATAATATTTTTATAAAAACTTTGCACAAATCATTTCAAAAATAAACGTTAAACTCCTAAGCAGCCCATTAAAAAAATTACAAAATTATTTTTAAAAAAGTGGTGATGCAGAGCCGTACCTGGGCTGTTCAAGGTGGCTCACCACCTGGCAGTGATTTTGGAAAGTATGTCAAATTGAAGTTCAAAAAGGTCACCTGCTACGTGTCGGTGACCTTGGAAAGTAGGTCAAGGTGAAACTCAAACGTCCGTTAGGTCGTTCACCTCTGAGCAATTCTCCCACTCGGGTGACCTCGAGAAATGAGTAAGCTCTTCGATCGGTTGTTGACCCCTCAACCTCTCCCTCTTTCCAGGTGGAAAGTAGATCAAGACCGCGTTCGGTTGTTCACCTCAGAAAATGAGTTCAATATTTGCCCTGCAAAGAATGACCTTGAATGGTTGTGTACTTTGCACTACCTTGATCTTATTCATACTTTCATTACATTTTCAAGGTTAACAAGGTTCAATGGCCCCAACAATTTTTTAGTATCATAGTTGATTTTCAAAGTAAACAAAGGTCAATGGCTCAGTCAAATTTTTGAGGTAGGTATCATATTTCATTTTCAAGGAATGTAGGCAATTTTTCGGGTATAAATTACAAATTTTGGTAATGTTTGGGTGGTAACTTTGGTAAGTTGTAATGTCAATCTCACCTCTCTTGGAAAGACGGTCAAGCTATCGATCAAAAGTTGCCCACCTAAAAGGTATAGGTCAGGGCCTGGGTTAGGGTGAAGCTTAACGGTCGCTCGCCTCCTGGTGCTGACCTTGCGAATTGGGTCAAAGTTAAGAGTTGCTTATGCGGTTAAAACGTAGATTGACGAGGACTTTCAAATCTAAATAGTAGTTTCAAAGGTTAACGTTGTGATGATCTTCGAAATGAAGTCAGTGTAAAGTTCAAAGGTTGCTTGCCGTTCAAGGTCCAAGTGTTAGTCGCCGTTCAAAGTCTAAAGGTTGGTCGCCATTCTATGCATTTACTAGATAACATGACACGCAGAATGTATTTCTAGGATTTATTATGGCATACGAGCGATCTACTAGATGTGAAATGTTAAAAAATCTAGCATAGAAAAACGTATGATATCACATAAGGGTACTAGTGGGGCAGATAATGGCAAGCATGAAATTCAGTATGAATGCTCCTATAAGGGTATTGTTTTATATAAAAATGCTGACCAAAATTTAATATGGACGTTTTTCAATTGATGATTCTACCATGCAATTTGGTATGATGTTTTATATGAAAACGCTGGCCATTAAAAAAATTGGTGGTAGCCATTTTTACTTATCTCTAATAATAGTTAGGTAGTATTTGCATCATCTGTGCAGCCATCTTGGGAAACAGCGGCCATCTTGAATTTCTTAAGTGACCACCAATTATATATAAAACAGTACCCTTATAGGAGCATTCATACCAAATTTCATCCTTATTGTATCATCATCTGAACGATTCAAGCATTTTATGGCATTTATCTGCCTCACTATACTTCAGATGTTGTAGGTAAATGTAACATCTGCTTATTATGCGAACTATAGGTTTTCGTTACTGTGATTAAGAAAACATCACGTACCCGAACAAAAACGAAGAACACCGTCGTTTTGAAGGGCATCAAAGGTCAATGACGCCACTTGATGTGGTGTTATTTTTTATTTTCAAGGTCATCAGAGGCCAATGACCCCATATTTTAAGGTAATGTATTCTTTTGTGTAATAATAATAAAACTAAATTTTTTGCAGCGAATGTTTATTTAATGTAATCCTTAAACAAATAAAGAAATGATCTGAGTTCGCACATTATAACATACTTTTCAATGAGCAAGCATAACACCATCGATTGTTACTACTTAGATAAAACGTATTCTACAATTCCCAAGCAACTCAATAGAGAGAGTGACAACTTTGATAACTGTTCACCGTTCAAAGTCTAAAGGTTGGCCGCCGTTCAAAGTTCAAAGTTTGCAATCTACGTTTATTAGGTAGCAGGTCACGCAGAATGGATTTCTACGATTTATTATGGAGGTCAAACAATGTAAAATCTACCATAGTAGACTACTCCGATCGAACAAGGCTTCCCGAGGTCACCACGTTGCACCTGAGATAGGGAAATGCTTAGGTGTGACCTAACGGACTTTGAGTTTTACTTTCACATACTTTCCAAGGTCAGCACCCGACTCCGACAATTTCTGAGGTTTACATTGACCTACTTTTTAAAGTCACCTGAGGCGATCTAAAAATGAAATCGGCTGCGGGGCCATTTCGGGACCAGAACTGCATAAAGTCTAATTAAAAAAATAGTGTGGCGTAAATTTAATTATGTGATTTATTTATTTACAGTCAATTATTAATGAATATTAAATTAAATTAAATTAATTAAAGAGCTTCCAGAGCCTTGTACACAAATATATAACATGTAAATTAATCACATACGAGCGCGAACTTCACTAATAATCACTTCGGGATCGATGTTCGAATTGCCATTAAACACACTTCAATTTACTTATGTAGCAACCGGAAGGTTCATATCATATTTTCCATCCGCTTTCATCCCTTATCGCCGGCAACTAATCCAAATCGACTTGATGGCGCCATGATTTCTGCAATACTCGTGTCTAGATATCGAAATCGGTTTTTTGTTGGACAAAAGAAGGATGAGAGCGTGTAGTGCGAATTGTGTTAACTTTTTGGGTCTTAAGAGCTATTGACCATTTTTGACTGTTTCAATCAAAGAAATAATTAAAGATTTACGGAATGAGTAGCGGTTTAAATTTCTCTACAAATTTCTTGCAGAACTTGCCGACAGTTTCATGACGAACGCATGCGTGATTAAGCGCGACATTAAATACTTGGAAAACTTCAGAAGCGTCTGCATCCAGACAAATCTAAGCGAAGGTAACATCCATCTGCAAATCGAAACTTATTTTCAGAACATCTCCGTAATTAAGGCTCCTCAGTTTTTCAACGTAAGCGAAATATCGGTAAGTCACCGGATGTACTTCTCGCCCTAAAGCCATCTGATTTCAGAGTTGTCCCAAGAATGTTTGTCTTCCAATCGAGGTGAAGGAATGCAGAGAAAATTGCGCGCCACTTTCCCCACAAACAGCGACCACCTGCCAGTTTTACTCCACCCAGTTCAACTGTAGCAATCTTGCGCATAAGATAATATACAACTTGTACCACAACGGCACGTACGGCCTTACCACGGTCGAGTTACTGCTCCACCTGAAGGACCTCGTGCACGCTCCCGATCACCGCTTCGAATTCGAGCAGGAATTCCAAGTGAACTTCTTTTGGCGCGACAGCACTGCGAACTACTCGCAATTGTTGAGCGGCAATCCCGGATACTTGCTCGGCAAACCTGTCCTCGTCGGGACCGTAAATGGGAGTCGCATCGAGCGTAATTCCAGCGTGTTCCGAGAGAATTTCTTGACGTTTCCCGCGAGCAGGAGTGGCCTGTGCGTTTTAAACGACGACGTTCACGTGGTCTCGGAGTTTGGATGCAGCATGCTCTTGAGATGCGGAGTGAGGCGAGAAATCGACGCCGGAAATTCAACCGCGACCGAGCTGTGCAGGCGAATCCAAACTGCGATTTTCGAATTTTGGCCCCTCTCGAGTAACTTGAGTGCGATTAACAGAGCCTTTGGTGCGTTTGGTAACGCCAACGAGACGGTGGCTGAATGGGTAGAGGCGCTGTCGGCCGAATCTCCCGAGGCCATCTTGAATGCGACCTATGGCAATTTCACGGGGGACGCCAATGACACTTTGATTTGCGGGAATGTGACGGCAACACTAAAGGTTGACGTGTTTCACGCGCGGGTTGCGTACAGAAGTTTGATGCGTCAGAGACGAATCGTCGGGGTTACCTACAGTTTCGGCGCGAGGAAACGGGCGACGTTCACGATCAGAGGCGGGGTTTTGGAGTGGAACGTTTTGATTAGGGAGGAACTGATGTTCTTTGACGTTACCTCGAAACACGTGGAGAAATTCGCGGATCCGCCGTCGTTTAAAATCCGCCTACCTTACGACTTCTTTTATCCGTTTGTTAAGGTGGACAATAGCGGCGGCGTGCCGCGTTTGTGTTATCTGGTCATTTCATTTAGTATCATAGGTTTACTTATGCCGATACGACTTTCATTGTGAATTTCATTTTATACTTTTTATGTGTGATAAATTTAACCTAAAATAATCTGCTTCCTACTAATTCTTAATTTGTATCAAAATATACAAGAAAAACCTCGCACTACAAGGATCGATTATCACACATACTAAATAAAAGAGAAGTTAATTAGTGGACCCCCTTTCTCGTACATATAATAGCTAAGCACCGTGCAGCAGCCGCTGATGAGATGAGCAACGGTACTACAGGTTCTTCCTCCACGGGATAAACGATTAATCAAATCATATCGTTTCTAGTTAACGGTAAATAACACAATGCTTCAGGTACTTTCTCCACAGAGAAACATCAAATTAGAGGACCCGGTCCACTTCTTGTATTCTAAGACAAGAGCTGCAGTCCGCATGAGAGGAGGCGACCAACGTATACAGCGGAGAATTGAACTGCAGGCGGTACTCCCTCCAAGGATGATGAGTAGTTAGATCCAATATTACAGAGCAACAGCACACTGACAATAAGCTTCACGTGATGGTCTTTAGTGCGTAGTACCTATATTTCATTTTTCTTGTCTTGCCTTGCGCACAAAACTTTTTCGTTTTATTCAGTTCACACTACAAGAACACGGAAATAAAGTCGACCCGGCAACGTTTAAAAATGGTCACCCGAATGACTATTCCCTCCAAAACTAAACAAGGCCCCCTTACGTTAGTTGTAAACAACGCTATGACCTGAAGAACAGTAGGGAACAAACGTAAAATAAAACACTGAAATTGTGAAAAGTTTGTTTAATAATGATCGCAATTATTAAGATTGCGAAAGCTCGGAATTGAAGTCTAAATAAATTACATTGTAAAAATGGTAGTTCACCGAATCAAAATAGAAATAGGCTGGGAAAAAAAGAACTTACCAATAAAAAAACTAGCCGTCAAATTAATATCAAATTGTGTTGCAAAATTAATTATTTGTTATGATGTGAATGCGTAACATAAAATTATAACATCACAAAAAGTAGCAGGTAAACTTCAAGAGGTAACATATAGGTTAAAAACAAGTTTTGGGAATTATGGCTCAGGCTCAAGTAAGCAGGTACCAAGATTCTAAGGAAGGGTGAAATACACAGGATGTGAGTCATCTTTGGTACAATAAAGTCCTTTTGTTAAGAGCAAGATGGAAAATTGCATGGCCTTGTAGGCAAATTTAACTAAAAACAAGATATGTGGAAATTACGAATCGTAACTCATTTATCGTACATAGATTCTAAACTGAAGAGTTTTTATTAGCGTAAACCCGCTCCTGCAAGATAGGTAACCTGCCCCTGGTTTCGGGGTTTCGAGACTACATTAAATAACAACAAACATTTATGGTTCACGACCGCCATTCAAGACAAGATGCCAAACGTAGCCTACGTTCGCGCTTTCTAGATGGCGCAGGCAGCTTTTTCCCTCCTAAAAATTGCATGGTTGCCAACTCTCAAAAATGTATGCATCGCCGTAAGTTGTATATACAGGGTGGAACGTCTCAATCTTATGGGCAGAATTGCATAAAGTGAACCCAGAGAAAATGTATTCTTCAGAACGGTTAAGAGGAACAATATATAAACGTAATGGTTGACAGGAATCTCAGGGGAATTTAGTGAAAGCTTGAGGAAACCTACCCCTACGGTTAGGCAACACATCTGAAACAAAAATACGCACAGTTTTTTCGAGCCGAATGATTCCGGTGCCGGGATATTAAAGCCGAATGATCCATGGAGTTTCTGCCTACACTACTGTATTGGTATTTGATGATTTCTAGTTTGAATTTTTGATGCAACTCCGCGACTCACTACTGCTTCGTATAAAGTCACTGTATTATTGGCTACAATGATTTTCATAAGAGACGGTGACGACAATAGAGCATCTAATTTTTTATTGGTGCATCGAGTATAATAGTACACGCAACACGTCATGTGTGTATTGTGTGTTGCCTACACTATTGTATTGGTATTTGATGATTTCTAATTTGAATTTTTGATGCAACACTGCGACTCGCCACTGCTTCGTATAAAGTCAGTGTATTATTTCCTACAGTGACTTTATATGAGACGGTGGCGACAATAGAGCATCTAATTTTTTATTGGTGCATCGAGTATAATAGTATACGCAACACGTCGTATGTGTATTGTGTTGCCTACTTCAAATTTTACTTTTTGAGGCAACGTAGCGGATGAGCTCCTATTGTCGTCACTGTATTATTTTCTAGAGATATGGAAGTGTACCAGGGCGGCTCCCAGCAAGAATTTTGATCGACACCCTAAGGAAGCGAGACTAAAACTAGAGTTTACACTACGCCTTAACTCACCGATACAGGGATGTGCAACGCTACTTCTGGGAAATGTAACAATAATAATATCCTCTTTCTTGATAGGTTCATTTCAATAAACAAAACGGCCTTGGTTTTTTATACAAGTTTATTCTATATAATAATAGTACTGTTATTCTTTGTATAAATACATATAACAATTGAAATAATCGACGTTACTGTTCATTACACGTAAACTGCTCAATTATCAACGAAACAAATAATGGGGGAGGAGATAAATGCTAATAAAAATGCGCAAGCGATTGTACAAAAGCGATGTCATGAACCAGAATTAACTAAGCACTGGTTTTACTTCTAACTAATAATAAAAAGAATAGGGCGTCACGTTGGCGGCTTCCTTTCACTAAATATACACCTTTTTTTTAAAAACCTTACAAAATGTAAAAGAAAATATTATATAATATATATAAACATTAATAAATAGAATATATTTTGAAAATAATAAATTAAAAAATTGTTGATCCTTAAGTTTAATTAACACTAATAATACGAGGCTAGCGTTAAAAATTCGGAGAGCTATCTATATACATATACAAATATGCGGGGACGTGACGCGCTAAATCCTCTTAGGTAACAATTAGCGAGTAACGATAATGAACAATAAGTGATAAGCAAAAATTATTGCACGTACAGTAAGAGACCTGCCGTCATTCACCATAGAAATTATTCACATTTATATCACGCATGCACTAAAAGTAAGTATTAAAACGTCTCCCACTGTAAGTAAACAATCTCATGCAAAGTATTTTATCGCAACATAAATACAAAATACTCCCCATGACGTAATTCTAGTACCAGTTTCTTAATCGTGCCTATATCGCCTCTCTTCTTCAAATCCATTGCGGAGACGGACCAAAATACAAACACGACCGTAGGCCTTTTTTTTCTATTATGTATGCTCTTAAAGTTAGGATTACCTACACGTCATCGTAATTCATTTATACAAGGTCTGGGATCGTTGTCAGTTGTCGTTTTCTGTGGGACTTTCCTGGGGAGAAACGTAAAATGTGAGTCGAAACGAATTATAATTGCAGGACGTAACGTTACCTCTATACTCTCCAAATCACCAGGCTGTGACGAGTCGTTTTCGGGATTTTCCGGCGTCGGACCGTGCAGTGATAGTTTCTCGTGAAGCTGCTCTCTCGTTCGCTGTAGCTCGCGACGCAACCTGTCTCGTTCCTCGTCGCGATCCTTTATAATGCTCTACAAAGAAAATTGGCCATTGTATAATTTGTCAAGAAAAACAGAGATCATATGGAACAGGGTAAGCATCCTTGTTTTTCAAAAAATAGTATCTTAAGCATTTTAAGAATTTGAAGGATCCTGAAGATTAGCGAATTTTCGGGGAGCTTGAAGTTGTTGAGAATTTACGATCTTGAATCTTGAGGATTACTGAAGTCTTGAGCAAGAAATTTTAGAGAATGTGGGATATTAAAATCTTCAGCATCATAACACCCAAAATATGAAGATCCCAATGATTGTCAAAGATTTCCAGCATCCCCAATGTTTCTAACATCCTCAAGGTCGTAAAAAAATGTGATTAAAATTCTGAGGTTCTCCAGATCAAGAAAAACAGGGAACGTATGGAACGGGGTAAGCATCCTTGTTTTTTAAAAAAATAGTATCTTTAACATTTTAAGAATTTGAAGGATCCTGAAGATTAGCGAATCATTGGGGAGCTTGAGGTTGTTGAGAATTTATGATCTTGAATCTTTAGGATTATTGAAGTCCTGAGCAAGAAATTTTAGAGAATGAGGGATATTAAAATCTTCAGAGTCATAACACCCAAAATATGAAGATCCCAAAGATTTCTAACATCCTCAATGTTTCTAACGTCGTCAAGGTCCTAAAAAAATGTCATTAAAATTCTGAGGTTCTCAAGATCAAGAAAAACAGGGAACATATGGAATGGGGTAAGCTGCCTTGTTTTTTCAAAAAATAGTATTTTTAGCATTTTAAGAATTTGAAGGATCCTGAAGATTAACGAATCATTGGGGAGCTTGAGGTTGTTGAGAATTTATGATCTTGAATCTTGAGGATTATTGAAGTCCTGAGCAAGAAATTTTAGAGAATGAGGGATATTAAAATCTTCAGAATCATAACACCCAAAATATGAAGATCCTAAAGATTGTCAAAGATTTCCAACATCTCCAATGTTTCTAACATCCTCAAGGTCCTAAAAAATGTCATAAGATTCTGAGGTTATTAAGATCAAGATCACAAAAACAGGGAACATATGGAAAGGGGTAAGCATCCTTGTTTTTTCAAAAAATAGTATCTTTAACATTTTAAGAATTTGAAGGATCCTGAAGATTAGCGAATCATTGGGGAGCTTGAGGTTGTTGAGAATTTATGATCTTGAATCTTTAGGATTATTGAAGTCTTGAGCAAGAAATTTTAGAGAATGAGGGATATTAAAATCTTCAGAGTCATAACACCCAAAATATGAAGATCCCAAAGATTTCCAACATCCTCAATGTTTCTAACGTCGTCAAGGTCCTAAAAAAATGTCATTAAGATTCTGAGGTTCTCAAGATTAAGGAGTTTCATGATCATCGAAATCTTCTACATCGGTAAGATCTTCAAAATTCCTAAAATCCTAGGAAATCCAAAAGATCGTCTATGATAGCGCGCTTCGGGATCTCTAGAATGTACGATATTTAGGATCTTCAAGATATTGAGGATGATTTTACAAATATTGGAGACCTTGGCGGATCTTGGAAAGCATGAGAATCTTAAGAAACTTGAAGATGTTAGGATTCATCATCCCTAAGACATTTCTCTTGAGAATTTTAAAGAAGTTAAATCAAAGATCTTGCCAGTTATGACTTTCAAGTATTTTGACTATATTTAGTAGCTTGAATATACAGAGATCTCAGGGACCATGGAAATGTTAAGGATCTTCATAATCGCAAGATTATCACAACAATAAAGATTGTAAAGATCTTTGACACCTTCACGATTCCTAAGATCTTCGATGGTAGTATCTTGAAGATCTTGTGAATTTCTGAAATTTTCAACTACCTTGAATTACGATCTCAGGATCCATGACAATATCAAGGATTATAACACAGATCTACACATACACAGATTGCTAACCTTATGCATTTTTTGGGAAACAAATTTAGGTATAAAGTCACTAAATATAGAAAGTACCGCAATCCATTGGGCACGTGTGTTAGAGAGAGAACGCATGATTTTTGCCCAAAAATGGCGGAAGTTACCAGATTCTAGTAACTTTAATGTTAGGGTTTGTTCCACCTGTTTGGAGATATCTGTATATATTTTTATAAAACATGACAGTACTATGAAGTTAGGTTATAAAAAATGACAGCTATTCAGATTTTATTTGTCAATTTTTTTAAGTTGGCAGCAAATTTGCCCAAAAATGGCGGATGATTGCGGTACTTTCTATATCTAGTGACTTTATTTAGGTATACTTAAAAGCGCCCTCTATTGCGGAGCAGTATAAACATGTATCGTTTAAAACTGTAATATGACGCTTGTGGACTTATGCGTTAGATGTCGCTGAAACAAAATTTAAGCGCTAAAGTTTGCACAATTCGAATTCCTTAATATTCGTTTTATTACAGTGGTATGACATGATAGGAGGTACGTTGAGCCATAATTGTTTAATTGAACACTGGAGCTACTCATTCGTCGTAAGGGAGTTATTAAAAGCGGGTCCCTGTGGTCACAGATACACACGAACATAGGGCAGGTTCTTAAATAATCGTGAAGGTTTTTTGAAGTTGGCGGAAACTATTTGCGGCTTTAAAGGTCTTGACAGACTGCTAACCGTAAAGGCATACTTAAAAACTATGTATATCTCTGCCATCATTAACGTTACACTCTTTACCACGCCGATAAAAGGTAGGGAGGTTATTTTCGAAAAGTTGATAGTTTTCGAGTTGTAAGCACAAAACTGCTAAAAAATATCTTTTTCAACTTTTTTTGTATGTTTTTCAATGTTGCGTCATGAAATTTTGTTAGCAAACCTCAGGTTCGGATTAAGCACCCCAAAAAACATATAGAATCAAAGAAATCAAAACTACCCCACAACTTGCCTGGTAAAAATACAATTAAACTGGATTATATGCATACTTTACCGCTTTAAATTTTTTGCAGCGACATCTAATGCATAAATCCATAAGTGTCATATTACAGTTTTAAACGGTACATGTTTATACTGCTCCGCAATAGAGGTCGCTTTTAAGTATACCTAAATTTGTTTCCCAAAAAATGCATAAGGTTAGCAATCTGTGTATGTGTAGATCTGTGATTATAATGATCGCAAAATTATCAAAACGATAAAAGATTCGAAAGATTGGCAAGATCTTTGACACCCCCACTTAAAAATCTTTAAAAACCTAACCTAACCTAACAGGTGGCCTTAGAGATCCTAAACATTTTTCCATAGTACTAAATTGTTTGAATGGCATACCAAAAGTGTTGTAAGCTGTGTGCTAAGTGTCGTCGCGATGCCCTGAAGCCGATGGACAGGTACCGACGGTACGTGATTATTCTGTTTAGCCGAGCCCTCGTTGCTCGCGCACGAGGAGAATTTTCCACCCGCCACCCATGCCGCGTCCGCCTCGGAAACGTTCAGAGAGTCATTGACGGCCGCCAGCAGTTGATCGGCTAGAAAAAAAAAAGCGAACATCACCAATCGTTTCGGAGCTCATAGAAGCGCCCCCTACCTTGGAATAAGGCAGCCAGTACGACCTCGGCCGGTTCTCGGTCGATCGCGGCCTTCTTGTAGGCCTCGTCGCTCGCGATATCCGCTATTAGCTGATAGTCTTCTCTGGGAATGCTCAATAGGTCGGCGACTAGCCCTTCTTTGTCGCTAAGGGCGCGGCGAACCTCCTCGTCTTTTCTTCGAATTTGCTCTGAAAGTATCCGTCGTTAAAACGAACAGCTGCATAGCAACATCGCTTGCATGCACTGTTAATAAAACTACATTCAGACCTGTGAATATTACTATTATTATTTGATAATGAAAGAATGAATCAGGACGATTTCAACACTAAGGAATTTTAATATCCGAGTTAATTTTGAATTTGGTCTGCGCGAGGTACAAAAAAACCATACGAAAAACTTAATTTTGCGCGACTTTTTTGCGATGGACAGTATGTGACACTCCACAAATTTCAAAAAGTGTGTACGGATGCTTATTTTTTAACAGAAGAAACTAGAAGTAGAACTCCTACGTACAGAAAGACATTTGCGCATGCGCTCCCTTCTTTGCAATGCGAGTTAAATGTACTCATATAAATTGAAAAAAATGGGTTCGTCTTAAGAATTAGACATTTTAACAGTTTTCTCAAATCAGAAATTTTCATAAAAATATTTGAAACATGCTGTATATTACACATCAAACTATTGAAGCACCCTGCATACTACATTTTCATAGAATGTAAAATTTTTCCAACTTTTTTTGACATGTGGGATCTATTTAATTGTGAAATAAGGAAATAACACATGCGCCTTTGCGTACGTTCTATTTGCTACCCCGTGAATTATTTTCTAGGTATTGTGAGTGCACGCATTTGTTTTTTATTTGGAGAATCCAAAATTTCAAAAAAATCCACAAAACCTTGAATCTTCTTTTTTTATCCTTCTGGTTTTTCTCTGTGAACTCTTTTTTCCTACTTCTTCTCTATCCCACTACTTCGTATCCAAGAAATGTTTACCTTTGTTTGCTAACCTCCACGTTCCAGAACACGCCCTCTTTCCTTTTTTCTTATTCCCGCTTACTTCTTTTCCCTTCTCAACTCCTTTCTTCTATTACTTTCCCCCTTCCACTCTAATTCTCTGTTTAGACCCAACGGTTTTTTCTGTACTTCCCGTATTCCTCGTGGTACTTTCTTTCTCCTTCTGTGTAATTATTTTCAAACGTTTATGAGCGTACAAGGCCTTTCTACTAGAATCTAAAATCTTTAAAGATAATGAACAGCTTTAAAATATTTTCAAAAGTGTTTTTTTGGCCCCTTTTTAGTTTTTAGATGTTTCTCTGAAACATTCTCAAGATTGCTATATACATCTGTCCTTTCGATTCGAATCCATAAAATTCTTACGTTTTCAAAATTTTTCAGATGCTTGTTTCTTCATAACATTTTCAAGATTTTTGATTCTTAAATTTCTTTAAATTTCTGCTATTGTTCAGATCCACAAAATGAAATGTTTCAAAATTCGCTTCCATTCTTGAAATCCATAAAAACTGATGATTTTACGATTTTTTCGTTTCTTCGAATTTTTGAGATCTGTCAGATCCATAAAAAAAGACTGTCCAAATTTTTCGAATTTTTTCATTTCACCGAATTCTTTCGATTGTTTAAATGCATGGGCATTCTTAAGATTCGCATTTGTCGCCAAAAAAATAAAATTTAGTTTTGCGCAAGCGCAATTGTTTTTGTACGTGCATTTTGTTTGTATCCCGTAAATAAACAAATGACTTTTACAAATAGGCCAAATTTCCAGAAACAAATCCCATACAAACTTAACTTTGCGCATGCGCGACTATACTTTTTGACGTTGTGTTGACGTGCGTTCTATTTGCTACCCCAATTGTTTTTCAATGTATATTTTTGAAAATATTCGTAACTTCAAAAAACGGCTAAAACAGGGTAACAAGATTATTTTTTTGTATAGACAAATCACTCTTGTATAGTGTGGCACAAAAATATATGATCTACCCACTGAATTAAAATCTACCAAAATTCAATATACAGGATGCATCAAATGTTTGTGAAACCAATCGAAATAAAAAAAACAATTTTCTAGGATGAAACAATTCAACGTACAGAGCGCTTCTACAATAATTATACAGGATGTTTACAAAACTTTTGAAAATATTTTGTTACTTAAAAGGTGCAGCTGCTTGCGCTAGGTGACTATTGCGGTCACCGACATGTCAAAAATTCATCAAATGTAAACCTATGCGAAATTGCCCCCCCCCCTCCCAATTGTTGTATGCAAAAAATTTCGTTTACGTTTGCATAATTGCACATTTTGATTTCGCCCGGCCTATTTCAAAATTAAAAGGCACTTTTATTTTATTTTGCCTTTATTTTTGAGTGGGCGGGGTGTCAGCCAAGGCTGCTCTACCAACCCAACCACTACACATTTACAAACATCCATGCCTGAACCCGGATTCGGACTAGGAACCCTTAGGACCACAGTCCAGCTTTAACTGAACTGCGCCACACGGGCGGCCAATTGGGGGGGGGGGGAATTAATAATTGCCCTCAATTTTCAAAACAAACATTTTCTCAGAAAGCGACCGATTGTGCATGTTCGTTGCGCCGCGAAGAACTTTCTATGCGCCCCCGCCGTTTTCCACATATTTCGAATGCAAAATTCTATACTGTCCCTTCCATCAAACAAATGTGTGTATGTATTACATACATATAGGATGATTAACACTTTTGAGAAAGAACATTTTTGACTTCAAAAAGTGTTAATTTTTTCTGAACGTCGATTTTCTGGAAAAAATGGAACATTTTAGTCTATGCGCAAGAGGGCGTGGTTTATGCACAAGACACATCTGATTATGACTGTAAAAAATAACTGCTCTATCAAAATATAATATACAGGGTACTTAAAAAACATTTACTATGCATGTAAAAAACGTACAGGATGTTTTCTATTTTGGTTGAGACTGCAGTGTATCTCAGCTGTTTTAAAAGATAGAAACCCTGTGCCACTTTTTGTGAAAATACCACAATCAAAACCAATCTAGCTACGTCTGTTTTTGAGATATAGGGTGAAAACTAAAAGTTTGACTTTTTGGGATCTTACTACCCATGCGACCATGCAAGATATTGATGCTTGATTTACGTATTTTTACGTAAAGCCAGTGGCGTACCGTTTCTGAGATTTGGCCCAATGCTGGTATTTGTTAAATGCAATACCCTATGTATCAATTATTTGCATTCGTTTTTCTGGCTACATTGATGTCTCCCATTATATCATTAAAAAAAAATTTTGAAATGAAATTTTTCTACCGTCAGCCATTTTTATTGATTTGCATCGGCTGCCTTGAATACAATTATAAAAACAAAACCTTCATGAATCCATGAACTACTATTTAAAAACCGTAAAAAGAAAATTTTAATGTTTGGTTCATGGTTAAAAATGTAAAAAAATATAGGTTCTGATACATCAATGTAATCAGGGAAAGGAATATGCAAAATAATTGACGTTAAAATATACAGGGTGTTGCCTTTGAAAAATACAAACTCTTAGAAACGGTGGGTCAAAACATTTTTTTGACTACGCCACGTAAAAATATCTAAAACAAACAGTTTTTAGCAAGATATGAAACATCCGAAAAAGTCAAACTTTTCGTTTTCACCCTGTATCTCAGAAACAAACGTAGCTAGATTGATTCTGTTTTTTATTAAAAGTTTCACAAAAAAGTGCCACAGAGACGCAAAAACCGAAAGTCTCTATCTTTAAAAACAGCTGACATACGCCAAAGTCTCAACCAAAATAGGACACACGGTACACAAAATTGTGCTTGCTGACCTTTGGCCAAAGCACTTTTGATTATGGTCATGCTCATGCAGAAAAAATATATAATCTACCCAATGAATCTTACAATATCAAGATTTAATATACAGGGTACTTAAGAAAAAGTTTATTGTCTGTGTAATGTACAGGATGTTTTAAATATTTTTTTAATGAATATTTTTAACATGAGAAAAGTGTAAATTGTAATTTATAAGCACACAGCTAATGTAAACGTTGATTTTACGAGAGTGTACACAAAATTGGGCGTGTTGACCTTTGGGCAAAGCACTTTTGATTATGGTAAAAATATGTAATCAACCCATTGAATCTTACAATATCATAATTGAATATACAGGGTACTTAAGAAATAGTTTACTGTGCGTGTAATGTACAAGATGTTTCAAATATTTTTGAAAATGAAAATTGATAACTTAGAAAAAGTGTAAATTGTAATTTTTAAGAATAAAGCTAATGTAGCTAATGCGTGTTGGCATTTGGGCCATGGAGAAAAAATATATAATCTACCCATCAATGAATCTTACAATATCAAAATTTAATATACAAGGTACTTAAGAAAAAGTTTATTGTCTGTGTAATGTACAGGATGTTTCAAATATTTTTGAAAATGAAAATTGATCTCAGGAAAAGTGTAAATTGTAATTTCTAAGAATAAAGCTAATGTAAACGTTGATTTTCTGGGAGTGTACACAAGACTGGACGTGGTGGCATTTGGGTAAAGTAGTTTTGATTATAGTAAAAATATGCAATCTACCTATTGGGGATTTACGATAATTCAACCCCTTTAACCGGATTGGTAGAAATCACCACAGAAACAATTGTGGCAATAATTGTAACCATAGCAAAATCTACCAACCCGGTTAAACCGGTTGAATTATCGTAAATCCCCATTGAATCTTACAATATCAAAATTTAATATACAAGGTACTTAAGAAAAAGTTTATTGTCTGTGTAATGTACAGGATGTTTCAAATATTTTTGAAAATGAAAATTGATCTCAGGAAAAGTGTAAATTGTAATTTCTAAGAATAAAGCTAATGTAAACGTTGATTTTCTGGGAGTGTACACAAGACTGGACGTGGTGGCATTTGGGTAAAGTAGTTTTGATTATAGTAAAAATATGCAATCTACCTATTGGGGATTTACGATAATTCAACCCCTTTAACCGGATTGGTAGAAATCACCACAGAAACAATTGTGGCAATAATTGTAACCATAGCAAAATCTACCAACCCGGTTAAACCGGTTGAATTATCGTAAATCCCCATTGAATCTTACAATATCAAAATTTAATATACAGGGTACTGAAGAAAAAGTTTACTGTCTGTGTAATGTACAGGATGTTTCAAATATTTTTTTAATGAAAATTTTTAACTTGAGAAAAGTGTAAATTGTAATTTTTAAGAACAAAGCTACACAAAATTGAGCGTGCGACCTTTGGGCAAAGCACTTTTAATTAGGGTAAAAATATGTAATCTACTCAATGAATCTTGCAATATCAAAATTTAAGATACAGTGTACTTAAGAAATAGTTTACTGTGTGTAATATACAAGATGTTTCAAACATTTTTGAAAATGAAAAGTGGTAACTCAAGAAAAGTGTAAATTGTAATTTTTAAGAAAAAAACTAATGTAAATGTTGATTTTCTGTGAGTGTACACAAGACTGGGCGTGTTGGCATTTGGATCATGGAGAAAAAATATATATCTACCCATCAATGAATCTTACAATATCAAAATTTAATCTACAGGGTACTTAAGAAATAGTTTACTGTCTGTGTGATGTACAGGATGTTTCAAATATTTTTTTAAAGGAAATTTTTTACTTGAGAAAAGTGTAAATTGTAATTTTTAAGAATAAAGCTAATGTAAACGTTGATTTTCCGGGAGTGTACACAATACTGGGCATGTTGGCATTTGGGTCATGGAGGAGTGTACACTGTCAATACTGGGCATAAAGCTAATGTAAATATTGATTTTCCGGGAGTGTACACAAGACTGGGCGTATTGACATTTGGGTCATGTAGAAAAAATATATAATCTACCCATCAATGAATCCTACAATATCAAAATTTAATATACAGGGTACTTAAGAAAAAGTTTACTATCTGTGTAATGTACAGGATGTTTCAAATATTTTTTTAATGAAAATTTTTAACTTGAGAAAAGTGTAAATTGTAATTTTTAAGAACAAAGCTAATGCAAATTTTGATTTTACGAGAGTGTACACAAAATTGGGCGTGTCGACCTTTGGGCAAAGCACTTTTAATTAGGGTAAAAATATGTAATCTACCCATCAATGAATCTTACAATACCAAAATTTAATATACAGGGTACTTAAGAAAAAGTTTACTGTCTGTGTAATGTACAGGATGTTTCAAATATTTTTTTAATGAAAATTGTTTACTTGAGAAAAGTGTAAATTGTAATTTTTAAGAACAAAGCTAATGTAAATGTTGATTTTACTAGAGTGTACACAACATTAATCATGTTGACCTTTGAGCAAAGCACTTTTGATTACGGTAAAAATATGTAATCTACCCATTGAATCTTACAATATCAAAATTTAATATACAGGGTACTTAAAAAATATTTATAAATAATAATAATAAAAAATATTTATAAAATAAAAAATAGTTTACTGTGTGTGTAATGTACAAGATGTTTCAAATATTTTTGAAAATGAAAACTGATAACGGAGGAAAAGTGTAAATTGTAATTTTTAAGAATAAAGCTAATGTAAATGTTGATTTTACGAGAGTGTACACAACATTAGTCATGTTGACCTTTGGACAAAGCACTTTTGATTACGGTAAAAATATGTAATCTACCTATTGAATCTTACAATATCAAAATTTAATATACAGGGTACTTAAGAAATAGTTTACTGTGCGTGTAATGCACAAGATGTTTCAAATATTTTTGAAAATGAAAAGTGATCTCAGGAAAAGTGTAAATTGTAATTTTTAAGAATAAAGCTAATGTAAACGTTGATTTTCCGGAGTGTACACAAGACTGGGCGTGTTGACATTTGGGTCATATAGAAAAAATATATAATCTACCCAATGAATCTTACAATATCAAAATTTAATATACAGGGTACTTAGGAAAAAGTTTACTGTGTATGTGTAACATACAGGATGTTTCAAATATTTTCGAAAATTAAAATTTTAATTTGCACGAATAAAATTGATGCAGATTTGCGAGAAATGAATCTTAAAATCCATCCAATAATATACAGGGTACTTAAAAAGTTCACAGGATGATTCAAAAGTTTCTGAAGATCAAAAGTTTAGACATAATGTTGAGCATATTGTCGCTACTCCACTTCTCAAACTGGCAAAAGTAATAATATACAGGGTGCTGCAAAAATGAGTAAGGTAAAAATATTCACAGGTCCGGACACAACTCAAGCGATTTCAAAGTGCATACCAAACGGCGTGAGAACAGGCTCCGCCTTGTGAACTGGAAGAACTGATATGTGCACTTCGGTGGGCTGAACTAGAGGCCAATCGTCCGCCGCAACCTTCAGCATTACACCACCACCAACAACTTCTAAAACCAAGCTCCGTGTAAGATAGCTCAGCGAGAAGCGGGTCTACTAATAAACCTACCGTTCGTATTAGTGCCTTCGCTATCGGACTGAGAGAGCATTTTATCGCGTTCCTCGTCGATAACGTCACTATTTCTATTACTACTTTCACCGCTTGGTCCGCAACTATCGGAATCTGTGGCGCTCGCCACATCACCGCCTACATGGTCGGCACGCTCACTTACGTCTCTCACGCTCGGCAGGTCTTGGAGGGTCTCCGAGTCGTCGGTGTCAGGCGTCGGTTCGCATCGCTTCGACTTGCCCTCGCGCCTGTTGTAAGCCTCGGCGGCGTCCGAAATGTGCTTGAACCATCTGCAAACGACAAAGTGAAGTAAATTAGCAACGTATCACTCGATTACCTCGCCGGATGGACGGTGTTAAACATTTTCGGTGCGTACTCCCGAATATTTACAAAACGTTGGTTGCAGTGCCAAGTATTTTTAGACCTCTGCTAAATATCGAACCTCAATCAAACAAAGATATTTCATTTGTTTATAGAAGCGAAAAATGTGCGCCGCGCACAATTCTATTTTGGCCGTCGATATTAATTTATGATTACATTCGGATTAGCAACGAGAATAGAATGGCATAAATGATGAATCACTTCGAAAACAATGCCCTGGGCAGGTGGCCAACGAATACTTCTGCTTTGAGTAACTCTCATTTGATCTCTTACTTGATAGATGTGACGCTGTCGCCTACTCGCATTTGATGACAGCTCAGCAAATTTTTTCACCAATATTCATCTGTTTTGCTGATTACACTCAAAGACAAAGCAAGATTCAGCAAATCACCTGGATCCAAGAGCTCACATTAAAATGTTGCCGCTTAGTTATTCATACAACCGTTTGGTTTGGTAATTTGCTGGAATGAAAGTCAGCAGTATTGCACACAGAATTGGTGTAGAATTATTTGAAAATCAGCATTTCATCATTCTATGAAAGAATTGAGCTCCCTTTTTCGCAAAAACTAAGCGTGTGATTTGCATTTAATCATTTGTGACGAGAGATCGTGACCGACATGCTGGAAAGTGAAGACAGCAAAATTATTGAACCAAATCAAAAAGATGAAAATAAACATTCGAAGAATTTATAAGGGTAGTTTTCTCCTTTGCAAACTTCGCGAGGGCCCCTTTAGCGACTCTTTGGATCAACTGGATCTGGAAGGGGCGAATCACTAGATCAACACGTTCCAAAAAAGTTGTGCATATTTTCCGGTTTTTTTAAGGTTTTATTCTTGTGTTCATACGAATAGAATTAGTGCGAGAAAGGGGGCGGATTTCTCTCATAAAACAAAATAACCTATTCACAATTGGTTTTATGAAAAAACTTCGCCCCCTTTCTCTCACTAATTCTATTCCTATGAACTCAAGCATAAAAGCCCTGTTACAACTATGCCAGGAAAAAGGAAGATCGCCAGGTTTGAATTTATTCAACGTTTTGCCGTCAAAAAAATTGAGCTCTTACCCTTGCATTCCATAAACTAAAAACACTTGGACTCAAAATGTTTGCATTTGTGTCAAATTCGAATTTGGCACAAATTCAAAAATTTTGAGTTCCACTCCAGGAATTCCTAATTTTTACAAATTTTAGTCCAGGTTATTTTAAATGGATCGGAATTTGATACCCAATAATTTTCCATTCTAAAAAATGCAGCTAGTCCAAATTACTTTTGTTTTTTTTAACGAATGAGTAAAGAGCTAACTTGAGTCAAACATTGAATAAATTCGAATTAGGCAGAAATTCAAAAATTGTGAGTTCAACTGCCGAAATTCATAATTTTTGCAAATTTCACTCCAGATTTTTAGTTCTTAGGGACAAACACTGCGCGTTAAATGAATACGAATTTGAGTTCAATTTCTGGAATTCTTAACTTTTGTAAAATTTTTGAAAATTTAGAAAATCCATGTTTCTTTGGTTTTTAAGTAATGAATGTTTATCATCAGCTCAACTTTTTATGGGCAAAACGTTGCGTAAATTCGAATTTGACACGAAATAAAAGGTTTTGAGTTCAATTTCTGAATCTTTGTCATTTTTAAATACAGAAAGTATCCATTTCTTTGGTTTTTTAAAAGAACTTTTTTAGGGATAAAATTTTGGCATAAATTCAAAAATGTTAGGTACAATTCCTGAAATTCTTAACTCTTGTCATTTTTGCAAATTCAGAAACCTGGGTCGGTTTTTTTTACTGACAATTCAACTCATGTATAAAAAATCGCATAAGCCGCAGTGAAATTGTCACTTTGACAGCGGCAAAAGTTACCTGCAACTTTTCCAGCGACAAATGCACTAGTGGTTTTTTCACTTATTCATTTTCGAACCAATTATCGCATTATCCTTTCCCATATGACTAGTTTGACGTCTGTCAGTAATTGATTAGTTATGCGAATTTCTTGTTCGTTAAATTGTCCTGCCGAATTACACTCGAGGTTTGTATTTAAACCGAGTAAATTTGTGTTGTTGCAATTCAAATCTGTTGCCTTTTAGCAATTGAACTCGAAAAACTGTCAACCTAAAAATGCTCCACCTGCGGTGTCGCATTTTTATTAGTTGACAGTTTTTCTCGTCTAATTGCTAGGCAACAGATTTTCATTACCTAAACAACCCAAATTTACTCGGTAAAATACAAACTCTTGTGCAATTATAAGTGAATAAATGTTCAACTTTTTTAGGGATTAAACACGTTCAATAAATTCGAATTTGCCACAAATTCAAAAATTTTACCACTCTTGGAATTTTTAATTGTTGAAAATTTCATTCCGGATTTTTTTGGTTTTTTAAATACAAGAATAAGAGCTAGATCCTTTTAGGGAGAAATATTGCACGTGAAATGAACCGACTTTTCCACAACAGATTTTGAGTTCACCTTTTGGAATTCTTAACTTTTAACTTTTGTCAAATTTTTGCAAAATCAAAAAGCCCAGGTTTCTTTGGATTTTTTAATGAGCTCAATTTTTTTTTGAGGTAAATCTCGAGGTAAATAATGTAAGTTAAATAAATCCGAATTTGACACAAATTCAAACATTTTGATTGCAACTTTTGGATATAATTTTTGCAAATTTCAATCTAGGGTTTTTTGGTTTTTGAAATGCAAGAATAAGAGTTAACTTTCTTAGGGGTAAAACGTTAAATAAATCCGAATTTGACACGAAATCAAAGATTTTGAGTACAATTTCTGAAACTTTTGTCTTTTTTTAAAATTCAGAAAGTACGGGTTTCTTTGGTTTTTTAAAAGAACGAGTAAAAGCCCAACTTTTTTAGGGGTAAAACTTTGAATAAATTCGAAGTTGGCATAAATTCAAAAATTTTGAGTAGAATTCCTGGAATTCTTAACTTTTGTCAGTTTTGCAAATTCAGAAACCTGGGTCTCTGTTTTTTTTAATGAATAAAAGCTCAACTTTATTAGGGGTAAAACGTTCCATAAATTCGAATTTGACACATTTTAACACAATTCAACTCCTGGAATTTTTAATTGTCGAAAATTTCATTCCGGATTTTTTTGTTGGTTTTTTAAATACAGGAAAAAGAGCGAGATCCTTTTAGGGAGAAATACTGCACGTGAAATGAACCGACTTTTACACAAAAGATTTTGAGTTCACCTTTTGGAATTTTTAACTTTTAACTTTTGTCAAATTTTTGCAAAATCAAAAAGCCCAGGTTTCTTTGGATTTTTTAATGAACTCAACTTTTTTAGGGGTAAATAATGTAAGTTAAATAAATCCGAATTTGACACCAACTATTGTCAAATTTGTGCAAATTTAGAAAACTCGGGTTTCTTTGGTTTTTTAAATAAATGACTAAGAGATGAACTTTTTGGAGTAAACACTCGAATATGGTTCGAATTCAAAAATGTTGTTTCTTAATTCTCTAATTCATTAAAAACCCGAAGAAACATGGTCTTCCTGAGTTTGCAAAAATGACAAAAGTTATTAAGAACTCTAGGATTTGAACTCAAAGTTTTTGAATTTGGATCAAACACAAATGCAAAAATTTTGAGTCCAACTCCAGGAATTCCTAATTTTTAATAATAATAATAGACCTTTTTTAGGGAGAATGCTCCATGTTAAATAAATCCGAATTTGAAATCAAAGATGTTGAGTTCAACTCCTGGAATTCTTACCTTTTGCAAATTTCAGTTCTGGTTTTTTTTAAATTTTTTTAAATGCAAGAGTAAGACCTTAACTGTTTAGTGGTAAATACTGCGCATTAAATAAATCCGAATCAAATCAACGATTTTGAGTTCAATTCCGGGAATTCTTTTGTACAATTTTTCCAAATTCAGAGAGCTCAGGTTTCTTTGGTTTTTTAAGTAAATGAGCAAGAACTGGCAAGAACTCAACTTTTTTAGGGGTAAAACGTTGACAAAATTCCAATTTGACACAATTCATAAATTTTGAAATCCACTCCTGGAATTCCTAATTTTTGCATTTTTTTTGGCATTTTAAATGCAAGGGTAATCTGAATCCCTTGGTTTTTTGAAATATAATATAATAAGAACTTAACAGGTCTCTTGTTTTTTTTTTAATCAAAGAGTTAGAACTCCACTTTTTTTAGGGGCAAAACGAATCCGAATTTGACACAAATTGAAAAATGTTGAGTTCAACTCCTGGAATGCTTAATTTTTGTAAATCTTAATCCAGGATTTTTTAGTTTTTTATGCAAGAGTAAGAGCCTAACTTTTTACGGGTAAAATGATGAATAAATTCGAATTTGGGACAAATTCAAAAACTCCTGGAATTCTTAACTTTCGCAAATTTCAGAATTCCAAGAATCGAACTCAAATTCTTTGATTTGGTGTTAATTCGGATTTATTTAACGTGTAGTATTTATCCTTAAATCTTTCTTAAACGAACAGTCCTAAAAAAATGCATTAAAAATTCGAGTTTATTCAACGTTTTGCTCCTAGAAAAAGTTGAGCTCTTACTCATTCATTATCAAACAAAAAAAAAACCAGGGCTTTCTGAATTTGCAAAAATGACAAAAGGTAAGAATTCCAGGAGTGGATCTCAAAATTATTCGGATTTATTCAACGTTTTACCCGTAAAAAAGTAGTAGTCATTGATTTAAAAAACCACAGATACCCGGACTTTGTGAATTTGCCAAAATGTTTACAAAAGTTTTCCATTCCAGGAATTGAACTCAAGATCTTTGATTTGGTGTTAAATTCGGATTCATTTAACGTGCAGTATAGATCCCTTGAAAACCAAAAAAAACCTGGACGGAAATTTGTAAAAGTTAAGAATTCTAGGAGTTGCAAATCGCATTTATTCAATGTATTACTCCTAAAAAAGTGAAGAAACCTCGGTTTTCTGA